ATATTTTGCCTTGGCTAATATTGGATTATATTTAAAAAGCCATTATTTTTTAAGTTATGGTCACAGCCTTCTTTTACAGCTCATTCGTTTGTGTTATTTTTGTCAGTTGCTTGAAAATGTAGCCAAAGTAACATATGACGGAGAGTAAAGAATATTAATGTTTAACACGCGCAATTATATTACCTTTATATTACCTACTAACATTTAATTATACACATCATCGTGGTACATACATCGTGGTACTCTGTAAGTACATGTTAACATTTGTAATATTTTTAAACATGTTCTATTGTACGTAGTGACGAGAACGAAGCTTTCCACTATGCATTTTAAGGAATCTAATAGGAAAATTATTATCATAAATCTTCTAGGAAGTCTATATAAAATCTTTTCGTTTGTAATGATTAGTGTTTTAATTGCAAAGTTGGTACATTAATAATCAGTTCCTTTGTAGAATATATTATACGGCGGTAAAATAAATTGATTGAACATGTTAAGACTTTTTATTATTGATTAAAACTTTAATGAACTACATGAAATCGTTTGTTATTATTTTGGAATTTATTCGAATTTGTATATGTATTAGAGAAGCCCTCAATGAATATTAAAAGAACTGTCAAAAATATATAACAGGTGGGCCAAAAGAAATCACCCTATTTGAAGATGCTCTTATTTTTGCAAATGGCGGTCAATGTCAAATCTGTTTTAACATTTGCAAACTAGACAGAAGTAGAATACAAGTGAACAAGCCATGGAGCAATACACTCCCCAAGAACGCGGAATAATCGTGCCTATTTTTTTGCGTAACAATTCGTCTGTGGTGTTGGCGCAGCGCGAATTCCGTCGCTGATTCCCCGGTCGTCCGGTACCAACTGCGCAAACACTGCGCCGTTTGGCCACCAAACTTGAAGAGTATGGAACCACACGAGACGCTGCCAAGAGTGGCCGGCCTCGGAGCGCCCGTTCTGCCGAGAATATCGCCGCTGTTGCCGAGGATGTCGAGATGTCGCCAGAAACATCGACCAGACGCCGTGCCTCGCAATTAGCCATCAGCCGGTCGTCCCTAAGGCGAATTTGGGTCAAAGACCTGCGCATGTTCCCGTACAAAGTCCAGTCCGTGGATCAGCTGCTGCCTGTCGACCGCCAAACGCGTGTAACCTACGCCTAAGCCATCCTCAATCTCGAGGACGAAGTGGACGATTTTTCGACCAAAATCATAATGAGCGATGAGGCTCATTTCCACCTCAAGCAAAACTATCGCTTCTGGGGCACCGAAAATCCACGAGTGATGCACGAGGAGCCATTACACCCGCTCAAAGTGACTGCATGGTGCGCTGTTCACGCTGGAGGACAACAGTGGATGGTGCGCGCTACAAAGACATGTTAACCGAGTTTTTTCTACCGCAATTGAACGAATTAGGACTGAAGGACATGTGGTTCGAACAGGACGGAGCAACGGCACACACTGCGCGAGCCACAACCGATATTCTGAAGGCGGCGTTCCCGGGTCGCCTCATCTCTCGTTTTGGCAATTTGCACTGGCCCGCAAGATCGCCCGATTTAACCGTTCCAGACTTCTTTTTGTGGAGTTTTTGAAGTCCCGTGTTTACGTGAAGAAGCCCGAGACCCTGGAAGCCCTCAAGGACAACATTAGACACGAGTGCGAGAATCTGTCGCCCGATGTTCTCGCCGAAGTGATGAAAAATGCCATAAAACGAGCTCGTATAGCAATCAATTGTGGCGGCGCCCATTTGGCCGATATCATCTTTTCGACTTGACCAATAAAATTTTAAAGGTTCAAATAAACATAATCAAAAAACAGAATTAAAGGTTTTTATGCAGAAAAAAAATGAGAGCCAAACAATATTGGATGACTTCTTTTGGCCCACCTTGTATATACAATATCACGTAAGTGCTTATGAACTTTCTATAGCATAACATCCACTATAAAAATGTAATTATTTTTGCATGGTACAATGCGAGTATTTTTCAATCTAGTTCGTATGTACAGCAGCATACACTACGCGCAAGGCATCTATACGTGCACACAAAACGTGATCAGTAATCACGCCACATTGTTGGCCGCGGGCCCAAAACTATTGATTCATTTAGTTTACGTTTTCACATCCCTACGGAATAGAAAAAGCGTTGCTCATAGTGATACGGGTCGCTAAGATAAATCATCATCATCAACAGCCTTTAATAGCCTGCTGCTAGACATTGGCATCTTCTTAGAAAGGAGGTATCGGCCTACTAAACCACGCTGGCCAGACGGTAGGGTTTGCTCCAAGTTTTCCTTCTCTCTGCAGAGTCTGCACTGCTGTTGGCCTGCGTAGTATGATCTCTATAGTAGGCTCTCACGACACCCATGGTATGAATAAGGCTGGTGACACTGCGTATTCTTAATCCGTCACCACACGTAAGACTATACATTGCATTTTAAATGTAATGTACAGAATTATACAAGCTTGTAAATCCTATTAATATTATAAACGCGAAAGTTGGCTGTTTGTTACTCAATCACCTCACAACGGCTGAATGAATATGGATGAAATTTGGGACAGAAATAGATTATGGTCTGGAAATTGGTATATAAAAACACATTAAGGCGAAAGAAGCCCCAAAAAGCTTGTGTAATCCAAAGGCCTAGTGTGAGTTTATTTCATATCTACTCGAACATCACGGTGACCGCGTTCGGCGTTGCGAGAGGCACGCACTGAAATCTTTACCGATTGATGTGAGATCAACTCACAGTAGGCCCTCGGTACACCCGTGGCTAGTATCGGAGCTCGTCTCGCCATCGCACGAGTGACCTTGCGACGGATGCGAGGGTGGTGTTTAAACAATCGCGATCTCTTAGAAAATGCAAACTGAGTAAAACTACAATTTATGCCCCTAAAATTCAACGTCTTCCATGATTGCTGACTCGAAGCGACAGGGGCCTTGTGCGAGTTTATTTCACATGAACTCACTCTCCACGGCGATAGCGTTAGGCGTAAAGTAAAATAACTCGGAACTGATACTTATATCACAAAAATTACGCTAACTGCGAGGCCTTGTCTCGCAAGGCACGAGGCGAGTGTTAATTAATTTATCATAACTTTACCTTGATCAAAATAAGCTAATCTTTTAGCGAAGTACTAAGATTAGATTAGTTAAAGAACAGATTTTCCTAAACTCAAAGTACTTCAGAAATTTCATTAAATTAATAGAACTTTTCCTTCAATATGTCCACAACAAATGCCAACTTTAACATTTAGATATTTTAAAGATAAAGTCAATACTGCAGAGTCTGACTACATCCAAACTGTCTGTCTGTCAATATCTAGCTGTCATTAGGAATTACAAAGGTCACATCACATCGAGAGCAAAGCAAAAACTTCGGCTATAAATGGGAAAGGGGTGTGATTATTTATTAAGAATAAACTTGCACCCAACAATTTACTAAAAACTCTTAGTCAAATTGTTTAAGGTCTGTGCAATGTCTGTTGAAATAGGACAATGTTAACACACTACAGTAACTTAAGACTACATATTAATATTTAAAAAAAAACAGGCTTATTTTTTTTTCATATGCTGTTAAAAAACTGAAAATTTTTGATTTATACCTATTTATTTAGGATAAAAAGAAATAGCAAAATATCATATCTATTATGGTATCAAAATCAAGAAAATTAAATGGGAATTAAAAAAATATATAGAAGTTATACATATACCTATTTAAATTTAATAAGAAATCATAAATTGGTTTAAAACTTTTTTTGATAGCCTATAAAAGGGGTTTTGTGTCTGACTTTATTCATACATTACTTTTTTACTTTTAAATTGTCTTTTTGCAGTCTCATTTTTTCTTTTCTTTTCTTGTAGACTTGTTAAGAATAAAAAGTAAAATTAGTACCTACATATAATATTTTATAATCCTTTAAAGTGAGAACTGAGTTAACACAAACTTTTTTATAATACAAAACAGGTAAAACATTTTTTAATTTAATAAAAAAACTGTGTCCTCTTCTGCTGTACAGTGTGTACCGCTTGCATGTTATAGTAGAAAAGTATGTTGTGTGCTGAATGAAGTAAATCAGATTACAATAAGCTACCTACTGCCCAGTTATCAGAATGACATGGTGTGAGGTTGACAGAGCATTGACCTGAATACTGATTACTGCATTTTATATGTTTAGAAATTTATAACACAGATCATAATAATAAATAAATAATAAATAATAATAATAATAATAATATATTCTACCACATACACACAACGCCATCTAGTCCCAAACTAAGCAGAGCTTGTACTATGGGTACTAGACAACTGATATGAATACATATATACTTTTTTTTTTGTAAATACATACATATTATACATAGAAACACCCAGACCAAATCAAACATCAAATGTTCATGCACACAAATGTTTGACTTGAGCGGGAATCGAACCCGCGACCTTTGGAATAGCAGTCCGTTACACAAACCACTACGCCATCCAGTCGTCAAAAATAAATAAATAAATAATTAAACTAATAAATTATTTCAGTAGGTAAGTGTTAATTTGGATTTATTTTCCACTTTTCAAAAGTGCATGATTGTACTATATTTAAATTGTATAAAACTATGCTTATAATCCACAAAGTGAAAAAATGGGTTAAGCTATTATGGTATAAAGTGATGCCTCTAAAATTTCATTCCCTCTATTAGTAAGTAGGTGTGTTAGTTCAGCGTGAAGGTCAGTTGCAACAACTTTTGTTTTACACTAAATTCAAAAGTAAAAAGTGTAAATATTACAATACATATGAACAACTGTTCTCTAATATTTATATAGGCAAGGTTAAAACTTTAAAACAATTGATTTAATTTTCAAGCAATTGTTAACACTTAAGTAATACTTAGTACTAATAATATATAATAATTAATATAACTAGGTGTTGCATGATTATTCTAATGGCATATATGTTGAATTCTGATTCCTGTAGTAAACTATAAAGAATGTAAAAAGGTGTTACCTGTGTTTCAATTGGCATCTGGCTGGAACTTGAAGTGAAACTGGTATCACTCCCATTTTGGCCCTCGCCATGTCCTAAATCAGTCACTGTAGAACTCATTTCTTTATCGTTGAGTCTGGACCTTTTGCGGGACATTATCACATTGCCTACCGGCGAAAGAGTTTTAGATTATGCTACACTTGACAACTTTTTGCTTAGGCTATTTAGCCAAATAAATATATAACCGAACTCCCCTCCCCTCTATAACTGTATTACTGAACGATAAATGCCAGGCTGTAACCAGCTATGTCTGGCAGCGTGCAAAGATTTGATTTGCGGTAAAGATTTGCTGAACAAAAAATACCACAAACCTAAGAGACCAATGTTATTTATTTTGGTGTAAATAAGTAAGTAAAATAAAATTATTATTACTAAAAGAGCGCAAAAGGCAATATTGCTCAAAACAGTTTTTTTGCCGTAATATTAAAAGGTTATTGTAAATAGATTTTTTTATGGATTACGACATCCAACTTTGACAGGCCGATAACGAAAGAACTGACGTTGACAGTGACAGTTATTTAGAGTAGTGTAGACTGGTTTAAATATTGACAGTTGTGTCGACATGCAAGAACCGGTTCTCGTTCCCAAGGCTTCAAAATTCGAATACAGCAACATAATCTATCGTCTTCTGTCTGTCGTCCCAAGTATCTAACTGACAAACTGAACAATAACAAACATATAGACAGTATAATCGCAAGATGCTCTTAATTACTAAGCTGGAGTCGGTCAATGTCAGAAGTGAGTTTTCGGTCCGGTTCCAGTGAGTCGGAACAGAACAGTTACTAACCATAAAGGTTAAAAGTAATTTTACAAAGTGCGCCATGGTCCAATAAATCGTATTAGGTAGTTGTTGCACTATTAGTATGAAACAAATAGGGTCTGCTTGCAAGTATAATATACCCTTGTTTCTTTTATATGTGCAATATAATTAATTGATGGAAAAAAGAGATGCAAACAACAATATCGCTAAACGGTTCATCAGTTTGTTGCCAATGATAGTCGTTTTTTACATGTCATACTGTTTTAGTGCTACTGTATTACGCATAACGGCAAAACTCAGCTCGTTCTTCAATTCAATAATAATTCCAAATTTAAAACGATTGATCCAAATGGACCGTGTTTATGCAAGCAGTGTTAGACCCGTATAAGTCGTTAATGTTTCGTGTTGTTTCATCAACAGCCTTAATTTCATCCACTACTGGACATAGGCCTCGCCTTAGAAAGGAGGTTTGGGTCTACTATACCACGCTGGCCAGACGGGTTTGTATAGGGTTTGTTTCAAGTTTTCCTTCTCTTTGCAGTACTGTTGTCCTGCGTAGTTTGTTCCCTTGCTCAGCTCTTAAGACACCCACGGGATGAATAGGGGTGGTGACACTACGTATGCTTAATCCGACACCACACGGATACGAAATGATCGATCACGACACGATACGTGTTTGCGGAGCAGGATTGCGAACTCCTCTTCGAAAATTGTACGAATTTTCAGTTTATCCATGTTCACAAAAACAAAACACTGTCTCAAACAAATAACTGAATTTTAAATTAAAATGACATGACATCGAATAATATTTATTTGAATTTTTAATTGCGCTCCATTCGCCAGATGATTAAATCTGAAAATGCTGGTTTTAAAATCTCTAACTTCATTTCCTTCCGTATTAAGTATTAGTGTCCGACTGAAACTGTTTTTTCAGCCCAAACTGAATATTCGACCCTTGTTTCAGTTTCGGCCGAGACTAAATCTAAATAAATAAGGTAGGTACTAAGTACTAGAAATTCAACTGTCGTAGTTAAGTAGATAGGTACCTCACACGATAGGCGGGAAAGGACGGGGCGAGGATGGCTAGGTAATTTAAACAGACTAGTGGTGTTACGACTCGACTTTTCAAACCGATTCAAACCAGTTTGACCATGAACCGAGTTCAATAGGTTTGCCCGTGGTTTAAACCGATTGAACCGTTTCATAAGATCGCATTGCCCTTCGCGTTGTATCAACGCGCTCGCGGCTCCGACCGGCACGACACTAAATATTTATCAATTTACCTATAAGCACAAACTATTTATTATGTTCCTACAAGATCGAATATGGTTAGCGCGCGTCATTTAATACTTATTTAATACATAAACTGACTTACAAACTGTTCGGATCTAACGGACATTTTTCTTATATCCACCAAATGAGAAAAGAAGAAGACATTGTAATCGTGTTATTTGACTGGGTAGTTCGTTGTATTGCCCTTAGCTCTCAACAAACTACCAATCAATTCATACCGTCGCCGCCGCGTCGGTCGTCCGTTAGTGTAGGTAATGTCAAGTGTTACACTTGTATGTAAACTCGGTTGCAAACCGTAGAGCGACGGTTTAATTGATCACGTCGAATTATGTTCCACATTGCGTTCGCTGCATTGCACATGGTTTGACAATATTCCAGACCTTCAAATCTCTAGAACAGACCATACGCGTTTTCTCATAGTTAAGGTTAAGCAACTAAAGATAATAAGTACAGTATAAGTTTTTTGGGTAGTTAAAAATAGTTGAATAGGGTTACAGAATGTAATTCAACAACAATTAAGTATCTACAAACAATTAAATTTAAGGATTGTAGTTAAATGTTACTTAAAACCATAGAAATGCTTGAGGTTAGTTGAGAAACGCGGCAGCACGGGACCCTTTCCTTCCGACTGATGGAGGTCCTTTCCGGGCTGCTTTGGGAATTACCTGCACTCGCTCGCTAGGAGGGAACTGAGTCCCGCCTGTCACCCTTCATTTTGCCTGGCTTGAGCGTCGCAGCGTCGGGTCCTCACTGCAGTCATTGGAGGATATCTCTCGCTACCGGCCGTCATAAGCTCCATGGTTGGCAGTGATAGTTGTTTTACCGTCCGCGTGTGCCGGACGTCGCCTAAATAGAAAATGTATCCGAAGGCGGTGCCCGCGCGGATGTCTTAATAATAGCAGTTCCCGGAGCCCTCCTATTACAGGCGCAGAGTGGCACAGTGTTGTTCAGCTCAATTGGTGCAAACTTTTTTACGAAAGGTATTTAAGAGGTAGCCGACACCCTAGTTTTTTTAAGACATGGGCTACTTTTAATCCCAAATAAATGTAGTGTTCCCGTAGGATGGAGCAAGGAAATGAAATATATTTACTACAACTTGTTTTTGAAGCGTAAACAGGTCAATGGTGCGTGCATACGGTAGTAGGGGACAATCTTTAGATGGAGCGAGGGTCAGATTGCTTGGAATGCTAGTATTTGTATAAAAACAAAATATAATGTCAAATAACTTTTATTTTAGTTAAACAAAGAAATGTATATATAATATTATATATTTATTGAATAAAATTAATTCTTATAAACAGACATGACACCTCGTCCATTGCGAGAAACGGCCACCAAATTCTCATCTTAGTCGAAAAATTGCAAGCTGTATAATAAAACATAAATGCAGACGGCCCAATTCTTTCAAAAATATTTATTTTCATAATAATAAAAAAACACCGAGTACACTTGAAATGTTTAAACAGTAAGGTATACCTAATCTTGTAATCTTGCCTTCAGGCCCAATACATTTTGATTTGAGACGTAAAACGCAACAGCTACAACAAAGAGCCTTATACAAAGTAAATATTACAGTTATAAAACAGTATTCATATAGGAGAAACAACACATTCCATTAAATATTTAACTGCCGATATATTTGACATAACATGTAATTAACGTTCATAACCTTTTTAAATATTTATCAAATATCAAAGATTAATTGGACAATCCCTACAATAGTTGCTTAATAATATCGACATTAAGAAAAACAACTACATATAAAGATGAATATGCTCAGATGATGGATCTAACACAAATAGTTCCAGCATGAAGTTACCTACAAAAATAGTATAAAAATATATCACAGCAATTTATGTTAAGCCCAACTGGTATTTTGCTGAGTGAGATCGAAGAAAACTTGAAAGGAAAAAAACGTAATATTACATACAGTTTACAATTTAATTTCTTTGAATCAGTCATTTCGTGAAACTCGGTTAAAACTCGTCTAAATAAGATAAAACATTTTGTTTACAATTATTACAAAATTTATACAATTAATAATATAGGTGTCGTTCTAGCGGTCCATACAAGTTATTAATGAGGGGCGTGATGAGCAGTGTGTGGCTGAACGGATGAGCGCGTTGTGCCGGGAGTGTGACGTGTAGCTGTAATAAATATAGGGAGGGCAGCACGCGACCACTATGTCGTCAGAGCTAGCTGCAGCGCCTCCTTGTGTTCGTTGCTCAACTGCATTAGAACCGAATTGAATAGTTCAGCGTTGGTCTGGAAAAAAATATAAAAATTGAATTAGTATAAAATCTATAGAATAAAATTCAAGTGTGAATACTTCGTTTGAAGTTAAATTATAAAAAACGACAACAATGTTGCAATCGATAACAATTGCACTGTTAATAGATATCGATAGATAACTCTAATTAAAACTCCAACATAAAAATCATTGAAATTATTTAAACAGTTTTCTTTTTAAGAAAAAGAAAATTCTATTTACCATTCAGTTTCTTCACTGTAGGAGGATAAAAAATACTGTTTGCTTTTTGTTGTTTAATTTCTGTTGAACTTTCAAGATTGTTGTTTAGGTAAAATACCTATAATAAGCAACTCGTTAAATGGCAAATCATTCGTAATATTGATGTTAAACCATAGATGGTAGGTACCTGTATTTGCCTAACGAGGGCCACCATCTGCGCGTAGACGGGGTTGTCAGAAGGCACCGCGTCCCTGAGGAAGGCCTCGGCGAGCGTGGCGAGAACTCGCTGCGGCGCGTCGGGTGAGGACAGCGCCGCGTGGCCGCTGGCCGCCAGCTCGCACAGCAGCGAGTACACGTAGGGCGCCTCCTCCGTATCCTCCGTTACGGGCAACCATGTCAGCCTAAACAAATAAACTTAAATCTGTTTTTCCGTATTTTTACTAACAACAAATTCAGAACTGCTATTAAAACACTTATCGGTCACTGCATAGATTTCACATAGCGATATTCGTGATTTGGTTTTTACGAAAACGCTCATAATGCGTTGATAACTGTTTTTTTGCTCAGTGAGCATTTTGGTTTATGCGCATAACACGTACAAATATCGTATCGACTGTATAGTTGTTAGGTTGTAACGTTTCGGGCGAGACCGTATATTGTACAAGCGGATAGAAGAGACGAGCGCGTACCAATGCCTGATGATTTCATCCCTGTCGATCTGGTCGTGGTTGTACTTGATAATCTTGGCGACGGCGGAGATAGCGTTCTCGGTGGCGTTGAGGTTCTCGACGGAGCGCGCGTCGGGCTCGGCGACGAGCGCGGCGAGCAGCGGCACGGCGCGCGCGCACGCGGCGGCGAACTGCGCGCCGCCGAACTGCGCCAGCACGCCGCAGCCGTACGCCGCCGCCTGCCGCACCTCCGCCTCGCCCGAGCGCAGCCCCGCCAGCATCGGCTCCAGGAATATGTCCTGGTACTTTATGCACGCCGGCCCTGTCACATACAAGCGATTTATTCGACGAATCCGCTCACCTGTTTTTCTGAATAGTGATATGGATTATTTAAAAAAAACATTGTTAGAGCTCGTCCTTTTTATAGCGACAAAATGGACGAGACTCAAAAATCCTTGTCCAGTTGTGATATTTAAAATCAGATTCGCATGGATGGGATTTTACACAATAGCGCACTCTCCATTTATAACGATGCACTAATTTGAGGACACCTAAGACACAGGTAAAGAAATTTCTACAGAAACAATTTTAACAAGGAAACATTTTCTATCCGAGCTGAAAGCTGTTCTTAGACTATTAAACTATCTCTAATAAAATTAAGAATCATGGGCGATAACAGACAAGCAAAGAGAAAATCTGGCTAGTACACAAAGGGCAATGGACAGGAGCATGTTGGGACTCGGACTGTGATAAAATTAGAAATTCTGAAATAAGAAGAAAAACTTAAGTTGTAGATATAATAACTCGCATACATCATTTAAAATGGGGCTGGACAGGACATATGCTACATTCCTAAATAAATAAATGGAGCAAACAAGTAACCTTATGGTACCCAAGAGAGGACTGTAGAAGAAAGGGACGTCTGAAAACTAGATAGAAAGACGATATCCGCCTAACCTTGGGACCTTACTGGACTAGAGTAGCAGAGGATAGAGCTCAGTGGAGAGAGCTGGAGGAGGCCTATGCCAAGAGGCGCACCGAATCGCGAGACATATTATAACAAATAGAACTCGGAAATATGTATTGTCAAAGCTGTAGCGAATTAGGCGAATTGAAAAGGGCTTTATTATTAATAAAATTCTACACTACTTTCCTTACCTCCATATTCAATTACATCGTCGAATATACATATTGCCCATTGACGGTCTGAGTATGGGCGTCCTGGAGCCAATAATTGAACGAGATGCGGCAACAAACTGTCGAGATGTGGGAAAAAGCTCTCTCTGTAAGCTGACATAAGAGAGTGTAAAACGTCAGCAACACGTGATAGACCGTATACATCTTCGTTGTCTTCATCAGCTAGTTGCTCCTCAACAACCTGAAAAGAATTGTAAATTTATTTCTTTTATAACTACAATAACAGATTCATTGAAACAAACACTTTGTTAAGAAATCTAGTTTAAAGTTTTTATTTTCTTTAACTATTCTTAAAGTTTACCTCATCATAGTCCTCGTCAGCACGTTTTTGACGGCGTTCAGTGGCTCGTTCGAAATGCTCCGTCAGTAGTTTGTTTAGTATCCTTAATACTTCAGCCATCATCTCATCGGACAGACAACCAGCACCAAGCAATTCAATGCACTGAAAATTAAAATATATATTTTACACTTAGAACTTACGGCATTAATTAAATGTGTAAGCATTGTTTTTAAATGTGTAAGCATTGTTTTTAAATGTGTAAGCATTGTTATTAAATGTGTAAGCATTGTTTAACAATGTAATCAAAATAGTTAAATGAACTTCTGTACCTTGGCGAGACTGTTAAGAAGTTCAACCTGCACTTCTTGCTCAGGCTCAGAGTCAACTGCCTTAAGCAGTTCAGGCAGGATATAGGCCCACATGCCTTGGATATACTGTGGGCCACGGATCCGAGCGCACTCCAACAAGTACGGCAGGGATTCCGCTGCAGCCGTGCGGACATTGTCGTGGAAATAAAACTTCAGCATCGGCACCATCAGTTTAACTACGTCTTCAGCGTATTCGGCGAATTCTTCTTTAAGTTCACGAGCGTAGCACACTAGCATGTCGCATGCTGATGCTTTGTCTTCAAGACCTGAAAGTAAATTGTTATACAATTATTTATATTCATATCATCGTCATAACCTTTGCCACAAGCTTTTGAAAAAAATACCACGAATTCTTTTAACTTATTCGTTTTAGTATGTCTCATCTGGTTTCTTCCTCTATCTTAATGGCACCTCTAGAATCCATTAGAACCTGGGACACGCAATGAGCCTAAACACTATGGAATTTCCTTCAGTGGATGAAGAGTTCCATTGGCCACCTGCCAGATTTATCATAAGACTCTCCATGATGCAATATTATATTCTATAGTATTGCCACCAATGTTACATGAGTGTTCCAAACTGCAGCTAAATCAGGTATAAAATTAATTTAAAGGAATTAAGCCATAGTATCTAGGCAAAGTTGTTTTGGCAAAAATAAAAGGTGAAAAGGTTCTTACCAGCAGTTTTAATGCCGAAATTTTGTTGTTCACCAAGAGTAACAAAGTGCCAGTCCAAATCACCCTCAATTGTTTCCAAGTCGTCATTGTCCAACAACGCAACTTCAGGCTTCATTGCGGCTGTGCGCATCACAGGTTCCATCACCATAGGCAAGTATTGCGCAAATTTTTTGCCTAGAAAAGATAACATTTTAAAATTATTTTTTTATTTGAAAGTATTTACATCATCATAGCTACTTTTTTGCTTGATGTACAGTATTTTAATGTATAAAAACTGCTGGGAACTAATTTTCATCAGTTTTAAAGTTTAATTTTATAACCTCTGGCATAGTTTCAGTTTCAAGTAACTAACAATAATTTGTAAGTAGCATAAAGAAAAAAACTGAACAGTAAGTTTCGAAGGTAAGTACAGTTGCTTCTCAATTTCGTAATATAACTTGAGTATTGTAGACTTTTACTCAAATATGTGTCAATGATATTGGTGTTAATTCTGTTGTTCAAAAACTCTCTTAAAACTAAAAATTAGTTTAGTCCTGTCAGACAACGTTTCCTATTCTGAAAATGTAGTACTTGACATGACTTAACTGATTTTAAGTGATTTTTGGTTTAAGGAGTTTTCGAACAACAGAATAACCACCATATTAACAAAAAACTAATAAACACGCTTTTGTGACGTGAAAAGCGGGGGTGTTAATTTAATATTAAATATCTTGAAAAGCACCAACGCTTTTTCACGATAAAATATTGTTATTTTTTAACTCATCAAAACTTATTTTCTACTTTTTAGTTCGGCTAGTTACAAAAGCGTATTTTTTTTTTTTTTTTTTGGCTTTTTAAGTGATTATTATAATTATTTTCTCATTAAGATTAAAAAAGTAACAAGTAAGTAAGTCACATATGCTTCAGCACATACGTTTTAGTAGCAAAAGACACTATCGTATTTTTAGGTATGAAAAAAAGCATCCTAAAGATCTTTATCAGGATAATTCGCCAAATTTATCAAATTATTTTATTGCCATCGATTCTTGCAAAGTTTCAATTTAATTCGACGTTTTAAAGTGGGTCAAAATCAAGATTCGAAGAGGAAATTCGAAGATTCTGTTCCATACATACATACTAAGCTAATAAAAGCCTTTTAAAAATAGATAAATTTATGTTGTTTTCCTTAACTATTCACAGAAACTCAAAGTACTGATTTTTTTTGTTATTGTATGTGCACTAAGATCTCTCACTTTCTACATAGAAAGCAATAGACCAAATGCACAATTAATATCCCAATGCTATGGAGGCGATGTACTCTGCGAAAAAAGTATATCACTAACGAACATTGGGTATGTAATGTAATATGTATCTTTTATACATTATACAGACATTCTCATATGAAAGTCAGTACATGTAATCAACACATATAATCGGCAGCCATATTCCTGAAATTGTTAATATTTAAAGTTTGTAGTTTTTTAGTAGTCACTAATTAGAAGGACGCGGCCGTAGTGATGACTCGTCATAAAATTTAAACTATGTATCTGAAATGTATTTTAGAATTTAAATAAATGCAACTCACCCATAATTCTACAAATACGTGACCAGGCAGATATTAGATATGAAGTCTGTGGGTCATCAGCAGGTAATTGTTCTCCTGCTGTGTGGGTTTTCAGAAGTAAATCCATCACTTCAGAAGCATCTGATGTAAATTTTTCTTCACCAACAGCCAACCCTATTAAAATAAAATGAGTTTTGCAATTTGAGTCCCCCTTCTTAGTTCTTCAGTTACTAGACAAGTGGATCAGCTGCTATTAGCACAACACTCAAAAAACGAATTTCTTAGCTATTGAATAGTCAAGTATCTTTAAAAAACCAAAAATAGTTCAATGGAAAATTAGTTGAAATAAAACAAAGTAAAAACTTTGCTCTTCAAATGTGTTACCAAACAAAAGACAAATGTATTTTGATTAATAGTCTAGTTTTTTTTTTCTAAAATGGGTATATACATGGGGGGTATATTCAGACCACTTTAGGCAAAAATTGGTTCTAATCGGTACATATTAATATAAACAAATATGATTACTGCCTATTGTATCCATTTTTTAATGTGTAATTATTTCTTCAGGAAATGCGATAACAGAAAGACAAAATTTATCTGAATTGCATTTTCTTAAGGTTTTCTAAATAAACTAACCAAATAGGACAGGATTATGTTTCTGGCATTTCATTATTAAAAGTTGTTAAGTAAATTTATAGATATAAAAAATATAATTGTGAAATATGAATGTTTTATTTACCAATAAGACTGACACATTCGATGGTTTTCCCACGAAGCATCTTCAAGTCATCAGTAGTAGCATTGGCAATAATGTACTTGAGGCAAGGCATCAAGCGGTCATAATATATAAGAAAGTCTTTCTCTACAGTGTCAGCCACTGAGGCTATAGTTGTCACAATTTGTTCTAGCACAAGCTTTGTGCCTTGTTCAACCAGCTAAAACAATAAGTTATTTTGACTTAAGTTTATATTCACTATGTCAATAGAGGTAAAATGTTTGTGAACTGAGATCCCTAACTTTCTATATGAGAAAGAAATGGAGCAATTGCCACAATTTAATCTTCCAATGCTTTTTAAGTGCCATAAATAAATTGCATGTACAGCACAAACGCACATTGGATAATTCAACAAAAGAGTAGTACACTAGTCTTACCTCTTTGAATTTTGTGGTCAAGATAACCTCAAGCTTGTTCATCAAAGGATCGAGGTACTGGGTGAGGATTGGTTTAGGACAATCTTCACTGAAGTTTACTAAAGCAGCTGCTGCATGTGCCTGTAATAGATGAACATTGTGTTTAAGATGTGTCAACCAAAATAAAATACTTTTAATGCTTAGGATTTCATTCTACCTGTACACGAGGATTAGCATTGTCATCAAGCACCATTAAGAGACCAGGTACAACTTTGTCATGAAACTTCTTTTCAAAAATGGGAGCGAAATCCGTTGACATCTGTCCCACAGCGTTACATGCGGCGTATCGGACGCGAGGATGCTGTAACAATTTAATTCACTTATAAGTTGTAATTTTATACTAATGTTTGATATAAGTTCTAAATAAAACAATATTAATTCTTAGCATTGAGTACTCACAGGATCAGTAAGATAATTTAAAACAGCAGAGACCACTTGATCAAGCATCTGTTCCATTTGCTTATGACAGCCTTCCCCAGCAGAAGAGACGGCCATTAGAGCGGCGTGGCGACGCTTCCAGTCTTCCGAATGTAACATTTCAGGCACTTGCCCAACAATTAAATTCAACATTATCTTGCCTCCCAAGCCGCAGCACATACGGTCTAGAGCGGATTCAGCAGCTACATAATTTCTGTAAAAGCATTTTAAAATTTAAAATTTCCATTGACATTCTCTGATAAGTAAGAAACTTGAAATTACATTTAAAATTGGAATGTTACCAAGGGACTGACACTCAAATGTATAAGAAACATAGAGTGCTAATTATCTTGTTATTTGATCTTGTAAGATCATAACTGACTACAACATTAATGATGTAGCCAAAGAAAAGATCTTACCATTTGGAAAACTCAATCATGCCTATCTGTAATATTATTGAAAATGTTTACATAATCATTGATTAATTAATCATTGATAGACAGGACCATTATTCTTGATAGAACAACAGTCCTTTCCTTATCAGCCAGTTTTTATTCACGTTAAATTAATACAATTTCATATTTTAATTAGCTCATACCATAAAGAGTAATGGTAAAAAAAATGAGCGAAGCTTACACTAATTGCATATAATGTGTAACATCTGACATCTCACTTACCATTTGATGCCCATATCTCTAACATTGTGCGCGCTCATTTGGTCAAGTCATATTTGATTTGAGCAATGCGCAAATGATGTCCTTTTCGCGTAATCATATGCAGATGTGAGAGACACATATGCAGATCACAGATACAGGAAAGCGAGAGGAAAGATGTTACACAACAATAAATGACGTTTTAAAAAAGTGTAGTACAATTTATATATTTAAATAATTAAACTGTTGAGCTTCTGTGGAGAGTTGCTGCACTTTTTATTAGAAAATGAATATTTCAATATTTTTAGTCACTACATGAAGTTCAAATTATGTACTTTCTGTGCTGTGTTTATGTTACTTTCAAATTCATGATACAAGATGTTTTCTAGTTCAATTTTTTTATCCATAACATTTGTATTTGTCAAGTAAATATGTTTTATCTTCTGAATTGATCAACTTCATTTAGTAAGGTTATCAATAGACAGATGTGTTTAAATTTTACTGAGTGACTTTATGTAGTTGCTTAAAAATAGTTTAGATTAATTAACTATTTAATTTAATAGAACTTCACATCTAGCTTGTTGATAGCTGAGAATTTTTTGATATAAATGAAAGATGATATGTATTTCTCTTTGTGTAAAGCAAATCTATTTTTTATTTAAAGTTTATGATTTTTACTAACTGTTCGTTGTCATCTTCGGCGGCGTCGTCTTTAAGAGACCAGTCAGGTTCGTCCTCGAGCTCGCACATCATGTCGAGCACGAGCGGCGTGAGCGTGCGCACACCGTTGGGCACCCTCTTGCGTACCATGGCTGGCGCCGTCTCGCACAACGTCACCATCGCTTCTAGAGCCAGCTGACGCCAGTTATCTTCTGCGTCTTTATCTCCTACGATCTGTATGAGCGTTTATTATAAGTAATGTCTAAGTTATGTCTTCAATGCATTTGCAAAAGTATTTACAATTTTTAAATTAAAAACGGTCCTTGCTACAAAAGTTTCAGTGTTACGAAAGGAGTCTTAATAATTTATCAGGGTTTTTATAACAAACATTTTTCTAGATATTTCGTGATATAGATCTTTTAAAAGTATTACTTAAATATTAATATACATTTATATTGAAAGAAAGCATTATCTATAATAATACTCTATTACATATAAGTAACAACACTTAATGACTTTTCTGCAACACATAGATGTATATACCATACCCCAAATATTTTACACTAACCTTTATGCACACGTGGAAAAGAGGCTCGAGTTGGGGTCGCAAAAACTGAGGTGCAGATTCCGCTAATTCGATAAGCACCTTCAATGATGAATCGTCATCGCTTTTCTCAATCGATTGGACAATAACCTGTGAAAGAAAATATTTAAAGTTAGATGTCTCAATGCGATGCAGACCGGGATGTTGGGCACTCTTTGGGGAAGGCCTTCGTTCGGAATTAGACGGCGTTAGGCTGATGATGATGAAACTCCAGTACAGGCTACATTCAAGCCATGTGAATGTCAATGTCTGAAGAACTACTATCAAACTTCACCCTATTGAGAGGATGTTGTTAGCGAAATTCCCATTTTGTTCTTGCACATCTAGGCAAAACACACAATATTGTATAATCATGTGTTTGTAAATATGTGCGAAATTTATGTAGGCATGATAGCAACAATATAGTAGAAGCAAGTGTTTCTAATTGCTAATATCTTGGAGATAAATTAGGTAACAACTGCCAATTGTTAGCAGCAATTGTTTTTATAAATTGCAACACTGAACAATCGTATTGTTGTTATATGGAACAAACTTCTGGAAAGTGTAGCGACTGCGAAATCAGTGAACATTTTTAAGTGCCAACTTGATAAATGGTTGGAAAAGCATAATCCACTAGACTAAACAACAGTTTATACATATACACGCGAACTCCTACATCACGAACTTACTCCATCCAGTGCAATGATGTGAACACATCAGGAAGTTTGCTACTTGTCTATACATAATACCATAATTATAAAATAATTTTCTAGCCTAATGTGACATCATGCATTAATATTAAAAGCCTTGAACGGGGATCTAATATATGAATCTGCAAATTATAAAGGAAAACATGTTTGGGTCATTATTCTCAACATTGTCTTTCCAGCACAATATCCTAAATTAAGGTTTAATTTTTGTTTTTTTTTTTCTACAAGGAAGACCATGTAGAAAACTTAGTTTTACATAGCCATATAATACGATGTTCTGATCTCGAGTAGCGTCGTTGGGGCTCATAACAATAGGTAAACAGTGACACTATTGCTGAGAGTACTAGTTATCACTGGTACAACAAAGAATTAAAAACAATTTTTAACAAAAAAAAATTGAAAATTAGATAATCTTCAATAGACTCCTAATTATAGCACTATATCAATAAAATAAACTGATCATTGTCATTCATTATACATATCAACAAAACAGCAAAGACAATAGAGGCTAAATATAGAAGAACAATTTGTAATAAAATCACCATGCTTTGAATTCATAAGTAGCACCTACTTACAACTCGAGTGTTTACCAGTACTGTGGTACAGTGGTATCAGTAATAGACAAAGGTAGGTACAGATTATAAAAAGAATATTGCACATTAAATAATATTATTCATAATATTTTTTATATGTTTCAGGGACATGGACAAGAGTAAAAAGAATATAATAAATAGTAGTACATGGTGAAGAAAACTTGCTAAACACCAAACTTTCATTTAGGTGTGTGGTTCCGTAGTTACAGCAGTTGTGGAGGAACTTTTATTTTAGTGAGACAGGGACATTGATACCAAGAACTAGCAGATATTGCTAAGCAGAACCAGATGCAGTTAATTTGTAATTTTTTTTTAATCTTTCTTGATAGTGCTAATATAATTTGACTTTAAGAAGATTTACATTACATGTGCGACAAAAATCATTGTTGCATATAAAACAATAGTTTAACATTGAAACTTTTTTTGTAGTATTTAACTTCCTCAGCAACTTCTGATAGAGGGAGGATCATGGCAGTACAATACCATGTGATGGCAGCAACCCTACTTTAATCATTGGATTAACTATGAGTATGAGTAATGTGCTAAAAAGAAATACTTTTGGAGAATCAAATAAACCAACCTGCATCAATGGAATAAGTATATCAGTGAAATGTTTTTGTATGGCAGGCTCCTTGTCATGTAGAAGTATGAACGCACCAACAGCTTTTACAGCTTGAGTGCGAAGAATTTCAGAGTTGGACTGGAGTCCAGACAGTAACATGCGCTTTATCACAGGTAGATTTTCATTCTGACGATGCCCAAACACACCAGGCACTGACCTGTAATAATAATATAAACCATTATTAAACCCCCTAAATGTTAAGTATTCGATAATATTTCTTAATGTATAAATTATGAAACCTGTGCACTAAGAGCTCAATGGCCATCATACAAGATTTTAACAAATGATGGGTCATCTTTTTTTTAAATTATTTGTTGTCATAACTGCACACACTGTTAGTTTTAACTGTGTACCTATTGGAGCGGTTGCGCACTATGTCCGATCAGGATTCGTGAAAATAAGGTCTAAAGTAGTCGTAGAACTATTTCTATTTTTTTTAAGGAAGAGGGAGCAAACCTGCAGACGGGTCACTTGATAGAAAGCGACTACCGCCGCCCATGAATGGACTTTGAGGAAGGGGTACGGTAGCTATGGTAGCTTACGCACTAAATCCGACTTCCGTTATCCGTGTATATCCATTCTGGATAATTACTTTTAATCAATCTGTCCGTCAATAATTATTGAGGGACCAAAGTAGCCATACTATTATTTGTTTGAAGGCACCCAGAATTCTTTACTTCTTCTATGTCGTTCCGTTTCTTACGTACAATAGCATTGCTAGAAGTTGACGTCGATCGAAAGGACTCATGATCAACGACGTCAACGCTCTGCTGTGGCTCCGCGTAAAATGACGTACGTTAAAAGGTGAAAATTGCTTGGCTTAGATTCGGAGATCGCAATAGTGCTTAAACAATATATGAATTCAGTCAGTCAGCCTTTTAAATTCACAATTATAGATCATAAATCTAAGATAATAATAAGACTTATGTTCGAGTTTTTTAGATCCGTATTTGAACGGATTCGGATCGGACGGAGTGCGAAACTGCTCTTACAGTATATGAAATACCAACAGACCCCTTTTCTTTTTTTTTTCCGTGCGGAAATCCCCTCGGATACCACCTATCGGTGGCATGTCGGACACGAACCGACTAAAACCGCAAGCCGTCTCGGGTACTAATAGCCGGGGAACCAGGTATACCCTAGAAAGGAAGTCCCTGGTGCACCAACAGACCCCTAAAAATCTTGCAAGTTGATTATGATAATTATAATACTATGTTTAACTGTATGGTGAACTACTATCAAACTTCATCTCATGTAGGAGATGATGTTAGCGAAATTCCCATTTTCATTTTGCACATCTTGGCAATACAACATTTTATAAAAAAATGTGTATGTAATTATGTGCTATGATATGACATTTAAAAGATTTATATTCCTACAACCTCTTTCTAAGGAGAGGCTTATTTCCAGCAGTGGACTGTTAAAGGCTGTTGATGTGATATTCCTACTACATGTCAGTTATAGTGTATGTAAAAACATTGGACGGTAGGTTAATTCTCGTAATAAAAATTCCGTATTGTACTCTCAATCACACAAAAGGTATTCTCGTAGTAAAGTATTAAATATCCAGCGGTGACTATAATGTGCGTTATATCATATTGAGATCAAAGGTTTAATCGGTATTCTGCTAGTTTAGGCCCGTATATTAAAAGGTGTCTCAGTCGTGAATCTAGTCTTAAAATTAATTTTAAGTAAAGATATTATTATTGAACGTCATTTTATTTTTGAACTTATTTTAGAACGATGTTTATGTCGAAATCTTTACTCAGGTATAGATTTTGATTTTTTTACCAGGGATTTCCCTTCTAGGGTACACCTGGTTCCCCGGCTACTGGTACCCGAGACGGCGTGCGGTTTTTGGTCGGTTCGAGTTCGACATAATCACCACGGTGGGTGATATCCGAGGGGCTTTCCGCACAGGAAAAAAAGGTATAGATTTTGACAGATGTCTTTGTTTACGTGAGATAAGCTGAAACTAGTCTCAAGCGGTGGTTTCTGGGGCATTTTAGGGGAAATGAAATTGTTTTACGATGATGTGTTTCTGAATAATTACGAAAGATTTGCTTTATTTATGTGAGAATTACTTGTCATACATAATCAATTCACTTTTATGTACCTTAATTGATATTAAATCAACTGAAATTCACATTATACACACAACACTTGTTAAAATTAAAGTCACTACAATCTTTTGGTTTGTGTTAAAAGTATAATATTTTAATTAGTTTTATAAATTTTGGAAATATAAAAATAAAAACATTGACAATTCAACATGACAAGTGTTGATAAATAACTTGAACGTTCCGTTATAGTTGATAACTGATAACTGTCATTTTTATGAGGGTTCCGTACCCAAAAGGTAAAACGGGATCCCTATTACTAAAACTCCACAGTCCATCCGTCTGTCACCAGGCTGTATTTCATGAACCGTGATAGTTAGACAGTTGAAATTTTCAGATGTATTTCTGTTGCCGCTATAACAACAAATACTAAAAACAGAGTAAAATAAATATTTAAGTTTGGCTCCCATACAACAGACATGATTTTTTTTTGTCGTTTTTATAGATAATGGTATGGAACCCTTCGTGCGCGAGTCCGACTCGCACTGGACCGGTTTTTTATTATTATTTATTATATTTAACGAACAACAAGCTTGTTAATATGTTTAAATTGCTACACTAAACTACAAATTCACAGTAATGATGTTAGTAAAAGTTTTTTGTATTTAAATAATTAGCTGCGACTAATAACGTCGATTATCATCATCATCCTCAACAGCCTATAATAGTCCACTGCTGGACATAGGCCTCTCCTTAGAAAGGAGGTTGTGGAAACGTTTTGGTTTGCGGAAACGTAATTGAGAACAGACTAAGTTCAAATCAATAATTGAAAGTAGTTATAATTGAGTAAAACTTAAAACGCGTTCTATAATAAGAGCGATACTAAGTTTTGATCTGCACTAAATATCATAATAATAATAATATTTCGGACATCTGACATACAGCCGTCTAGTTTCAAACTAAACAGAGCATGGACTATGAAAGCTAGATTGAATGATATGTTCAATATACATATATTATAATTTCGAGTGAAGAAAATCTTGAAGACAGGATTGATCTCATGAAGATTTGTTTTTGCAATTACAGTGGCATCTCTATAACTCGAACCTCGTTAAGTCGAAATCCTCAGTAAGTTGAAAAAAAAATGCCATTCCCTTCCGCTGAACCCCTAAATACGCGGTATCTTTAATTATTTAGACTTTGTAACTCGAATAAAATGTTATTTCCCTACGAAGTATTGATAATACATCTTTAATAACTAGAATTTAAAAAAGGAGACTCCGTAAGTCGTAGTTAGTAAATACAATCAGTTCTTACTTGGAATTCCCCGAAATAATACCAATAAAATCCAAAATGAATGTCCGGGTTCGGGGCTTCTAATCTATTGTTTTTGTCTTGTACACGTGCAGTGAATGGATACTCTCTCACACACACACACACACAGGCGCGCGCACGAGCACGCACGAGCACGCACGCACGCACGCGCACACACACACAATGATCGACATAGTTAATCAGAATATGGATGACGGATGATTTTAATGAACATGACGTTGATCATACTGATCCAGCAAGTTTTGAACCACCAATAAGAAATAAAGACGCTAGAGCTGCAATCAACACAATACGAACTTACGTTAAAAGATGTGATGATATCGAACTTGAAAAAATAATTGGTAAAAAATCTGCAACTTGTTTAAATCAAAAGAAGATAACGGTTCTTTTTTAGTGTACTACACTTTACTAATATGTAATTTGCTTTAATATGTAAAAAATATATTTGTACTATAAAACTTACAGTGAATTGTTATTCAAATTTAACTCTACAAATCGAAAATATACTTAGAAAACGCGCCTCTGTAAGTAGAAATTTCAGAAGTCATATGTATCTCGAAGTTCCTGTCAAGTCGAAAACTCGTTAACTCGATTTATTTTTGCATTTTCCACTGTATCTTAAGAAAATAAAATCTATAAAATGTTGAGATGGTAACTGATATAAGTATCAAGAGAAATGGCTACCTCAAAATAAAGTTCATAAATGATTCTTATCTTAAAACCCTTGGAATAAAATCATCTATAACCGTCGTTTTTTACGTTTAGCTCATTCAATGGCACGTAATTAATGTGTTTACTACAGTAAACACTACTCAGTTATTTGACTTTCGCCTTTGCCTACCGATTCATTATTTTATGTTACTATTTTTTTAAATTCTATTTCGTTTCACAACTTTTGCTACAATAAAAATTCATTCATAAACTACTTACGTAAACATTCTAATACCCGCTTCTTGTATGTTGGGATCCATTGCACCAGCACAATTAAACATAAACTGCAGAAATTCTGGCCATTGGTTGACGCCATCGTCGTCTATGTGGTTTCTTGCCAATTCTGACACTACGTCACAGATCTAGAACAAAGACATACATTTTCTGGAATTGCAGGACATTTGATCAGTGTACATACACTAAAGGACCATTAAAGGAACTTTAAAGTTAGAGACCTTCGTGGGATAACTTAAAATAATGAACATGAAATGAGAAAAATACAACTGAAATTTTCAAGGCATTAAGCGGGTGGTGACGGATTAAGAATTCAGAGTGTCACCACCCCTATTCAACCCGTGGGTGTCGTAAGAGCCGACTAAGGCAAACTACGCAGGACAATAGCACTGCAAAGAGAAGGAAAACGTGACACAAATCCTGTACCAACCCGTCTCTGGCCAGCGTGGTATAGTAGGCCAAAACCTCCGTTCTAAGGAGAAAGCTATGTCCAGCAGCGGACTATTAAAGGCGGTTGATGATGATGAAGTGGGTTCGCACAGAGCGAGCAGCCTCTATTAGGCTATCACAACAATTTAAGGTTACAAATTACATAATTTATATTAGGTCAGTTTGTAAAACTAGGCCATAATCTCATGCCAAAGAGACTTTTCGAGAAATTGGCCATGAGGCTTTTCGCCTTTGCATTTTTAAATTATTTGTTGATGTACGTGACTAAACTTAACTCTTTTTTTGTCAGTTACCTTCTTAAGGTATCTAATAAAAAGATGGCGAAGAAACCAGAACTGCTCACCAACAAATCTAATTATTAATCACAAAATATTTTAATTCTCTAAAAATATATAAATATGTATGTATTCTTGTTTATATAGTAAATATTATTCGTGCTAGATGATAAAAACATAGTTGCTAAATTGTTATAAAAATGGTAAACTTCATATTACTCGATTATTATGATTACATATTCTATCAATACTTAATATCACATGGCATGATCGTGTGCGTTACCCCAGCAAAATAATGTCGAAAATGGTCATTTAAACGTTATAGATAATTAGTTGCTCCCCTTCTGTAATTGTTAGGCACATTTTCAAATTTGTTTCACTTAAACTTTTTTAGTTATTTCAAAAAAACAGTTCCTGCTGGGGTAACGTTTGAAACGTTACCGCAGCCAGACATTTTCTTTTTTAATTGTAATATTGAAATAAATTTCAGCTAAATAATTAGTTATCTGGACTAGGTAAATGTTACAACTTATTTGGTATTTGTATTTTCTTCGGCTGCGAAGTTATTCGAAATCCTGCTGGAGTAACGTTTGTGGGTTTGCTGGATCTCTGAAACGGGTAAGCGGATTGTAACCATCTTTTGTACATAACTTCTTAAGGATTAGTTTCAATTTGTTCGACAATAAAATAAAAAAAATTATGGACCGTTTAAAAATTATTTAGGTAAGTATGAAAACACTTCAATACGTCCTAACACTTTAAATAAGACCTCTAAAGACTTACTTGAAACGTTATTCTATTGCTTGTAACTACGTTCAAATGTATACGAATTTTCGTAAGAATACTGTAAGTGACTAAAAAGTTATGATGAAATGTAGCTCTCCACGTTCACGATCACAATGTGTGCGGCCTTTTTTGGCCACCGATAAACCTGTGTGTGGATATATAAACTGAATGTTATGCCAAGAATTAGTTGTTTAGTTCAGTTGTCTACCTGTAGAATTTCAGCGTCGTACATATAATAATTTACGAGATAATTAAATAAAAGTCATTAGAAGGTGTAAGTCCGTGGTAATCCGACCATGTTTAGGTGGTTACAAAAAAGCGATCACCCAGTACATTGCGCTGTCTTTTAAAATGTTTAGTGTAATACACCTTACGATTTCGGTACAGTTGCGTACAGTGTTAAATACATTCAATATTTATTCATTATTATTACCTATTATTTATTTTGTTTTTTTCCCTAATTGATCTTAAGCACTAGTTTCTTTACTTAAAATTTCTTTAGTCTTTTTTACTACCGGAGCTACAATCAACAGAAAATCTGCACTGGTCCGCTAAAATTATAAATATGTAGATACATGTATGAACGATTCACCTGACTGCAATTAATCGAAAATTTAAACCAATAAGAAATCGTTTCATTTCTTTGATTTTTTTTTGTAAAGAAATAACACTAAAGTAATTGTATTTTATTTTGGGGTGTATAGAGCTTAGACTTGAATGCATCACAATATTTTAAGCAACAAGTCATCTACAATAAGTTAAAATAGACCGAATAGTAGAAGAATACAGTTGTAAATTAGAATGCATCAACATTGCATCGCCCAACAGTCGTATACCTCGTAAGAGTAGGTAATATTGTTCTGTGGTCTATACCGAGAACCGAGAATTATCTATACCTATGTACCTACCGTTAAGCGTTGAGCCCGTGACTGTTGATTTCTGTTAAAAACGAACAGTTGTTGAATGATATTTTGATATAATAACGGTAATTTAATTTATCGAGTGAAAGTGATACATCATTATAGATAAAATTATTGGTCAGATAATATTTGTCAATCAAGAATCGCTGATAATACATCCTTCGCTAGAACGCGGGAGGGGAGGGGCGAAGGGATACTTCATTGTTGGCAATTTGCATCTAGTGCACTAAACTTGACCCTTAGGCAGATAATATACGTGTTGTAAAGTACGTGTGCGCTTCCGCTTTCTATTTTTGCAAATATTAATCGTATTCTTGAGAGTTCTTCAATATGTGTGTACCTAATTACTAATAATGGGCATTAATGCTAATTCGATTCAATTTAATTAATTGTCAATTCTTGTCTTAGGATATTAATTACTAATGCTAATATTAAAATTTTGTTCAGGGTGAACAAATTAAAAACGATCATAACTTGTAGGTATATCACTTATTACTAATTTTACATAAATAATTTATTTTATTATAATTTAACTCACCGCGATTTTGTGATCAAATATTTTATTTTCTCCAACATTATTACAGAAATAATGCAATACAGAGTTTGTTCGCGATATGCTAGCCTAAGTCGATTCATCACTTAAAAAAATCCCCATCTATTCACAAAATACCTATTTACAACGCATACGTTACACTCTTCAAAACTTAAATTACCTATACCTACCCTAAAATTAAACTTCAATTAACAAATACTACGCAGGTACCAATTCTATGAACAACTATAAACAATTCACCTAAACATTACGAGAAAACAAAAGCATTCAAAACAATACCTAATCTCCCGGCTGATTACTAATTATGCAATAAACAATCCTAAATAAAAAATATTTAAAAAACATGTAGTTTTTTGTAACACTTATGTACATATCCGTAGTAAACTTGCAAATAATATCCTACATATTTTAAAAGCCAGCACAATGTACTGGGTGATCGCTTTTTTGTAACCACCTAAACATGGTCGGGTTACCACGGTCTTGCACCTTCTAATGACTTTTATTTAATTATCTCGTAAATTATTATATGTACTACGCTGAAATTTTACAGGTAGACAACTGAACTAAACAACTAATTCTTGGCATAACATTCAGTTTATATATCCACACACAGGTTTATCGGTGGCCAAAAAAGACCGCACACATTGTGATCGTGAACGTGGAGAGCTACATTTCATCATAACTTTTTAGTCACTTACAGTATTCTTACGAAAATTCGTATACATTTGAAGGTAGTTACAAGCAATAGAATAACGTTTCAAGTAAGTCTTTAGAGGTCTTATTTAAAGTGTTAGGACGTAGTGAAGTGTTTTCATACATACCTAAATAATTTTTAAACGGTCCATTATTTTTGTTATTTTATTGTCGAACAAATTAAAACTAATCCTTAAGAAGTTATGTACAAAAGATGGTTACAATCCGCTTACCCGTTTCAGAGATCCAGCAAACCCACAAACGTTACTCCAGCAGGATTTCGAATAACTTCGCAGCCGAAGAAAATACAAATACCAAATAAGTTGTAACATTTACCTAGTCCAGATAACTAATTATTTAGCTAAAATTTATTTCAATATTACAATTAAAAAAGAAAATGTCTGGCTGCGGTAACGTTTCAAACGTTACCCCAGCAGGAAATGTTTTTTTGAAATAACTAAAAAAGTTCAAGTGAAACAAATTTAAAAATGTGCCTAACAATTACAGAAGGGGAGCAACTAATTATCTATAAAGTTTAAATGACCATTTTCGACATTATTTTGCTGGGGTAACGCACACGGCATGATCAAGTTTTCTTTGTTTAAACTATTACTACACCCTATCCACGCGCAAAAATCATATGACGAGCTTGTACACGAGTTAATGAGATGAGTTTATACATGGGAACAGAGGGCATAGTACGAGTTTTTTTTTTACCTCAACTCAACGCGTTCGGCGTTGCAACGCCGAACGCGTTCATTGTGACGATCGAGTATTTGTGAAATAAACTCACACTAGGCCCTCGGACATATTTATTACGTCTACACTACTATGCAAGTGCACCTAACTAATTATATGTGTACTTGTGTTTCTACTTCTAGATTCAACCACTTTTGCTTTTTTTTTTCTTTTAAAATTACTGAAGCCCTAAACAAAGTTATCAGTGACCTTTTATTTCTAAAACTGCCACTTGAAGGAATTTTGCCAGTATATACCGAATAAGAACAAGTTGTATCTATATAATCACACAATGTTTTTTTGCAGTTATAAATATCTTGTCTATTTTCTCATCGATTTAAGATGCCAACTACTTACAATATTATTATCATCCCACGGATATTCTCCGCCCATGAGTGGGACTCGGTCAGACTCTTACAGAATAAAAACGTCCGATGGGAGACAGGACCCGTATTAAAGACAGGTCGCGTCACCCAGAGCGACCGCCACCCGTCTGCTATACTCCTTGAATAAGCAGGCACGAAACAGAATTTAGTTCAAACGACGACTTGCCAAAAAAGTTTGCCGTCCGTAGGCGGTTTCCTATTCTCGGCGGTGCCCGGGGCATCTGCTACAGGCAGTAATCGTATTCCGCTCTTTCTCCTGTTCGTAGTATTATAGACGAAATACAGTTGGGGGAGAGCACCCGTAACACCGACAGCCACAAAGAAATCACGGCGCTAGCTACTCTAGGCCGGCTAGATTGTCGGTTGTCTTTGCGATCTTCACAATCGTGGCACTGTGATATCAGCGTCTGGTTCATTTGACACAGGTACTTGCAGAAGCAATGATTGTCGTTGGCATAGTGGTATGTCCCATCATAATTTTCTCAGCTATGGAATATTATGTAGAGCAGATTTCATCTTTTGTGACAACTGCCAAGTCCCAAATATTGTGTACAAATTTTTTTTGACAAGGTCCAATTAGTATTATAACCTTATCAATTAAATCTAATTCATGCATTGCTTGTGATTGGTTAATTTTGTATTTAATTGATTAAGACAATATTTTATAATGTGCACATAGGAAACTGTATATCTAGTTGTGTCATCCATTTTTTTTTATTGTTTCAAATACCAGTATTTAACCAGAAAATTAACCCCGATAAACTTTTAATCAATAACCCTAGTGTGATCCTGGAGGAGCAAATGAGAGTGTTACGTGGAACACTTGCTGGACTTCCACTAGTAGCTGGCAACATAGTTCCTTAAGAACTAATGAAGTTATGGAACAGCTCGTAGGCATTACAAAAGCACAACGAAATTCACACAGATAATGCTATGAAATAATGGATTATACTAACTTGTTAAAAGTTAGTTTCTAATTCATTTATACATACTGAATGGATCCATAGTTCAATATTCAGATAAATAATTGTGACATCTGATTTACCTGGTCATAAAAATATATAATGGTGAAAGACAGTAGTGCTCAAGTAATGCCAATTATATGGTGTTGGGAAAATCAAAGCAGGACTTTTTATTCACATCAAGCAATTAAAAATTATTTGCAAAATTGGGTTTCTTACTACAAAGTCAACTTTATATTCATCAAAATTAAGTGTTCATGTGAAGCCAAATATTTAAACCAAGTGTAGTCCTTTACATATGATTTCTTGCAGATAGCAGCGAGTCATCACTTATCTCCTAAGTATAGGATGAAATTACATTCAATGTACCAAAATGAATTCATAGAGCATGACTCAACTATTTAGAAGTTACACCATAGAATACAATATGGGAATGTCAAATTCAGTAATCTACTGATTCCTGTCTATTAATATTGAAAACACTACAGCCAAATGTAATGAAGGTTTTTAATTGTTAATTTAAATAATATAAATTTTAGACTAACCTTACGTCGCAACTGTTGGCTGACATCCAACTGCAGTGTGAGGAGAAGTTGTTCTCGGAGTGCTGCTTGTTGATCAAACGGCAGCTTTGGGAAGAATTCAAAGAACTCAGCACTGAACAACCGCCGCAACAGTACAGCGGCTGTCTGTCGTCCCTCTTCCCCAACAGCGACATTTTGGATAGCACCCACCAAGTGAATCACCTTCGTTTCAGTAGGAATACTGTTATACGCATCCTGACAGGCGAAAAAACATTTTTTATTATTTCCTGAGGCAACAGTGCACATTTTCAGAATTTAAGACTTACTTTCTAAAGTATGATTACAGTTTACCAACACTGAAGTCTAAAAATCCAAAGATACTTAAGTGTTATAATTACAGCAATAATGATTATATGAATAACTTGCTGTTTTTGCTTAACAATTGAAATTGAAAAAGGAATATCCATGACCAGAAAAGTGACGTACAAAGAAAGCTTACTAATTAAATTCTTCCTGTTTACTAGTGTCATTAAAACGATAATAATATTTTAAATTATGCTATGTGTGCATATAAACTTGAATAGACCACCCGGCTTAAAATAAGCGTTTCATAGGGTTTCATTTAATGTAAACATATAAGCATTTCCATTAGTTTATTCAAGTCACCAATTGCTTAGAAGTTTTTTATTAACTTGAATGTTCTATTTTGAAGACAAACAAAGTGTTAGATATAATAATAAGAGTCATTACATTTATCCTCCATGACCACGTTTTGACACGAGGCCTCGTTAGAATGTTAGAATTAAATGCCGGCTATTTGTGTTTAGTCAAATGATTAAAATAGTAAATCATGGCCTAATTAACGTACTCACCTCTGCTTGGGATCTGATGACATTATCTGTTGATAATAAAGTATTTAGTAACTGGTAGAATTGCGCCTGATCTCCTGCCATGTTGAACCTCTTCAAAAAGGCCCAATTTTTTTTCATAAACTTATATCTGGCTGATCACTAGGTCCAAGTTGCCAGTATCGTTCATAATGATGTTAGAGATAAATTCGATTAAAAGAAAATGTTTATCAAATTCGGTACAAGTAATAAATATGTAATACAAATAATAAAATTTAACTTCAGCAGATATTTAAAACTGATTAATTATTCTAAATAATATTTTGATTGAATCGACTACAAAGCATAGACAATAAATTGAAACCGAAAAACCATCGCCCTCGGACTACGGGCATTTGGTTCTTAGATTTGGTTAGACACTTTATGCCTTATGGGCACAGATTAAGAGATATGTACAATGTACATCTTATGGTATCTTACTTTAGTCAAAAATCACAGAGCTATAATCAGGGCTGCCAACCGTACGAGCTTCCTCGTACAAATACGAGATTTGTGGATGGTATACGAGGTATGAGGCACGATCATGCCTGATCGTCGATCCTAGATTTTGATTTAGAAAAAAATATAGCATGATTTTTTATTATGAAAAACATTTTGCATCGTCAATTGGTTTTACAATTTGTATAGAACTTAAGGATCAAAATCTGTTAGAAAATTATTAATAAATCTTAATTGTTTTTTTAAGATGGAAAGCTTGGAAAAAAGCCTATATCCAACCGTCTGGCCAGCGTGATATAGTAGGGCCAAAACATCCTTTCTAAGGACAGGCCAGCAGCGGACTAAGAAAGGCTGATGATGATGATTGTTTTTTTTAATAATTATATTTCTCTAATTCTAAATTGTTGAAATTAATAAATATGTGCTAAATTTACAGTTATTATTTATTAAGTAAAGTGCATGGTGTGATGCCAAAAGATGAGATCTGTAATTATTTATGAAGAAGAAAAAGTTCTAAGGTCAGCAACCCTGGTTATAGATTAATTGACAACTGCTTCACAGTCCAAGTCATGTCATGATCTTGTCTTTCAAAATTAGTGTAATTATTTCTATAGCTTACGTGAATTTAGTCTACATGAATAAGTTAATTTAATATACAAATAGTTTAAACGTTTACAGTATCACTTTGTAATGGTGATTATTTGTTCAATATTCTTATTTGATCATGGTCCTAACCTCGAAAATGGAAATTTTAAAACAATATTATTACTGTCCACAGGCGAGTTCAATTATTTTGGCTGGTCTTGGGATGGCTGCGATAGGATTTGCTGGTCGTTATATACTCAGACAGATGCCGAACGCTTCAATAAAATTTGCTGAAGCTGTTAAAAATCTTCCCAAATTCGATGCAGATAGTTTAGCAAACTCTAAATATTATAAAGGTGGTTTTGAACATAAAATGACTAAGCGAGAAGCCGCCTTAATTTTGGGAGTTAGTCCAACTGCAAGTAAAGCTAAGGTGACTCCTTATAATTATTACTTATTTGGTTTGTTGGCTGTATCTGTCAAGAGAAAATAATAATAAACTATGCTATATTATAATAATTGTAAAATTGCGTTTTCAAAACAAATCAACAACTAAAACTTTGGTATTCAGTAGAGACAAGGTCGAACATAGTTTTGTTGTCTTTAGTATATAATTGAAATTAATATAAATACAAATTAGTATTTGTTTAATAATAACAAAACCAAAAAATCATGAGTGATGTTGGTGTCAATATTAACAACATTAATATTTATTTGGTTTTCAGATCACTACCTCTGGTTTTCTGATGTTCATCTTATATAATTGTGTTTATGGGAATTAGAACTAGTGTGACCGATATCTCCACCAATGGCAATGCCAAACATATTCACTGTCAAGCGCAAGTTGATGTGAAATAAACTCACACTAGGCCCTCTGGTTGAAAAGTCACAGAATATCTGTTGTGTTATAAACATGAATGTTATAGTTTAAGAATGTTAATCATCTTAATCGTTATTGCAGCATTGTTAGTGTAATTACATCAGCATATTTGTGTACCTGTGTAAATATGATTTTTGGTCCTTATTTCAGATAAGGGATGCTCATCGAAAGATTATGCTTCTAAATCATCCTGATAGAGGTGGATCTCCTTTGATTGCGGCTAAAATTAATGAAGCAAAGGATCTTCTTGAAAGTGGGAAATCATGAACATTAATTATTAAAAATTGTGTAAATAGAAATTTGTTTTTAGAATTCTGCAGGTTATTAAATATCTAGTAGATGCCTACAAATATGGGATGTTATGTGATATTTGTTTAATAGGGAACTTGCACATAAATAAAATATATTACAACATCTCAATAGTCTATTCTGTTACAATGAACATCCAAACACATATATTGTTGTATATTCTAACATGGTCTTTTGGGATTCAGGTAGCACGACTTGTCAAATACAACACATACACAAAGATCATCCAACAGATATCATCAGTAGAGTATTATATACTAATACATGTTAAAGTTTATGAAGATGTGAAACTATCTAGTACAAAATTTAGAATTCATTCACTAGATATTTTTACTATACTGATTATATTTAAAGTTAAAACTGGCCAAATCTAATCACACCTAGTAAGTATATTATTAGGGACTTAAACATATTTTAGGCTAACATTTAGGCAGGCAATATCATATCTTGCTTCAAATAAATCTCTGCTTAATAAACTATATATTTAAGAAAATCAAATATATTTTTTTAAGCAATATTGGTTATTAAAAACATCCAGCTTTTAATAAATTATGTGCTATGGAGCAGTAAAGATAAGTAAGTGTATAAAACCAGGTTCTGCAACGCTATCGACCCCTGGACCCCTGGATCGCTAACCACTAGACCAACAAAGCCGTCAAATTAATAAACATAAAATTCACTTCAAATATAAACTTAAATTGTTAATATATAAATACATAATATAAAATTTGGGTAAAATATGGCCCAGGGAGTTAACTACCTGCCGCAGGTAGGTACTACCAGACACATTGTGTGATGTTACAACACCTATTTTGAGTAAGGGTTCTTATTGGTCTTGCTCGAAATAGTAAGAGTCAAAGATATCTTCAATGCTTGCTGAGAGTTTTTTCTTTCAAGTGGGTACTTGAACAAATTTCATGCCAATGCTGTGTTCTAAAGTTCCATACTTGTGAACACTACGAAAAAACCCCTTCAGACCATTTAAAAACCATATGGGATATAATAACATTTTCAAAATTAGTACTAAAAGGTAGTTGCTTCCCTACATGCCACTTATACGTATAAACGGTCAGAATCCGTTGGCAATCGATGTGTTGGTGAAAAGCAGGCTTACCCCACTCTCTTCAAAACATTCTTAAGAGCACAAGTCTATGTAAAGGCAGTAATATAAACGAGATTCTCCTAAAACTTAAGGCATCCAATTTCTTGATTTCATCTTCACAATCCTTAAGTTTCTTCTGTATACCAAGTCAAAAGGAATAAAAGAGCCACGAAATAAAAATCATCTCTATTACTTCTTAATAACAGAGAGCACTTCAGATTAACTAACAAAGAAGAAAATAATATTTTTAGTATTTTATTCGTGTCTTGACAGAGTTTCTATTTCAGACAAGTCGTTTGTCCGTTGCTTTTACTCTAGGCAGGGAAAGGCCAATATAATAGGACACAAGGTTCGAATTTGTCAACGGAAATCATGGCAATGATTTGTAATAAAGAAAGTTAGAGGACAATTATAGCCTTGTTAGAATCCAGTGTATATATTGCTAGGAGTACTGTGTACATTTATTTATCGGATTTATTAGATTCGTTCTACTGTTAACAAATATAATAGCTTAATAAGGCGCTGCGCCGTCAACGGGGCGGGTCGGATAATTATTAAAGACGCACAAGGCGGTCTGTGTTGTCTGGTCTCAGAATGAGAGACAATTATCTTGAATCTCTAATAGGTACTTGTACTTAGAATATTATGAATTTAAAAAATATGTTAACTTTAACATTTTAAATGTTGAAAATACAACTATACAATGAATCAAAGGAAAACGAATAAAATTCCAGACTATCGCTTGTTAGATATACGTAATTTATTAAATGTTCTGTTTGGGCTCTGGTAGAAAATTTAAACTGTAAAATGGTTAAATTCACCAAAGATGGCATCGAAATTGATTTACTTTAATAAAATGAGCACTTTGTTCAAAATCTTATAATTACAAGTTAAAACCTAAAAAAAACGAACAAAAAAAATAATACTACTAACAAAAATACTTTAATGATATGCAAAACAACATTACAACTTATCACTAACTTATCAAAAAAATCGCGAATAGTTTGCGCCGAAGTCTGTCATGACTTCTTAAAGAAAAAATCATTCCAATAGAAGGAATTTCAGCTGAAGTTCAACAGGAAAAACTAGACTAGTTAGTTTTACACACTCTCATTCTTCTATCTTCCAAAGAAAGTTGAAAAAAAAACAAATACTCATAAGTATTACTCCTGCAATTTAAGGCTAATCTTTGATACAGCTGCTTAATTCGTGATCAGAAACAAACAGATATTTTAAACATTTCAGTCACTACTACAGATGAAATTTAAGAGGACAAGTATTGTCACGACGAGTTTTAAAAATTATATGAAAACAATAAGGCGACGTAACATTTTACCCTTTTTGTCACATTATAATGAAAGCCTCATAATCTATCAGAAATTTGATAGACGGTATGACTTAAATGTTATTTGAAATAAGAACAAGAGGCACCACATAATTAATTTGGTTTTCACTTGCCGCACGACACATAGAATTGCTCTATGCAATAATATTGTTTTTATATTATGTATATTTAAATCATAGAGATACGATGTTTGAAGCAGTCATATGTATGTTTTGGTGGTATATCAAGAATGAGATCAGGACACAAGTGTTGGGCCACCATGTTCACCGAAGTGGCTCTTTCTGTTGTTGCTCTCGACGTTGCTTTGCAAAACGTGCCCTCAGTTTGATTATAGTTGCGTTTGACAAAGTGCCAGGTACTCTAAAAATAGACTGTAAAGAAAAAGAAAATGGATTTATAGACCTTACATTTTAAATTATCATTATATATTTAAATTAAATAAGCGGATAAATTAATAAATATGAATCAACGGTCGGAGACCGTTCTGTGACATTTCAATATGGTTGAGGACCTCTTATTGGTAATTAATCCATTGGATCCAGTTACGTTTCTACCATAGTCAGAATAAACAAAACGGCATCATATAATGTTCTCAATTATATTTATGGACAGCATCTGTCTCTCTTGAGGGAGGTCTACGTTAGGGTCATACAGGGAGTACATGACCCACTAGTTACGAGACAGAAATTTCTTTTAAAATATCATTATTATTGGATAAAGTACCATTCCCGCACTAGGGATATATCGAATAAAGTCGATATAAAGATCAATCGACATAAAGAAGACCCAGAACAACAAGTACAGTAAGAAGCACCGCATAAACCACTACGTCAATTCCACATTATTTTATATGCCAAACCCTCGCGACCTTAGAGTCATTCTGGAAACAGAGTAAGGTTTCATTCTGTTACCACCATGATTCTACAGTGTGTTTGTTACATTTGCCCATCGCGTTTCCAGACTTTAATCTAAGTGGAGTGTTTCTCGAATGATTACATATTGAAGCCATATTGTATTCATAGTGAATTGATAATGAAACCAGAGTAAAAATATAGTAAATGCATGTTGACATTCTGGAACCAACATGATTACAAAAAGTTTCCCTACTATTTACATAGTGTTTCCAGAATGAATTTAAGGTCGTGAGGGAATAGCTTGACTTCGAAATATCTCACCTATAGGTTTCGTAAAGATATTAGTAGACAATTAAAATTACACAAGAACTGTAAGTGAGTGAGCAATATGCACCTTAGCTATTCCCAGAACATTTCTCATAATACTTAATATCACATTAAAGTTTAATACAAAATTATTTAAATTCTCAATTGCGTTGTAGTATCTCTAAAAGACGATATTAGGAAGATGGAAAGCACTAAGCCCATAGCTTTATTCTAAAACAAAATAATTTACATAAATGTTACACTAACCTGCATAAATTCGTGGCAGTGCAAAGCACTGGCATTCTTCACAATGGCCTTGAAGCACTCCGCCAGGGAGGTAAAGTCGTTACAGGCCATTATCTCCGCACGGTTGTTCTTAATTAGCGTCAAACAAACCCGGAACAGAATCTTGGAACCTTCGTAAAACAAACAGTCCCAAATTCGTAGTACAGTCTCAATGGGAAGGACTTCAGCGAATAAACACACAAACCATTTTGTGGTTATTACTGCCCAAGGTAAACCTGAAAAGTGATACAAAATTTGTCACATTTAATAAGCTTTTGTAACCGTGAGTTAGATTTCAAGATGCATGTTTCCCCTTTATTTCGCAATTTTAAGTTGCTTCAAGTCACTATACCCAAGAAACATAATCTCTGAACTTTTGGCGGTAGAAAACTTGCGTCGCGACTTGTGAGACTTGGATTTTATCACACATGTTTTTGATGGGATTGCGACTTTGGTAATACGCAATACGCGGTACTGGAAATTAATGACGATATATTATTCATTTAAACTAGCTTTCGGGTACAGTTATACTCACTAAAAGCATGGTCCATGGCAGAGCATAAAATATTGATACAATTAGATCAACACATACCGAGATTAATAACGTGTTGGTGCACATCAGGCACCTTTGATTTGACTAGTTCAGATAACACTTCAATATCAACGATTAAGCCGTCCATAGTTTTCGTATAGTAGTCCGGGAGAATCTTCTCAACCAGCACCTTGAGGAGCCAGAATGACGTCTCTTCACTTTTTGTCGCTAATAGCAGCAATCCTGAAATTAGTGCATTAAAATATTAAAAGAAGTCTAACGCCTTTTTCAATTATGTCTTTTATATTCTTCCGTCATCTTGTTTTCGTCCTTTACATTGATTTTATGCAATTATTTAAATAATGTTGTTAGCATAAGTTTAGTAGCATGATGTTAAATAATGGACAGTATAACATGTGTATGTAGATGACTTTGAAAAATAATATTATGAAGAAGCCCACATTTCAAGTTACTCTATTTCTCGCCTGTTTCAGTAACAGGTCAGAAATCGCAGACACCAATGATTTTAAACAGTTTGGCATAATCCTTTCAGCTTATAACTGGTAGTTATGTGATTTTTAATCAAAAAGTTAGAAAATGTGGAAGTCTTTATGACTCATAGGCTCTTGATGCATAATTTATCTTAGTATGGATATGAGATCACCACAGAAGATCTGTATGACCAAACTAAATTCAAGAAAATTAAACCAATTTATATCACAGTCATCTTGACCTGTCCCAATGAGTGCGGGTCAAATAGTACATGTATAGTGTCAAGCCAGAGACATTTGGCTGTTTACATATTTATTCAATCACTTGATTCAAGAGTTTGTCTGCAAGTTTTGATATTATGAGAAATTAAATGTTTTATTGTTCATTATGGAATTCATTCCAAGTCCATTTGAGGGAGAGCAATTGTTTTTCTCCTCTAGGACAATTGTGTGATAAAAAAAAAAGAATGGGTTTAGTGAAGCTATTACAGTAAAGTTGAACACACTTTTACCATAATTGGTCAATAGTAGCCATTTAGGTATTGAAGATTACCATTTGGTAAGTAAGTTAACAGTTTACAAAATGGTAATCTTCAATTTTAGTTTTTTTTACGTGTGGAAATCCCCTCGGACCGTCACCTCACCGGGGTTTGCGGCGGGGTGGTGTGTCGGACTCGGACCGACTAAAACCACACGGTGTGCCACTCTGCGCCTGTAATAGGAGGGAGCCGGGAACAGCTGTTATTAAGACATCCGGACCCCTCCTAGCGCCTGCCTGCAACGGCGCGGGCACCACCTTCGGCAAACTCTCTATTTAAGCGACGTCCGGCACACGCGGACGCCGCCCCCTCGCGGCTGGCCAAACTAATGCGGGTGGAGGGCGAAATCCGCTCTCCGCCCGGGAGTCAGCCAATCGCCGATAAACTTCGGCGAGCACTTCCGCCTCCAAATCCCACGGGGGAGTTCCGGCCAACGCGTAAGCCACCTCCGTCGAAACGGTGTGGTAACCGCGTATGGCTCTGACCGCCAATACCCACTGAGGGCGCCAGAGGCGTGCCCTATTCTGGGCGGTCAGAGCCGCCGCCCACACCGGTGCACCGTATAGTGCCATTGACCGGACAACCCCCGTGTACAGCCGTCTTGTCGCGACGCTGGGTCCACACAAATTGGGCAAAAGTCGCCCTAGGGCAGACGCAGCGCCGACCAGCTTTGGAGCAAGCTGTCGGAAGTGCTCGTTGAAGAGCCACCTCACGTCGAGGATCAGGCCCAGATATTTCATCTGGGCCCGAACAGGTACGAGGACCGAGTTGACCACGATTGAGGCGCCAGGGGCCACCCCGACGGGGCCCATGAAATAAGAGAGCCTCCGTCTTATCTAGGGCCACCCGTAAGCCCAGCGCCTCAATGCGCTCGACCACCAGGGAGACTCCCCTTGTGGCCAGGCGCGCCGCCTCTTTGAAGTTCGCCCCCCGGGCGTATCATCTGCGTAACAAATTACACCCAGCCCCAGGGAAGGGGGGGGGGGGGGGGGAAATCGGCTCGAAGGGCCCAGTCGTACCCTATGTTCCACAAGACGGGTCCAAGAACAGACCCCTGTGGAACACCGCACGACATGGGCCGACACCTCGAATTACCGTCTCGGTCCTCGTACACGACGGTACGCTCCTCTAAATAGTCTGCCACTAGCCGCCTCAGGTACTTTGGCACCCCATGATAGTGGAGTGCTTCCCTGATGCAGCTGAATGGCAGACTTGAATGCGTTGGCGATGTCCAATGACACCGCCAACAGCACGCCGCCACAGCTCACGGCCTCTTCGGTCACGGCCCTCAGGCGCAAAACAGCGTCGACTGTCGAACGCCCCGCCCTAAAACCAAATTGGGCGTCCGACAGATCGGGGCCCACCTCGTAAATTCAATATTAGACCTAATGCAAGGAAGATGATTTACATTTTCCTTCATCGGTACAGAAATGTGGTTATTTGCCTCTCCCTCATGTCTTTTACTTGTTTACAATGTATTCAGTTAATTTAACTAATATTAAAATTTCCTTAAAAAAATTTTTTTACTCAAGGATTAAAAAATTGCCTTTTTTTTACCTAGACTAAAAGCTAGAATCTTGCCAGTAGCTTCTGTCTGTGGCCAAAAAGTTGTTCTATAAAATACTATAATCTACCCACCGCTTATCATCCACAAAATAGAATAGAATAGAATTTAACATTAGAGGTTTAATCAGCTCTTAATTATAAAACTTACCTGCAATATAATTTAGTCCTTGGCAATATCCAACAACCCTGTTATTGTGGGCATAAGCTATGAGTATATTAAACAAATGTGTTTGGTGGTTGGCTTCTTTCGTAAAGTATATATTGTCAGGAAATGTGCGTGGGAGGTCTGTTTTTACAAGATCAACCAATTCCTTTTCAAATGGGCCATCTAGTATCTTGTGGAATAAGTCAGGACATTGGTCTCTCATCTTGTCTACTTCTGAAATTGCCATCCATACTGATGGCCGATGTTCACCTAAAATTACAGTAACAAACAGTATGTTAACATTGTAATAAACATTTGACCTTGATGATAGGATAAGATTATAGATAAATATACGTAAATTTAAACTAAAAAATGTGCTTTTATGTTATCTCTAATCTATTTGATAAATGTAATATTTACATAATTTTCACATAACATATGTAATGAATAAGAATATTTTTAGTAACATTTAGCGACTGCTCTGATTTATACAATTATTTGTTATTGAAAGCTATATTTTTTGTATAATATTTATTGCGATAGTTAACAACGGAATGTCCACAGGTATCACAGTAAGTTCTTATTCTAGGCTTACCTACTTTGTTATATCATGTATTGTTTATAATTTTAAGATTATGTAGAAATAAATAGATTTAATGGTATTTTCATAAAAAGACTATTAAACTCTACTAGTTTGGAAATTAATTTAAATTTATGGCTTGTATTGTCATAAAAAGCTAATTAAAAGTTAAAATGGACAATGTTATGATTTATACTTCACTAAAACATACCTAGTCTTACTAAATTTAAATATGAATTAAAACAAAATGAAGTTACTACAATAAACACTATTGAAATAATAAAACATTTATAGAATACATACAAAAAATGAAAGTTGGGTAAAAATTCACACGGCCTATTAATGTAAACAAAGAGAGACACTCACTTGGTACTCCTTTGCGGACGTATCTCTTCACTGTGTTAGTGCGTTTGACCGACTTTCCTTCGCCAAGTAAACTGGCCCATTTTTGCGCCCTCGTCGCCAATACTTTCAAGTAATTTGACATAAAATCTTCATAGCTCTCGTAATCAAAATCCTCGTGTCTCTCAAACCCGTACTCATCGACCGCGCTGAAAGCACAAGTAAATTTAGCAAACAACACCTTATTAATATTACGTTGATTTATTCACAATAGTCGTATATGCATAATAGTCGTACCTGAAGTTAGAGCGAGCCATTATATCGTTGAATTTGATTTATTAGACATTTATTGAACATAATAGAACGTAAATTGCGGATTTTAATTTAGATACGCCCCGAATACTATACTTCTATCACCCCCACATGATGAATGCTTTTTGATTGAATGAAAATATGAAATGAATGAAAGATGGATTGCTCTAGGTATGGGACAAAATCACAGTAACCTGTGAAAGGCCGGTTATTTATCATTCGATTTTTTTCGCACGTAGGTTAGGGTTGCTACTTACTCACGCGTTGTTGCCAATAAGCTGTTTTTAGACGATGAATGAGACCCTATTGCACCTATTCAACACTAAATCTAGTAATTATTTTAGTCTATATAGCTACCATTCCCTACACAATAATAAAAAAAAAATAGATTTACTGTTAAATTGCGTCTTACTTACATACCTATCAACCCTAACCTACTTACGCAAAAATCGAATGAAAAATCACACACTTTGATTTTGTCGCATGTTTAGATTGCTCAATTAGCACATTATGACAAAAATAACTTTAAATTAAGTTTTAAAAACATGAATTTTTTGAAGTAACAAACTACTAAAGATTTTACCTTTACGCTCCTTATATTTTATTTCACACATATTATATTATATTTTTTATATTATATTTTACACTATTTGAAACAATGAAAAAACAGTATGTTTAAAATCAGTTGAAAACACTTGTCTTCTAGTAAATTATTGTAAGAAAGTGAAACTAAGTTGAAGTTATATATTAAAAACAAGAACTTTAAACATTGCAATGTAAAAGTATCTACGGACTTTGGAATAAGACATTCAAATTAACTAATATTATACAGTCACTTAGACCGAGACGAACACACATATTTTTAGAAAAGAACACAAACAAAAAGTATGGAAATAGTATTATACTGAGAATTAGGAAAGATGAGAGATCGAACCAGATGATAAAATATTTACAACTTAGTATGATGGAGGTTGGTAATAGTTAAGTTAACCTAGATGAGTAGAAAAAAAAAATTGGCAAGAAAATCACATCATGTGTCATTTGTGTCAAAAATGATCAAAAGTCAAAACAATGTATTTCATGTAAGAAATGTGTGATGTGTTTTGTTCTTTATAGCACTAGTTATTTTTCTATATAATAGTAATTCTATAGCGTATCTTATGTTTATGTTATTCGTAAAACTATTTTAAAACATTTAATAAAGTGAGTTAAGCTTTAAATACTAAAAGATGGGTCCGCCGCCCGTAGTGACAGGCATTTCTCCAAAAGAAGGTCCTCCAGGAACCAGGGTGACAATACGTGGAGAATTTTTGGGTACCAGCGTTACAGATCTGATAGGTAAGTACAGTACCATCAGGTATACTTTTGGAATGTTGATAATTTATTAAAACTTTTGTGATAAAGTGGGCGTAAAATTATTCCAAGATATATTTTAGGTCTCAAAATATGTGGTTGTGACTGTTTATTGTCTGCCGAATGGAAAAGTAAGAATAAAATAGTAGCACGCTCTGGACCGTGTAAGGGTCGAGGTGATATCATAGTGACTACAAGGTCTGGAGGAGAGGGGACTTCTACTGTACAGTTTAGAGGTATGTTTAATAATACTGTTTTTTAAATTCAAATTATATATTATTATTATAGTAGGTTCAAATTGTAAATTATTATTGAAGGAGGCTTTGCTCCGCTTTAAGGAGCGGCCTATGTCCACCAGTAATCTATTAAAGGCTGTTGATGATTGATATATTATTTTATAAATATGTTTTTAAAGTTACATTATTCTTTTTATAAAATCATTTCAGGTTACCATGAATCTATTGGACCAGTCAAAGAGAGTGCAGTATGGGTTGAAGAAGCTGCACCCCCTTCTTTACCCTGGGGTCGCAGACCAATGTCACCTACAACTTATATCCCACCAGATCCTCTGGGACTATCCACTGAGGGCGATGACTGCAAGTTTCCAGAAGAAGAACTACATGAGATGTTTCCGGATGGGTTTGTCCATTTATTCTGTTTTGCTATCACAGAAGAAAATTCTGCATAATTTCAATTATTGGATAACAGTATTTAAAATATTATGATCCTGAGGATATTCACCATTTTTTTTTAATAACTCTCTCATGGGTGAAATTTTGTGTCTAACAAACGCCTGAGAACAGAGTGCAAGTCGTGAATGTCTGTGAACAGTAAACTTCTACAGGATCAAATAAATGTGATACGTAAAAATGGGTGTAGCTACAACTAAACACCAAATGCAGGAAGATCAACAATCACTCACAAAATAATTCAATTGAAGATGTGTAGAAACATATTAACTCAAGTAATCAAAGAGCCACCTACCTCTTATTCCCATTTCCCAATTGCAATGGCTTTCCTATGTTGAAGGCTCGCTTATCTTTATTAATAATCCCATATGATAAGTCTTTATGTTCTAAGATTTTTTACATAGTTAGTAGCTTTAGTATACTACTAGGGTTTGCTTGTAATTTTGGTCATATTAGTTATTTTTAATTATCTTGCTGGAACAGTGTTTTTATCTAGATGAAAAGTATAGTATGTCCTTCTGTTCCTCTATTGGTATTGGGCTCTGGTGCCCGCATTTAGACTCAAGAATGGTATTTTTTTTTGTAGCTTTAACAATATGATTGCAAATGATTGATCAGGTAGTTAAGTTCTGAACACATGTCAAACAAACAAATTTATATTAGCAAGTCTAATGTTAGTTAATATTGGGAAATAATGTTGCTATACGTCATAGTTACTTATTAATCAATAATACAGATAACTGTTTTAGCATTTTTACTATTTACTGGTGATAATGCGTGATTGTATTTTATTAGGAAAAGTATACATTAAAGGTGTAAACCAAAGATTATTTTTACTATTAGTCGCAACTGGCTGGTTTGTCTATGTCATATCATGATAACAAAGAAAGTCTTTTGTTCATTGAATAATATAGTACTTTCATTAGTTATCTTACTCAATTTATTCTTTAAAGCACTTAACCCAATATATTTGAATTTTACAGATCTGGAAAACTATCTGATGATAACTTTCAACCAGGTTGGTATCTGCTTGAACATCACAGCAACACATCTTTTGAAGATCTAAAAGCTGGAATGGTATTTCTTCAAAGAAAGGTAATTAATTTGTTTTTCAATATGTATTAGCACACATAATTAGTAGTCTATTTATTGTTTTCTTCTCTAAATACATATGTTCCTTTTGAACACCAAATCATACCACTAATCATTCAGATTAATTGAAGATCAAATCTGACACCTGGAGTTGTACAGAGCAATTTACAATTTGTACAATATGTAAAGTTAAAAGTTTAGAAATTTTATACTTACTCATTGGTAACATAACAATTTATGGGACTGATACTAAAAATAAACCTAATAAAAACTAGTATTATATCTATTCTGTATAAAAAATTGTGATTAGTAACAATTATACTCTTAATGTAAAAAAATATTATCAAATTCTAGGTCGAAAGTCAAAAAGAGGGCCAGCTGAGTTTCCTGAAGGCAAATACGGGTGCAGTCATGGATCAACTTGACAGACTTGTGCTATTAAAAAACATGTATGAGGAGGATGAGAGGAAAAACGGCAAAGAGCCTTTGCCTAGTCTACAAGCTGCTATTGAGGGTACTGTATCTTTAATTATTTCAAAAGACTTAGTAGTAATATATTAAATTTTTGTTGCCAGTTCAATCAAAGGGTGTAGTGTAGAGACTTTTGTCGTGGTTGACTTTATCACATAATTCTGAAGACTGAAATCTTGCAGTACGCCTCACAATATGGGCCATGACTAGTGGGTCTAGTGTGATTTTATTTCACACAACTTGATCGTCACAGTGACCGCATTTGACGTTGCGATTGGCCCGCACTGAAATCACAGATCACAGTCGCAACGCCGAAAACGCTCGCTGTCGAGAGCGCGTTGATGTGAAATTTAGTCTTGGGTAGTACACGTACGATGTACTGATAGGTACTAGTACTGGGTATTGTACTAAAAGTAATGTTTCCGAAAGGCAGCTGTTAATCGGTCATTTTGCACTATTAGTACACACTGTCAACTTCAAGCGCAGTACTAAAACTATCTATTGTTTACTCTGTCTACTAGTGTCTACGTTCGTTCGCTGTGCGACGTACTATTAATGCTTCGCTTTATTGTTCTGTATTGGTAAACAGTGTGAGAGTAAAAGAGACAGCGATACAGGATGTACTACAATACGTTGGGTTGTAAAGTATGAAGGAAAATCAAATAGTACCTACCTATGCTTAAAAATTTAGTGTAAAGTAATCTAAAAATTGTATTTAAAAGTCAAACTGTTAAGGTTTATGTTATTTAGAAAGGGATAACACATTAAAAATAATCAAGAACTGTTTAATTATTTCTATACTGAAGAAAAGTAACTGCCTAATACAAAGCCATCCATATTAAAAAAAAACTATAACACTTTTTTTTTTAAATTACTTATTTTAATTTATTTAATTATTAGTATTCCGTTTCATTAATGTTGGTAATATCAATACAAACGCTTAAGTTTTGTACTTCTACTAAAACTGTACTAATAGTACTATTACGGTGTGCTAGTTACGTTGTACGAATTGTACTAGTACGGTGCGAACCTGCAGATGTCCGATTAAGCACAAGACTAGTGAAATTAGCTCACACTACAGGCCTTCTGTGACAGTAGCATTTTAAATTACTTCTGGAACAATTTGAACTATTTTCGGTTGACTAAGTTGGTAAATAGACAACAATATGTCACTTTATTTGATGTAAATCTCGAATTTAACAATATTTCTTAAAATATTTGTGTACACTGGTGCTCCGAAACCATATCGACACCTAAAACGATCCTTACGCCCTCTATTGAGGATCTACACAATTTTTACTTACATTTTTTGATATGCTTTCAGAACATTGATTTATGTTTAATTTTTAAACACCCTCTGACCTCTTCTGACTGTGTTATGACTTGAGCTCAACATATTGGTATTCTAATCTGATATTTATGTCAAAATAAATTTCTTTTTAGACTTGGGTAAAATATTATATAAACTACAATATTTATTTTCTTTAACATGTTTTACAGAGTCCATAACATTAGCGGACTCTCTGTTCTCTGAGATTTTATCACGCAAAGATAATGCGGACAAGACGCGTGAGGCATTATCGCTTCTGACTCGGCACAAATTCCTGTTCCAATTGCCGGCATCTATTGACAGGAATATTAGAAAGAAGGAGTATGATCTAGTTGTTAATGACTATACCAGAGTCAAGAATTTGTTTGGGAATACTGATGTGAAGGTTAGTAATTAAAAAATATAAGCAAAAAAAATAGCCGTCATTGGGTTGGCATTATAATAAATAGTGTCGTCACATCACATCAACAGCCTTTAATAGTCCACTGTTGGCCAGGAGGTTCCGGCCAGATGGGTTGGTATAGGGTTTGTATCAAGTTTTCCTTCTCTTTGCAGTGCTGTTGTCCTGTAGTTTTGCTCCTTTAGTCGGATCTTACGGTACCAATAAAAAAAGGGAATGAATAGGGGTGGTGACACTCTGTATTCTAAATCCGTCATTATACGGACAACAAAATAGTGTCGTAATAAATAATAATATCTAAATATGATTTTTTGTCCTACGGAAGTGTTGACATCCATTAATGTATATTTCCGTTATTACACATTTATCAGCCTTTTCTTTCCTTTCCCAATGTGAGTTTATTTATTTTATTGTATTCTACTTTGACAGTACCATAATTTTTTACAGATTTATTTATCCTTCCATAGTGGGAGTTTGCTTCATTTATAAATTGCATAGACCCCGTTGTAGCCAATATGTGTACATCCGAAATCTGTGCACATCTTTATTTATTTGTTATTTTGCAGTTATTCCAGAAAATTCTTGGGGAGATAGACAAGAAAATAGAAGATTTAAAAGAAAAACTCTACAATAGAATGAAAACTATGCCAATTAATGTGCAGGAACAGATCAAGTATATCAGGTATGTTACGGTTAAAATTAGTGGTGTCGATATTGTAAAAACGGCAGATATTGTGCTAAGTAATTCTGTTCTGCAATTCTCCTCAGTTATTCTGTTCTGTAAAATATATAAATGTCACTATTAAGTGTGTTAGATCTCCTAACATTGCATACTTAGTTTTCATGCTCAGGACTTTAGAACTCACATACCGGGCGGTATGTAATCAGATATCGCAAAACTCAGTGACGGTGACAGATAATAGGCATTACCAGGCGGAGATAAAGGCTTCAGTAAACTTGTAACCAAAAATGCTTTTTAAACAATGAGTTTTATATTTTAGGTTATTAATAAGTTTGAATTGGGAGGGTGACGCTGCATGGGTCGCTATCACCAGTCGCAAAGACTATCTAATGAGTCTCATGAACAAAGTCAAGGACCACTTCAAGCAGAAAGAGGAACAAGAGTTCTCCGACAAAAGTAAGTTAACAACGGCTAAGATTTTGTTTTATTTTGTGCTCGATATCATTCTACAATTAAGTTAACCTTTTTTTAAACGATATGTATAAGACATTGTCAAACTCTTACTAACTTGGATCTTTTATTCGAGGATTTGAAATCGATTTGTCTGATGGACAGATAGAATTTAAAGAGAAATAAGTGAGACTAGTAATAACCTCATGTTAATAAACGTGTGTGCAATAATCACAGATAAGCGCAAGCTCAAGGAGGCAGAAAGCGAAGCGAGCGCAGTGCGGGGCGCGTGGTGCGCCGCGGCGTGCGGCGCGCTGTCTGCGCAGCTGCACGCGCTGTGGCCGCTCGCGCGCCGCTACTTCGCCTTCGAGCTGGCCGGCGAGCCCACCGACCACCAGCGGCAGGCGCAACTCAAGGTCTCATAGCTCTCCTTACATATACGCTACAGCTGTCTGCGCAGCTGCACGCGCTGTGGCCGCTCGCGCGCCGCTACTTCGCCTTCGAGCTGGCCGGCGAGCCCACCGACCACCAGCGGCAGGCGCAACTCAAGGTCTCATAGCTCTCCTTACATATACGCTACAGCTGTCTGCGCAGCTGCACGCGCTGTGGCCGCTCGCGCGCCGCTACTTCGCCTTCGAGCTGGCCGGCGAGCCCACCGACCACCAGCGGCAGGCGCAACTCAAGGTCTCATAGCTCTCCTTACATATACGCTACAGCTGTCTGCGCAGCTGCACGCGCTGTGGCCGCTCGCGCGCCGCTACTTCGCCGGCGAGCTGGCCGGCGAGCCCACCGACCACCAGCGGCAGGCGCAACTCAAGGTCTCATAGCTCTCCTTACATATACGCTACAGCTGTCTGCGCAGCTGCACGCGCTGTGGCCGCTCGCGCGCCGCTACTTCGCCGGCGAGCTGGCCGGCGAGCCCACCGACCACCAGCGGCAGGCGCAACTCAAGGTCTCATAGCTCTCCTTACATATACGCTACAGCTGTCTGCGCAGCTGCACGCGCTGTGGCCGCTCGCGCGCCGCTACTTCGCCGGCGAGCTGGCCGGCGAGCCCACCGACCACCAGCGGCAGGCGCAACTCAAGGTCTCATAGCTCTCCTTACATATACGCTACAGCTGTCTGCGCAGCTGCACGCGCTGTGGCCGCTCGCGCGCCGCTACTTCGCCGGCGAGCTGGCCGGCGAGCCCACCGACCACCAGCGGCAGGCGCAACTCAAGGTCTCATAGCTCTCCTTACATATACGCTACAGCTGTCTGCGCAGCTACACGCTCTGTGGCTGTTCTACTGCCCTTCGTCACGGTTTTTAATAGTATTCATACTAACTAATGCGTGTAAGCTGAAAATCTTTTGACATTTTGAAGAACTTCATAAGACATACCATACATTTTTACGTCTTACAGTCAACTCTCTTTTTTGTGTTTTTTTTTATGATTCGTTTTGACCGGACTTTGTAAATAAAAGGTAATGTAATCATTAGGCCTATAATATACTACTATATGACCCTGCTTTTCTGTTAACACCTTTTAGATGTTCAATTTAAATTGTTTTATTCTGTTAATCGCTAGGCCTATTATACACGGTGATTTTTTAGGCGTTTTGGAAACGAAACATTTTAATTTGGAATCATCTATAGTACCAATAAAAATGATTAAATCAATTGTAATGTTGTCTAAAAAAAAGTTTCAGTTTTAATATTCATTTTTACTCGATCGACTTGGAAAGTAGTAATGGACTGATCATTCATTCATTATCTTATATGAATGAAACACGTCCGTGGGCGTTTCGGCGGCCGCTGCGCACCGCTGACGCTAACAGCAGCTGATAAAAGTATACCTATAGGCGCGAGCTAGCGAGTACTTACGTAGATAGACTCCAATTTGTCCTTCATACTTTACACTTTACTTCATACTTAGGACCGTCGGCAATACCTATTTTATTTAAACTTCTTTTCGATTATTAACCACGATTGTTCTTTTCACAACAAATCAATTTATCAACGGACTGTAGGTATAAATATTTCAAGCGTATTTAAAATATCGGAGCTATCTACAGAATAATTAACTTACATACCTATTTACACTATTTACACTTCTCTGTATCGAAGCAACTGCTCAAAATGGAGTCTGCTGCATTCAATACACATACGTCCACGTTTAATGCAATTGTTTTTTAATGTTCTTAATGTGTCTCTATCACTTTTCACTTTATCAAAAGCGTCCACTATCGCAATCCAGGGGCGTTAAGTCCGGGCTTCTAGGTGGCCAAGGCACTGGCCCTTCTCGACCTATCCACCGATCACTAAACTCATTGTCCAGGTATGCACGCACTACACTCCGGCGAATAATAATTTAAACGTCCTTGACCTTGCGCGTGAGTATAGTATTTCTATTCGTAGTATTTACCTACTTGCGATTGAAAAGCCCTATTACTGGTTCTCACCTTTTCTCTGTAATCGATATGAATATCGACTTTGATGAGAAAAAAAATATATATTTTATTAAATTAACGTTATATATAACTTTTCCAAAACGCTTTCAAAATCACCGTGTATAAACCTGTAGGTTTTAATTATTTGATTGATTTGACGAAATGAAATTATTACAATCTGTTTTTTTATAAATTTCATACATTCAAAATATAATCTTTATGTTACAGGAAATGATAATAGCGGCAGTAGAGTTATTCTCAGATCACATGCGTACCTGCCTGCTGTCTAGCACTGGCAGCAAAAATTTGCCGATCGACGCGCTACGTGTGCGACTGGTCGCCAACCTCCGACATATGAGGGAAGCTTACGAGGAGCTCATTAAACTGGACTTGCCTTCTCAGGTACGGAGCTAAGAGATTATTTCTGGGACTCGACTATGGATGGATTAATGGTAGACTTTAATTGCTATTATCGGCGAGCCTCTTCATCAAAGTGCCGAATAACAGACGCGAATACCTTTCGCGAGTAACAAATTTTAACCTGCATCACTAAAGTACGTGCGATGACGACGCCGTGGGCGCTTTTGTTTCTTTTCTTATTGAGTCGTGTCATAACTCGCTTTATTTGTTGGTATTGTTACATGCAACTGTCTTACTTGTAATGTGATTACCTTAAGAAATATTACGGTTTGTTTTAAAAATGACACCATTACATAAAAAATCACCATCTAGTTGAGAATATGAAATTCATAGTGAAGGCATAAAAACCGGTAGTTTGTTTTGCTGCGTCATTATTTGCTATTAAGAGTTCGGACGAATAATTTGCAATATTGTATTCTATTCGGGTTCTATAGAGTTTACTTCAAGTTTTCCTTTTCTTTGCAGTGCCGTTGTTCTGCGTAGTTTGCTCCCTTAGTCGACTCGTACGACACTCATGGTATGAACAGGGGTGGTGACTCTCGTGTTCGTAATCCTTGAATATTCATGGCATCTAGTCTCTACACCGGCAACTTCTAGATGTCTTTTTGTCTAAAAAGTTAAAAAAAGAAATGTTACATTAATCGAGTTATAGAATGCATAACACAGGCTATGTTTAATTTGGGTAAAAAGATAAAGTTTTATGTTTATTTATTGTCTCTTTCCAGCCTCTGAGCATAGTTGAGAAGGTGATATTCGACTACCGCGTGTACGGTATGACGATGTTTTTGCAGCGAGCTCACAAACGAGTCAAGGGACTCGCCGAGAAAGAGACGTGGAAGATCGAGGAATTCACTGATTATGGTGCCATTACTAATCTAGTAAGTGTATAAAATAGTCGATAATTTTTTTGACTGCCTAGCTCTTGGTTTTCTTTAGTGCTTGCGTAACTGTAATACTTAGAGAGAGAACACATGAAAAAGTTAACATAGTTATTATAAAGGATAATTTTCTGAAGTACTTCCTCTCTTAATCGTAAAATGAGCTAAATATCTTAATTTAAATTTAACCCTTTTTTGTAACTTTAAAACAAAATCTCAGAAATTAAATAACGCAAATTTATTTATTTGTAAACAAACGCGCTTCTAATAGACAATTTCTGATTATTTTTTATGAAATGTTGAGCAAACGAGCACACGAGCCACCTGATAGTAAGTCACTCAAGAGTTCCACGCCACCCTTTGAATGCCCTTCCCTCTGAATTATTAGTGGGTTTGGCGCCGGTTATTTAAATAACGGTAAGAAAGTAACGAAAAAATTGAGTAACACCGGTTTTCTGTGAAGCCGTAGTAAACCCCCGTCGAGCCGGCTCAAATATACCGAAGCATTGCTCTCCGACTTTACCATTTACTTATCACTCCATTTTTTTTTACTGCAAAGAGCTGCTGTAAGTGACTGTTACTTCAGGCTTTTATATCATACTCACAGTCATTAACAAGTCAATAAATAATGATGCAGCCACACCTGCTAGAGACGTACACGGAGGAGGCGCTGTCAGCCATTCACAAGTGCGTATCGGGCGGCGGGCGGCGCGAGGGCGTGCTGCTGGCGGAGGGCGGCGAGCCGGCGCGCGCCGCCATCAAGCTCACGCAGGGCCTCCTGCTGGCCTACGTCGCCGTGCTGCAGGATCTCGCCTTGCACCTCGACGACACACAGGTCTCACTCATCACACCCACTCTTTCATCACTATGAGTATAAAGTCTGGGGGCTCAGTACTGGGGGCTCAGTGTGAGACTATTTCATACAACTCGCTCTCGACGGCGAGCGCGTTAGGCGTTGCGATTGGTCAAGATCTCAGTGCCGGCCTATCACCCGCCGAACGAGGTCACCGTGACGATCGAGTTGATGTGAAATAAACTCGCACTAGGCCCTCTGAACATTTTAACACTCAGATTACGCCATGGAAAACAAAATCATATAATGATCTAAAAAAAGAAATTATTTCTTATTTGATATAAATCTCAGTAATTTGTTCAGACAACAAACATGCTATAATATAGTTAATGAAGATTTATATTTGTATATTATTGGAATTGTATTTACCCAAATTTAAATTTAAGATGAATACAGGAATAGGTGTCGATTTCAAAATCTAATTTTAGACAAAGAGAGCAGTTCTGAAGTGAAACAAAGCTGACTTCATCATGAATATAACGAAATTGTGAATCTACCGCCTTACAGTGGCACTGGACGATATTTTGATTTGTAAATTGTTAATCAGAAAAAAATATTATATCAGTTACCAGCTAGACATATTTTGATCATAAAACCAAATAATAAAAAGTATATCTGCTTAGAAACTATGATGACACAAAGCTATTGCACCCCCCTCGGTGATCTCAATTTGTGTTTTACTTGCAAACTTCTTTTTACTTTAGTGCTTAATAGAAGAAATATTAAAGATTTTATACTGTACACATTTAATGTCTTAGTCGTTAGACACCAATATAGACACCAATATTCCCTTTTTTTTTTTTCCGTGCGGAAATCCCCTCGGATACCACCTGTCGGTGGCATGTCGGACTCGAACCGACTAAAACCGCACGCCGTCGCCGGGTACTAATAGCCGGGGAACCAGGTATACCCTAGAAAGGAAGTCCCTGGTGCAACACCAATATTCCCTAGACACATAATTCTTAAGAATTGTAAGCAATTCGAAGAAAACCTGCTCACCTAATTTTCGCGTCGGCATTTCAGGAATTTAATAACAATAACTTATCAGTTGCTCTGGAGCAACGGATAGAGGAAGGTGCAAGCAATAGCCGGAGCTGGCAACAAAGATTATTACTGGCCGGGACCAACGCTCACTACACCAGACGCGTCACACTCACTAATATATCTGAAGCATTTCATAAGTATGTATTTTTTATATTCAGGTCTGAAAAAATACAGAAATACAGAAGAACGCCGACGTTTGGCCTCTATAATTTTAGTCTCACTTATACATACATACATTTATTGACGGACCGGTTGGTCGGGACGGGTTAGTGACCCTGACTGCTGTACCGGAGGTCGTGGGTTCGATTCCCACCCAGGACAAATATTGTGTGATGAGCACGAACACTAATTCTGTGACTGGGTGTAGTTTATCTATAATATGTATGTATTTAGAAATATATAAGTATGTTTATCAGCAGCCTGGTCACCATAGTACAGGCTCTGCCTAGTTTGGAAACAGACAGCCTTGTGTGAGATATTAATTATAAAAAGGTTAAAATTTATCCCATGCCGATTTCAGCTACGGTGACTGTTTATGATGGGGGGTATAAGTAAAAGTTAACCTCCTTGTTTAGTCAAATTTATGTAATAGCGGGTAAGCCTATAGCTGTTATCCGGGCACTTTAAGGAATAATAAGAATATTGGTAGACAAGGGATATTGCTATAAATGGATGGATTTAGAGAATGTAAGCAATATCTTTTATACCTGCAACTCTCCAGAAAGTGCGAGCTCTCTTACCCTTAATAACATTTTTAAAAAGGTTTTAAATCTGTAGATTTTTTTTTCAATAATAATAATCATTTAATTACCAGAAATACAGATATAAAAGTTACATAAAGTTATGAATTATGAACAATAGAGCATTGTACTGGGACTGTATTGTACTAAATTCTGTACAAAATAATAAACCCTAAATCTTAAACTAGTTATTCCTGTATTTTAAGTTTTTTAAATTATGAACTACTACAGTAACTAAATAGTCGAAATAAGAGTGGTTTTGTTTTTTTTTTTTTATAAAACCAGGAGCTCAGTACATTTTATTTCGTTAAATTTTTACAGTTACGGCTTCCCCGCACCAACGGAAGCAATTCAAGCGACAAAGGAAGCACTGAGCACCCTCGAGTCTACTATAGCAGAGACGTATCTAGAACACAAGGGCGACCCTCTTGTAGGTACTATAGAAACTAGTATGGACATGGGCCGACACAAGACTGATGCTGACGCTGTAATTGATGATGCCAGACCCTATGTGTACGAGATTATCAACAATTTGATCGCTGTACATGCCGAGGTTTGTTGTTTATTTATTTCTAATTTTCTAACCCTATATGTTAATTTTGTAAATAGTTTTGAAATCTGCTGATTTAATATAGTATGCTACTCAATTGCACTGATAGAGTGACACAACATTACTGTAGTGTCATCTGCAGTAGTTTTTACGGAGTAGCAAAAACTAGAGCAAATTTATTGTTTAGGTAGGTTTCCTGTACTTTTTTTTTAACCACATACAAAATTTATTAAATTAGTAAGTGTTAATATTTATAAAATATACACACTAATATGGACCACCTAAAATAAAAAAGTTCACTTCTTATTTTGTACTACAAATGTGAACTAAGTCCTAAGTAAGCTTATTACTTAACGACTCAATGTTAGTCTATTATTAATATAAAAAAAAATGTAAAAACATATTCTCTATACCCTTATAAGTATGTTCAGCTGAGCTTAAAATATTTTATTTTGAAAACTAAAATATATTTTTTCAAGTCACGATAGATGGCGTTAAGATCGAATTAGATCACGGTGTCGCCCGACTCACAAGACTTGTATAAGTACTTTGGAAAAGGCTGATTGAGTTAACTTTGCGCAGAGGCAATATCGTAACCAATGAGGTTTATCCGAGGTGCGATTATTGCTAGTTGAAAACTTTACCAATACCCCGCCGTGTGGACGTGAAATACCGTCCGCTATGGCAATTTTTGAAAGGCTGTAATGGCCTAATAATACATTGGCATTGTTCTGATGTGTTCGCACATTAGCTTACTACATGTATAATAAAATTGTTTGTTTTATATTACCATATTACTCGTAGTACTGTTGAACTATAATGGTGTTTGTTTAGACTGTTTAATTGTTTTTGTAACCAAGTTGGTTACCTGGCGTTACACGCTCTAAGCGGATGGGCAGCGAGATCGATAAATGTGTACAAGACTTTCTCTTTTCTTTCCATAGACGTTCCGTTTTTAACTTTTGTAATTGAGTTGTAGTACCTTATTTCAAATTCACCTGTATTACAGGAATGTTTATGAATTTCTTTATCTTGTTTATTATTTTGTAGATGAAATACAAATTGTAAATCGACATAGATTAAGGTTTCGTTGTAGTAGCTAGACATCATCACTTTTAACCAACTTAAAAAAAGGAGGAGGTACTATATACGGCTGTATGCAACTTGTAATGTATAATTTCTCACCACAGACCTATTTTAAAAATATTTTTAGCGTGTGAACGGTTAATGCGGTTGTAACGACAGTCCCATTGACACTAAGTCTGAATTTGAGAACCATATCTGAGAGAAACCCTCGGCAATTGACGGTCAATTATGGATTAGTGTATTTATTAATCTTTTCCTTAAATTTAAGTAACATTTTTTTTAAATGATGACCATTATTGTTACTAACCGACTTCACAAAATGAGGAATTTGTACATTATCTGCTGCGTTCCTCAAAAGGAATTAAAACCGACCGAGTGTAAGTCGGACTCGCGCACGAAGGGTACCGTACCATTATCTATAAAAACGGCAAAAAAATCACGTTCGTTGTATGGGAGCCTCCCTTAAATATTTATTTTAGTAGTAGTACAGTAGGGTATATTTGCAAAGGCCTGTGCCCGGGAGACACCATAATCGATAACGCGTATACAGCCGTGAGAAAATCGTAGGAGTCTGTGACACGTCGTGAAAACAAAAAGGATGTTCTATCAGGTGGACGGCGTGTGCGGCGCGGCGTCGTCGCGGTACGTGCGGCTGATCTGCGAGACGGTGTGCGAGGAGCTGGCGCGGCTGGCCGCGTGCGCGCCGGGCGCGGAGCTGGTCGCGCCGCAGGCCGCCTTCCAGGCGCGCCTCGAGCACACGCTGCTGCACGTCGCCACCGCCGAGCACCTCACGCGCAAGGCCGAGTCAGTGCTGCTCGCTAACCCCATACAATTTTGTGACTTGTTCTATTTATTCAATCTTTGACCGCAGTCCACAACGAAAACACTGATTAATTTGATAACTTAGTGATCGGAGGACCCGTGGAGAAATACACGACTCGTGGGCATAAGACACAGGGTACACGAACCGCTCTCCGTGCACTGTTTTCGGTACACCGGAAGACTTCGATGCCCAAAGCAATCCACGACTGTACCCTCCCTCCTCTACCTATCCATGAGTAAATTAGTCTCGGCCTTAATTTTTCAACGCTCACTTCTGTATCCTCTAAAAGGCAATTATACATAAAGGCATATTTAACACCCAAAATTTTGAAGTTAAAATTCAGTCTCAGTTACGTAACGGAAACGAACATAAACCGAACGACTAAGAGTAAAAGATAAAGAATCGTCGCAGTCGTAGAAAAACGGCGAATTTGATTTTTCGATAACGCATGTGACTTTTGTTTATTATAAATTATTTTTTTATGCCATTTTATTAAATTTATACACTACTGTGTGTTTCTGTATATTTCAAAATTTAAAGAAGATTAAAACAACTGTTTTGAAATATTACGTAATATATTTTAAAGTGTTCTAAAAATTACTAAAAATTAAGCACATTTTTTCTACAACGACAACGAAATAATTGAAAGGATACTGAAGGAAAAGCAGTGGAAGAGAAAGATATAAATTATTCAGACGGATTGAGCAAAGGAAATTAGCCGGTCAACGTCTCATTTTCTTTATAAATGACAATTGAATTGATTGAATGATAATTATTATAACAGTTATTTTCTTTATATTCAGGAACTATCTAATGGAAGCATTGTCCACCATTCCACCTTTAGAAAATGAAGAAGAAAAAAAGTGAGTGAACTCTATGTGATATGATTACATTATTTGTATTTTAATTGAAAAAGACAACTCCCGCGCAAGGAATATATCATGTGTCGCAGGGGATTTTACATGACATTCATGAAACTAGTACAGTCATAAATATGTAGACATAGCCAAATAAAAAATGTATATACATGTTTGTTTCTTTTACAGGCGAATGGATTCTATAGTGGAAGGATTCAAAAAGAGAATGGAACTGCAGCTTGCTAGTTTAAACTGCAACATGGAAACTGTGTAATGTATCATTATAGAAATATTTTATCGACAGAGCACTTATTTAGAAATATTTTATCGTATTGCGATAAGATCGCATGCTACGTACTCAAAAATATTCGTCACTATTCGGCAATAATTATAGTGTAAAAAATTATTTCTGAACAGTGGATACAAGTGTTATTATTATTCGCGTTGCAATATTTTTTTAATATAATGTTTATTAGGTTTCTATTTAAAATATACGAAAAAATGCTTAGGTACTACAATATTTTGGTTTTAAGATATGTCGTTTCTAAACATTATTATTATTTAAAAACAGTTTATTTCAATATATGTATATAACGGTCTAATAAAATATTTAATAAATGTAAAATAAAACACTTGGTTTTCCTTTTGATTCTTCGCGCTTTACAAACTCGTTGCACTCACATTCTTGTAACTCTGCAAAAAGGCTTTTGTTAGTACTAAAGTAGTGATGATACAGCTAATTTACATCTGAATCTGGTTTCCCCATGGTATACATATATATTTATACATAAGTACTTTACAAAACTTATGTACTACTTAAAAAAAATTGTGAGAAAGAAATTTATTATTATTATTTATTAACACAAGTTTGTGAAATTTTAACAGGTTAAAATTTTATTTAAATTCTTGTGTTCATTATCTCTTAATTTTTTACCTAAAAGAATAATTTCATTTTGCTAAAAATGATTAAAAATATTAAAGAAAATATAGACCCATAACCGATTCAGAGCGAGCCAATGCAACGACGATCGAGTAGATGTGAAAAAAACAATATATCATTTTTTTAAATAATAAAAGCTTTACCTCAGCAGCTTGTTTTTGCAACAAATTAGACATAGTTGGGCCAGTTTCGGCCACCATCTTGCGAAAGTATCCTTTTTTATTTTGCAGCAGTATGTGCGGATGGTCGAACTCCATGAGGCGGCCAGCGTCGAGGACTAGTATCTAGACATTAGATGATAATAATAATTTATTTTTGGTTTTATGGCTACTGATCTGATCATAAAGTCGTAGTGTAGGCTTTTAAATGATGAACAATGTTTTTACATCCGTCTGCTAGACGCTGTTATATATTAGCTAAGATCGAAGGAGAATTTTTACCTTATCGGAGTCGATGATAGTATTGAGCCTATGCGCTACTGTAAGCACGGTACAAGAGTTGAAGTGTTGCCTGATGGCGGTCTGTATGAGAGCGTCAGTTTGCGCATCCACGTTGGCCGTAGCTTCGTCCAGCACAAGGATCTTGTCGTTGTGCACTATCGCTCGGGCCAGGCAGACCAACTGCCGCTCACCGACGCTGAAGTTAGACCCGCCTTCTTGCACTTCTTTGTATAGGGCAGCTGGGCACGTTTTAAATATAGATAAATCGCGACACACAATAACTACTTATTGTGTGTCGAAAATAAATACAATTAATGCCAATGCCAGCAAGTCCGTAGCGGTCGTGATGGAGGGATGTTTTTTAATTGAATGTGTGCCTGCTTCCATCAGCAAATTTAAATTAGTAAATGATAAAATTAGGTCAGACACTTTTTAAGACCCGAGCCAAAAAGAAGAGTCTTATAAGTATGACGTGTCTATGTGTCTGTATGTGGCACCGTAGCTGCAAAACGAATGTACCATTATGATGCGGTTTAATGTTTGTTTGAAAGCTGACCGATCGAGATATTGTCGTGTTTTGGCAATTTATGATGTATACTAATTTATACAAAAAAAACGTTATTTACTTACCTACTCCGACCTCATCAGTTTGAAGCTCCACGTTATATAAAGCATTTAACAATAAATCGTCTGAATATTGATCAAATGGATCTAAATTCTTTCTAATGGTCCCACTAAACAAAACAGGCTCCTAAAATTGAATATTATGACCTTACTTTAGCTTTTGTACACTTTAATCTTTTTGGTGAATACAATGATATTCTAGAATACAACAGATAATAGCTACTTTCTACAGAAGATTAAAAAATGAAAATAAAAACAGGAACAACTAGCGTACAATGGGGAAACTACCTGCACATTTAAAGTCAAAATCATTTTTTTATTTTACGGAAAACTTACTATACACTGATTAGTATTAACTGAATATATTAAAAATATACAGCGGTCACCAAAGGACTGTCGTAAATAATAGTGATATTAGTATTGCAAGACAATAACGTCTTGCTTATATTACGACGATACTTACGATACGTACGATATAATGCATAAAGAACTTAAAGCTACACATACCTGTGGTATAATTGATAACTTTTGTCTCAAATCGTGTAGGCCGATGCTAGTGATATCTACTCCGTCAATGGTGATTGCACCCTCTAGATAAGCCAATCTAAATAGTGCTTGTATTATGGATGATTTACCCGCTCCTGTTCTGCCCACAATACCAATCTGCAAATTAGTGGCACTAGTGACATTCAAGCACAAATTTGTGCTTGAATGTCATATATATATTAGGTACATTGGACTAAAAAAACTTGATTAAAACATGGTACATTGAAAAGTTGTATGTTTTTTTTCTTGTATCGAATTCGATTACTTTTCCTAGGTATAGGTATAAGAATAGAAAAGATCTAGTCGTCCTCATAATATTTGTACTAAAAGCAATTGATGAAAGCAGTAAAGGAAGAATACAAGACAAAAAGACTTAAACAAAGGGAGGCCGCGGAATAATTAAATTTACTTTTTTAAAGGCTCGAGCAACAGTTTAGTAAGGAGAATGAAAAAGCTTACTCCCGAATCTCAATAGGCCAAGACCGTAGCGTGGATATTATTAGTTTCAATACAGGATTTGTGCCGTGTTAGCTAGTAAGGAGTGACTGAACTATAAATCATTTTGTTTAAAAAAAAACTGATTTATTTGGATTCATATTTAGGGCAAGAGTTGGTTACCAACAAGTTTAGTGTTCGAGCTATAGACTACAATGTAGGTAAGTAAATACCTTTTCTCGAGGTTGTATACTAAACTGCAATTTGTGTAATACGTAATTTCCATCTGGAGTATATCTTAAAGTCAAATCCTTGAACTCAATCGCACCTTCTTTAGGCCAATCGGAAGGAGGTTTTTTGTTAGGTTCCTTAAACGAAAATCGTTAACTCTAATTAGGTCAATATAGTTTTTAACATATTAATATTGTAAATGCTTAAATTGCCAAATGATGATGATGGTTCCGAACGCATTAGAATTTTACGAATCAAAGCAGTGTCTCAGTTTTTATCCGGCTAAGGTAACTGTCATTATCATTTGCGCCATCTCAGAACACTTGGAGAATGGAATGGAAATCATTCAGTGCTCTCCAGCACCTGGTACCTCTTCTTCGGAGAGTATTTGCCTCCACAAGTAAAGCGGTGGAATTTCAGAACGCACTTATCCTCTTTTGATTTTTTTTTTTATAATTGACAGAGTTTTTGAGAGACAGATAATGGGATACTACTTCTATAGTGTAATAACCCTCAGCAGTTAATGACAGTGGTAATAAAAGCTTGATACTTCTAATCTTTAGAAGTTAGCACGTCAAGTACCCCATCTTATTTCTCACGATTAAGAATGTTTTCTGCTATTTATAATCATAGTAAATATATACTTACGCTATACAAAGCAGGTTCATGTGGCAATTTGGTGTATTCGAGAATTCTTTCAACACTGGTCATTTGGTTCTCCATTTCAGCTGACTGGCGCATACCCCATTGAAAGATTCCGGTCAGAGATATCGATTGGGTAATTGCTAGGCCTACGCTACTAGCATCCATATCTGAATAATTATTATGTATCTAGTGTTATTATTAGACTTTTTTTAAGTTATATACTAAGAATAATAAGTTGGGAATTAGGACAGCGTGAGCTGTTCCATCATCCACTTCGTGAAGAGATTACCGAGTATAAGATTATTTTTAGGATTAGATTTGTATTACCACTAGCTAATATGAATGAGCAAGTATGTTTGTTGTTTAAATTGTTTGAAATGTGTACGAGTTGAAAACATTAACATAAATTTACCAGTCTTCATTAAACAGCTAAACGTCACGCATATGATGAAAAGTAAACAAATAAGGTCGAGGAAGTAGCCGAAAGCTCTACTGCAAGTTATGAAGAGGTACCACGCGGCACTGTGCAGATCCTGATGGCGGTCGAACTCTTGGGCTAAAAGGAACTCCGCGCCGAAAGAACGAATTGTTGCCAGACCTAAAATTGAGGCGTTCACGTGACCGAAGACAGGGCTGCGAGCTGGTAAGGAAAAAATGTAATTTATTTTAAAGTTTCTGTAACTGGTACTTCACTTAAGTATACATAAATTAATGTGTACTATAATATTCAACACAATGGCACGTCAAATGTATGTCGGAGAGGCAACCGGATGGCAAGCAGTAATCTGGACCTTGGCGTGGTACAGAGCCCCCTCGTATAAATGTAATGAATAACCATGACCTTTCTACCATTTTTTGGGCTTATAATAAAATCTAATTGTTTATAAAAAAAAATCAAAAATATTATGTGTAACGTTTGGCAATATTGTAATTTTAATGAGGTTTGGGGTGGTGAAAGTAGGGGTGAATTTAATCAAAATCGGATGGCATTGATACACACCATTCCTTGTACTTATAACAGTTTAAATTTCAAATGCCATCCGATTTAAACAACGTTTACTGTTTTCTTTTAATTATTGATGAAAAAATAAAAAAGTTTTTCGGCGACTTTGAAGGGTTGTTTCACCGAAACTGCCAATCAGGATTGGATGGGTTTTTTTCAAACGTTTGGTTGTGTCAATCAATATGCTTACTAATTTTGAAGCTGTTGGCTCAAAACTTTTTTTTTATGTGCTTGTGCGTGTTTCGTCTCGCAATTTTTTTATTATATAATTTGTGTATTACCTTTCAAACAACTGCATATTTATCCGGTTGCTTCGTTAAAAAAAGAAAATTTGCCCCATCCCCATATCACCGCCCTAGTCCACTTGGGGTCAATTTGGCCGATACTAGAAGCTCTGTACCCCCCTCCAAGGCCCAGATTACCACACGCCATCCGGTTGCCTCTCCGACATACATTTGCCATTACTTAAGCTATAAATAATAAATGAAAATTAAATTACATGAATCACACCAAAATATACTTACTGATTCCCTCCAGACGCTTAACGGCACCAGTAGTTCTGATATATATAATGCGAAATATATAGAATATTATAAGCGCTGCGAAAATCGGTATTAACAAAGTTATATCAGTCATCAATATAACTATTACGGCTCCCCCCAAATTCAAGATTATCTGAAATCATCATAAAAAAATTAAGCCGTCTCAGGATGTCTGACAAATGTGTACATCGGAATTATTTTGCAGAAATAATGAGTTTAAAATCAATTTGATGTCACTTGCGCATGGCGACGCGTTGCCACATCCTCAGCCAGTTTGTCCCTCCGTATTAGATGTTTCATATCAATATAAGACTTCCTATTAAATATATACCTCTAACACAAGGAGTACTAGACTGCCGAAAAAACGATTACTCCTAATTTAAACCGTAAATTTTATCTTAAGGCACTCGACATGTATTCGATGGCAGATGCCAGTAAGTGCATTGCATTCCCTTAAACGATATGCGGTTTATTAGTTGCTCAATCCCAATGTTGTCAATTTTGTGTGTGACCCTATATCTACCGTCCAACTACTAAAACTTGAAATAATTTTGTTACCTGAAAGCAATCAATCATAGCTTGTGGTAGTAATTCATCAACAGCTCCCATATCTTTACTGAATCTATTCAGAATTCTCCCAGATGGGTTTGTATGGAAAAAACTCATTGGTGATCGTGAAATAGATTCAAACATTTTGTCATGTAATCTGTAAATTTGAGAAGCCGATAGAATATGTTACAACCGTCATATATCGACACACATATTGAATTTTAATATTTACGTGATGGACGACTTCATGCACAACGAAAAGAATAAAAATGCTCGGATTAATGCAACAACGATAGTTGCTAAAGTAATCACACCAAAAATCACTACAAAATCTCTTCGTATAAGTCCAAGTTCGTTCCATGTCTGATAATCTACTGCCTCGTCGCCTGTCATTCGATCTTCTATGTTACTCCTGAAGGAACAAATACGTTTTCAAAATAAAAATTTATAGAGTGAGACTGTAAGACAAAGCTCACCATCTGCTGATCCAATAATCGCAGGCACTAGCACAAAACTGAGCTAATAGAAACATGAAGAACACAAAAACGGCTTGCAGGCAGGGCGCATTCGCCAGAAAATAATCACGGTACACTGATCCGCCTACTCGACCAACGGTTTGGAATTCTGCTTCCAGCTTTTGATCCTGAAAGCCAACGATAATTCAATAGTTTTTCGACAGATGTTTAAGAAAAGAAACTTTTTTGGATTCCTGTTGTTGTTAAACACCTAATGTAAATACATGTCTATAATGATAGACAAATACACCTACATACACAGGTATTAGTATAATTTTTAAGTAGGTATTTCACAAAACATTGTTAGTGTAATAGAATCATAAAATCTACTCACGGCAGAACTTAAATCCATCATAATTGACCAATGACGTCGATGAAGGCTCATCGCACTAGGCTGGAGCACCGTTGATATACTTTGCATACTCGTCAGGGTATCGTCCTTGTGCATTTCTCGTGGTTTCTCATTCATTAGTTGTATTATTTTTAAACATTTTTTCTACAACATTATTTCAGTGATAATGCCACAGTATTTTATTTAAAGTTAGTTCTGACAGTTTAGTTATATTTACGTCTAATTCATCGAAGGCTCCAACATCCACTATTTTCCCTTTATCCATAATAACAACTTGGTCTACCATCTTGATGAACTGCAACTGGTGGGTTACCAATACAACTGTCTTCTTCGCCAAATACCTATACAAATAACATACACTTTAGTCTAGGATGACAAAATATACTTAAAAGTCTTAAAGAGATTAAGAGAAATGTCTCTCACTTCTTTATACATCTATCGAAGATGTGTTTTGCTACTTCAGTGTCCACAGCAGATAGAGGATCGTCAAGTAAATATATATCAGCCTGAAGACGAAAAGAGTTATAATTATTGAGCAATAATCTGTTTCTAATGCGATTTAAGGGACACGAAAAATCCAGTTACTCGAAACTAAAATATTAAGACGAACAATGCTTCGGCATTGTTCGCACTTTGTAGATTTTGCTTAGACTTCGGAACTATGGGTACGTATGGTCTTAGTTATACAATACTAGCTGACCCTGCAAACGTTGTTTTGCTATATAACTTATTAAAAAAAAAAAATTGAATTTCTTAAAATCCGTTCTTAGCTGACCTCTACTCGGTGAAAAGAATATTTCTACCAAATTTCAAGTCTTTAGCTCTAATGGTTCCAGAGATATCGTGATGAGTGACTATATACGTGGAAATCTCTTATATATATATATATATATATATATATATATATATATATATATATATATATATATATATATATATATATATATATATATATATATAGATTTAAAGGTTTCGATAAACCAATGAAAACGCTTTGTTTGTTACCGCAAAAAAATGTGATGTCCTTGGAAAATTTTGACAGCTGACAGTAATCAGGTTAGCTTTTTTGCGAGCTCACTTATGGTATTAGATATTTAAGGAAACGCTACACAAAATCCGAAACACTCAAGTAGATCTTGGAAAAATAATGCAGTCTCAGTTGGGTTGATGGGATATCACGCTACTTTGTCTTCTATGATAAAATAAAAAGTTATCTGCGTTATGTACTGACTCAATACCTATGTCTGTGAAACCTTCTCACTGTGGTGTACTTTGAGTTAACATTTAGTTATTAAGTATTAAATGGTCAAGGGTAACTAAGGAATCGAACTGTAATCTATGCATATGCCATTCATAGCATGAAATTGTACCTCTTTGTAAACAGCTCTGGCTAGATTAATTCTGGCACGTTGGCCACCGCTGAGTGAAACTCCACGCTCACCCACAACTGTTTTATCTCCATGAGGAAAAAGCGATATGTCTCGCTCAAGAGCACATACCCTACACACTTCCATATAACGGGCTTTTTGAAAAGATTGTCCGAACAAAATGTTTTGTCGGACAGATCCTGTAAAAATGTGACAGTTAACATGGAAACATATTTGTATGTAAAAGTTAAGGATGTACTTTACAAACAATCAAAAGGTGTTTACCTACAAAGAGCCACGGGTCTTGGCAAGCGTAACTAACACTTCCATTAACCTGAAGACGCCCATTGGAGCAGGGCAGTTCACTGAGCACCATGTGCAGCAACGTAGACTTGCCAGAACCGACCGATCCTATTACAGTAGTTAAACAGCCGCCGTAGATCTACAATTCAGAAAACTTCACTTTATCATAAACCTACCAGTTAGCTGATGCTAGCTTAGCACATTTAAGACCAATATTCGTTATTATACAACATTTATTCTGTTTTTTAATAGTACTGGAATTACTTACTGTTAAGTTCAAATTTGCCACATCGTCTTTATCAGAAGATCGTAGCCATTTCGTAGATGCGTCTTCAAATTTTATAATTATTTCTTCTGCATGAATTTCTATACGATAGAAGGAGTGTTAAAGTGGTAGTTTTATTTACATTTTTATGTAACTTTACTGATCGTAACTTACCTTGTGGGTCATCTGCGGGTACGTTTTGGGATGTGCTAGGTTGAGATGACAAAGAGCTCAAAGGGCGATAACTCAACGGTTCTATTAAAAATAAGTTATTATGAATTCCTTTACACAGAATAGGTATAGGTACATACTGTAATGTTGAAGTATGAAGTTCCTATCTTAACGTAGCGGTGTACTAGTAACTTGGTTCTGAAATATACTTTTTATTCTTATGTAGAAATGCCTGAGTACTACCGCGTCGAGAACATAAACAAAAATATTACATGACTGCAATTAGAAACTTCTTATATGTCAGATCTTGTCTCAACCGATCTTATAAAAATAAATAAAACATATTTAATAAAGTATTTTTGGTGACCAGTGTTAACCATCTTTCGGTACAATGTGGACTGGCTCCACCGGCGTGATACCACGGTCTTACGGAAAATCAGAGTTAAGCTATTCTTTCGTCACTTTTCACCCAGTGGGCGAGGTTACTGAAAGCCTTATATGGAGGTTGGGGCAACTCTACTGCTACATGAGTAGTAAGGAACTTGATATTTATTTTATAATAATATTATATTTATTTTAAGAAAATTATTGAGAAGTTGGACAGAAACAATGGGATAAACATACATACATATGAACTAAAGACATACACATACAATATACATAAATCCTTACTTATATAGTTAGTTAGATAGTTATCAATAATATTAGTAATAGGTTTTTGATTCTTCATTGTTTTGTAGCCTCAATTTATATAATACATACTTTTTTTCATATTTACCTAAAATAGTCACTCGTTTCTTTTTGCTACTTCTAACTTCATCAGATTGTGGCTGCTCTCTAAGAGGCAGATCACATTCTTCACTTAATAAATAGTCGCGAATTCTCTGCACAGCAACGTTCATTTCTGCTATCTAAAATATGTTGGATTAAAAAAATTTCAAATTTCTCTATTGATTTATGTGATAAATTAATACTTATTATTATTATAAGAGGTTGCTTTTTTGCAATAAATATTTATCTATACAGATTTGCAATGAAACATCTCGAAAATCAATTTTCTTAAGGAAAAAAAACCATCGTACTCGATCTTAATTTTATAACTTTGTCAATTTTACCGCAACTCTTATATCGAACTGCTATTTTTATAATAATAATAATCAAATATTGCCAGTGATCAAGTCAAATAGTCCTAATGATGCGTGCGATGATTAAGCGCTGTCAATCTCGCGCTTAAATAATTCAATAACCATTATATTAAGCGTGAAATTGACAGCTCTGGCTTTAGAGATTCGTTAAAATACATGTTGAGTCGATCTGTAATAAAAAGTAAATTGTAATACATTATAGAGTACCTATTGTTATACCACCTTTTAGTTATAAAGCGTATTTTTAATCAATAATTATTTTAACTCAATTCCGATTTCAGTCAATAAACGGTAAGAATAATATTTTTTTTTTTTTTAATGAACTTTTTTTGAAATCTGCTATGAACTAATTAGTTTATCATAAATATTTATTACTTTTATTTATTTTAACTGCAATACTTTTATTCATGTACACTTGCAGCACAGTTTTTTCCATCTTATTTGGGGAACTAACCACCCCTAAGAATGAAAATGAAGAGTACAGTTTATTACGTACAAAATTCATCACGACTGCGCATTGCAGTTGGTGATCTGATACTTTTTTTAAAATTAATTATCTAGTAAAATTAACAATGTGAACTTACTTGGCCAACCGCCTGAGGAAAATATAACGTCATGGTTTGCTTCGTTATATTATAGAAGCATGTTAGGAAAAATACATTTTCGACGGTTATTCGATTCACGTACTTCACATAGAGTAGCACAGTAATGAAGATACCGAAACGCGACGTGAACATGATGAAAGACATTATAATGCCGCGAATGTATGACGTCATCTTTATGAAGAATATTTCTTGCCTATGGATGTAATAATAGACAGATTGTTAATACACATTCATTGCAATTGATCACGTATTACATATATAAGTATATGTAACAGTTTATTACATTAATATTATAGACGTTTATAATAGAAGTTTTGCGAGGATCGATGTATGGGTGTTTGTTACTCAATCATGCTAGAAAGGCTAAACGGATTTGAATGAAATTTTGCATAGAGATAGATTATAGTCTGAAGTTTAAGTTATGTATGTGTATTTAGAACAAAAATCATTGTTTTTATTTTTGGGTAAACAAACAAATAATATTATGAAATCATATAAAACATTTAATTGTTACACCTTGGGTTAAGATGGGATTGAATCAGACTGCCCCCTGCGCCGGTCGTGCGCCCCCCGCTCGCGTCATCGCAGCGGCCTAAGGCCGCTGCGCCAACCGCGCTCCCCGTGGTGGGAGGCCGCGTCTCCTACGCGGCGGCGGCGTCGGCCCCGACTCCACCGGCTCCCCAGGGGCCGAGGAGAGGGGCCAAGGCACCGGCCCAGGCGCCAGTCAAGGCGCCGGCCAAGGCGCCGGCCAAGGCGCCGGCCCAGATGCCGGCCAAGACGAGGCCTAAAGCGGCGCCGAGGAGCGGAGTGGCTTTCCCTCCGCTCCCCGCTCCGACATCCCTGCCGGGCCCCTCTGCACCTGCCCCCTCCAACGAAGGTTGGCAGCAGGCGAGGGGCTCAAAGAAGTCCCGAAGGCGGGCTAGAAGGGCTGCTCAGAAAGCAGCCCAAGCCCAGCCTTCGCCACCGGTGGCAACGGCCTCAAAAAAAGAGGCCGCGGAAGCTGCAGCCGCCCAAAACCGCGGCTGTAGTCGTGACGCTGTCGCCGGAGGCGGCCAGTGGCGGGCTCACGTATGCGGCCCTCTTCAAGGGGGCCCGGCCCGGTCTCGCCACTGAGTTCGGGGAGGCGGGGATGAGGCTGCGCCGCGCCCAGACGGGAGCTCGGGTTTTCGAGTTCCCTGGGGCTGAAGGCGCGGCGACGGCCGACAAATTCGCCGAGAAGTTGCGGGGAATTTTCGCCGCCACGGACGGTGTTAAGATCGCCAGGCCCACCAAATGCGCGGAACTGCGTATCTCGGGCCTGGACGACTCTATAACGTCGGAGGATGTCCGCGATGCAGTCATGGAGAAGACTGGGTGCACCGCGGACACCATCAGAGTCGGCACCGTCCGTCCGGGTCCGGGAGGCCTCGGTGCGGTGTGGGTCAGCTGTCCCGTGGCGTCGGCCAAAGCGTTGGGCGACGCCGGAAGCATGCTCGTCGGCTTCGTTAATGCCAGAATCACGGTTCTGGCCGCGAGGCCGATGAGGTGCTTCAAGTGCCTAGCCGCGGGACACACTCGCACCAGGTGCGAGAGCTGTTTTGACTGCAGCGGTCTATGCTTCCGCTGCGGTCAACCCGGGCACAAGGCGGCAGAGTGCTCTGCCGCCCCTCACTGCCCCGTGTGTGCGGCGGCTAAAAAGCCTGCCAATCACCAGATGGGGCAGGGGGGCTGCAAGCCTCCCCGCGCTTCTCGGCAAACGCCGGGGGCTAGCCTGCCGACCCAGGCTACCTCCGACGTCAATCTTGCGTCGACGCCGACGCCCATGGAGGAGGTTGTAGAGACGATCCAGTAATGGATCAAGTCTCCAACCTCCTGGTCCAGACGAATCTGAACCACTGTGCTGCGGCGCAGGATCTCTTCCTGCAAACCATGGCACAGTGGTCTATAGGTGTTGCCGTAGTCGCGGAGCCCTATTTTGTCCCTCCCCGTCCAAACTGGATGGGTGACCGGGACGGCTCCGTGGCAGTCGTCGGCTCCACGGCGGCTCATTCCCCGCCCTTGTCGCTAAGAGACAAGGGTACTGGATATGTTGCCGCCGATTGGGGGGGAATCACCATTTATGGTGTATATTTCTCCCCCAACCGGAGTTTGAACGACTTCGAGGTCTTCCTTAACAACTTGGAGGCCTCGATGCTGCGACTAGTGTCTGGGCACGTCCTCGTGCTGGGGGACTTCAACGCAAAGTCCATTGCGTGGGGTTCCCCTGCGACGGACGCCAGGGGCGAAGCCGTTGAGGAGTGGGCGGCGTCGGTGGGCCTCTGTTTGCTGAACAGAGGCTCCACCAACACGTGCGTGCGACAGCAGGGGGGGTCGATAGTGGACCTTTCGTTCGCTACCCCTGCAGTCGCCGCACGAGTAAGGAACTGGTGTGTCCTGGAAGAGGTCGAGACGCTCTCGGATCATTTGTACATCCGATTCGAGCTCTCCCGGTCCCAGGACCCCAGTAGGGGTCACGCGGCGCGGCGCCCTTCCCGCTTTCCGCGGTGGGCTATCGCCAAGCTCGACAGGGACCTACTAGAGGAGGCGGCCATTATTCACTCTTGGCTGTCTCCGCAGGCCCCGACCGAGGAGGTCGACATGGGGGCTGGTCGCTTCTGCGATGCGATTACGCAGATTTGCGATGCGGCCATGCCCCGCGTTCGTGGTTGTCGGCCTCCAAGGAAGGAGGTCTACTGGTGGTCCCAGGAGTTGGCGGACCTCCGTGCGGCCTGTGTACGTGCCCGGAGGTCCCTCACCCGTAGTCGGCGACGTCACCGCGGGGTCGGTGAGGAGGTGGACCGGTTTCATGAGGAGTACCGAGAAGCTCGGAAAACTCTGAGGCTGGCCATCTGCCGCGCCAAGGATGTCAGTAGAGAGGAGATGCTGGAGAGTCTCGAGCGTGACCCCTGGGGTCGCCCTTATCGTGCGGTGCGTCAAAAGCTCCGCACGTCGGGCCCCCCCCTTACGGAGACTCTCCAGCCCAGCTTCCTGCAGGAAGTGGTCGAGGGCCTATTCCCGCAGCGGGCGGAGCACACACCCCCGTCGATGGCTGCATCAGCCGGAGACGACGGGGGCAGCGAGGCTGATGTTCCGCCCGTCAGGGAATCGGAGTTAGGGGCGGCTGTTCTACGGATTAGATCCAAGAACACTGCCCCCGGGCCGGACGGGGTTCCAGCCCGACTGATGGCCCGAGCCCTCGACTACATGTCGGACCACCTCAGGGGGGTGTTGGACGCTAGCCTGGCGTCCGGACGCTTCCCTGAGCGCTGGAAATGCGGGAAGCTGGTCCTGCTGCAGAAGCCGGGACGGCCTGCCGAATCGGTCGCGGCCTATAGGCCTATCGTGTTGCTGGACGAGGCGGGTAAACTTTTTGAGAGGGTGCTTTCTGCCCGCATCGTCCGGCACCTTTGCGAGGTTGGCCCCGATCTGTCGGACGCCCAATTCGGTTTCCGAGCGGGGCGTTCGACGATCGATGCCGTAATGCGCCTTAGGGCCGTGACCGAGGAGGCCGTGAGCTGCGGCGGAGTGGTGTTGGCGGTGTCCTTGGACATCGCCAACGCCTTCAATAGTCTGCCATTCAGCTGCATCAGGGAAGCGCTCCGCTACCACGGAGTGCCGGAGTACCTGAGGCGGCTGGTGGCAGACTACCTTGAGGAGCGAACCGTCATGTACGAGGACCGAGATGGCGTCTTGAGACGCAGGGCCATGTCGTGCGGTGTTCCGCAGGGGTCTGTCCTAGGACCACTCCTGTGGAACATTGGATACGACTGGGCCCTACGAGGGCGTCTCCCCCCCGGGCTGGGTGTACTCTGCTACGCAGATGACACTTTAGTCACGGCCCGGGGGGCTAACTTCCAGGAGGCGGCGCGCCTGGCCGCCACGGGAGTTTCCCAGGTGGTCGGGCGCATTGAGGCGTTGGGATTACGGGTGGCCCTGGATAAGACGGAGGCCCTATTATTTCATGGGCCCCGTCGTGGTCCACCCGCCGGCGCCTCAATCGAGGTCGGCTCGGTCCTCGTACCGGTCCGGGCCCAGATGAGGTACCTGGGTCTGGTCCTAGACGGTAGGTGGCTCTTCGACGAGCACTTCCGACAGCTTGGTCCGAAGCTGGTGGACACTGCCTCCGCCCTAGGGCGACTTTTGCCCAATTTGGGCGGGGCCAGTGTTCCCACGAGGCGGCTGTACGCGGGGGTTGTCCGGTCCATGGCGCTTTATGGTGCACCGGTGTGGGTGGCGGCTCTGACCGCCCCGAATAGGGCGCGCCTCTGGCGCCCCCAGAGGATATTGGCGGTCAGAGCCATACGCGGATACCGCACGGTGTCCACCGAGGCGGCTTGCGCCTTGGCCGGAACACCCCCGTGGGATTTGGAGGCGGAAGTGCTCGCCGAAGTTTATCGGCGAGTGGCTGACTTCCGGGCGGAGAGCGGATTTCGCCCTCCGCCCGAAGACGTGCGCGAGTGGCGCGAAGCCGCTCGCCGAGCCACCATGGTTAGATGGTCGTTCCGGCTGGAGACTCCACGCGCTGGCTTCGCCGCCGTGGAGGCTCTCCAGCCGGTCATAGCCGAGTGGGCAGGGCGGCAGCACGGGGCCCTTTCCTTCCGGCTGACGCAGGTGCTTTCCGGGCACGGTTGCTTCGGTAGGAGGGAACTGAGTCCCGCCTGCCACCACTGCGACTGCAGTGAGGACTCGGCCCAGCACACGCTGGCGGTCTGCCCCGCATGGGCGACGCAGCGCCGGGCCCTCACTGCAGTCATCGGAGCAGATCGGTAGCGACAGTTGTTTTACCGCGGTCGCAACCTTCTGCGAGGAGGTAATCTCGCAGAAGGAGGCGGCGGAGAAGGCCCGGGAGGACGACCTCCACTCGGACCTGATCCGCCGCCGGCGAACCGGGCGGCGGAGGCGCGCTTACCTGCGCCTCATGCCGCCCTGAGTGTGGCCGCGGGTGGACGGGGTGGGTTTCCCCTCCACCCGCACTAGTTGGCCAGCCGCGAGGGGGCGGCGTCCGCGTGTGCCGGACGTCGCCTAAAGAGAGGATAATTGAAGACGGAGCCCGCACCAGGAGCGGGCCGGCGCTGGGAGGGGTCCAGAAGGCGATAACTACCTGGACCCCTCCTAAACTGGAAGCGCAAAGAGGGCACACCGTGTGGTTTTAGTCGGTTCGAGTCCGACACACCACCCCGCCGCAAACCCCGGTGGGGTGACGGTCCGAGGGGATTTCCACACGTTAAAAAAAAAAAAAAAAAAAAAAGGGATTGAATAATCAATGATTTCATTAATACCGTGTTATCGCTGTAATTTAAACTTATACAAATTATGAGTTTAACGATTTGTTAAGCGGCACACATTAAGTAGGTACTAACTACATCTGATAACTTACTACTTCTTAAAGTGTCGTCAAACACTCACCGTCGAACCAAGTCAATAAGTTTCCTGAACGGTTTCTCCCAAGTATACATCTTTATAACTTCCATTCCCATTATAATTTCTTTCATTAATCTGACACGTTCATCGGTCTTCTCCGCGGTCTTTCTTCTGAAGTAAGCAGTGTTTAACCCCAAAAATACTAAACAAAACACATTTCAGGTCTACATAATCATTATCACGACGGCGACGGACCGGCTGGTCTAATGGTTGGAGACCCTGACTGATTAGCCGGAGGTTGTGGGTTCCATTCTCAGCCAGGATCAAGGAACAAATGACCGTACTTATCAAAGAATTGTTTGATAAGTACGACCATTTGTTCTGTGTCTGAGGGTAATTTATCTATGATGTATATGTATTTAGAAATATTTAAATATGTTGATCAGCAGTCTAGTCACCAAAACACAGTGCCTAGGTCTAGTTTGAGATCAGACTACAGCGTGTCAGATGTGTGAAGTTATTATTATCAACTTACAAGTCATAAGCTAATTTACGAGATTAAATTAAATGGAGGTTTATTAATACCAGGCGCATACCAAATGGTATTGTTCAAATAACGTAAAAAATCTTATTATTTGTCTGTCTGTTTTCAATTCAGATTAGAAAGTTCAAAAGTAAAGTTATTTTCTTACTCTGAAACGGTATAACAGCAATGATGATCAGTGATCCATAAACGGCTGGCATTCCCATTTCCCGGTAAACGTAAACAGTTAATAGCTGTTAACAATATACATAGAACAGTTATTCTTCAAATAAAACTCCTTTTTAGAATTATCTGCCGAATAGTTTTTAGTTGATATTTTAAGTGTCTGTATCAGGAGTAGACCAACAGAGAACAATGTTTTTTTTTTAACTATTAAATGAACAAACATTAGTACCAATTCTGATTCTGTTCAATAAAGGCTTGTCAGAAATTCCAAAACAAAAAGAAACAGAAAACAAGGGAGAAAATGGTTCGTAACTATTTTTAAAAGACTTCCAAGATGAAGGTTTTCATTTCGTTTGTTTGTTTTCCATGTTTGTTACCTCAGAACTCCGTTGTTTGAGAATCGATTTGAATATATATTTATTTCAAAGGCTTTACTTTCCGTTTGGTACCATTCAATTTGTAGCAAAAATACCACCCATAAAGGTGAAAAATAAGGAATGAAGTATTCAGTTTATTATAATTCGTTATGATGTAGGCGCGTTGAAGTCGGTTATACTTTTTTTAATCTCTACCTATTTATGTTTACATTATTTAATCTATAAATATAAAATTACTTGCTCCAACTGACTAATTTTCAACGCACAGCCTAAACCGCTGGGGCCACAAGCTTGAAATGTTGACAGCTGACGCTTTTTATGTTGTATGCGCCCACTAAGAAATTTTTTTGGAAATTTTACTAATTTTAGGGAAAATTCCCCCGCCCCCTCCCTTCTTATTTTAATCATTGATGATAGCTAGTTAGTTAAAAATCAACTCACCACTGTCTCTAGCGGTCCTATCCAAAGATAGTGTGCAAATAAAGGTCCTGTGTCGAAACGGTTGACGTCGTTTGCCATCAAATTTACAACTAAACCAGCGCTGCTCTCAGACAATGCTTGTATATTGACTTTTAGAGACTACAACAATAATTATACCTTTACTGGTCCGTCGTTCGTGTTGTGACGGGTTGAGAATACGGAGTGTCGCCACCCTTATTCATCCCATGGGTGTCGTAAGAGCCGACTTAGGGAGCAAACTACGCAGGACAACAGCACTGCAAAAAGCAGAAAAACTTGAAACAAACTCTATACAAACCCGTCTGGCCAGCGAGGTATAGTAGACCAAAACCTCGTTTCTAAGGAGAGGCCTATATTCAGCAGTCGTCTACCAAAGGCTGTTGATGATGATGACCTTTACTAGTTTAAGTATACATTTTTTTTTAATTTCTTTCATCCAGGTTGAATGATTTATCTGAGAATAAACGTTTACACGTATGTATATAACGATGGAGACCTATGCATCGCCACAGAATATAGGTGTTGTAAAGAGCGGGGCAGCTTATGTCCAGCAGTGGACTATTAAAGGCTGTTGATGATGATGATGATGATGAAAGAGCGGACGTAGTCGCATACCATCAGGAGAACCGTCTGCTCGTTTGCTCTCTATACCTACCATCAAAAAGGTATAATATTAACAGTAAAGGTAGTAAAAACGGCGTGAGGGGTCTATGGACCCCCGGTCGGAACGAAGTACCTTTCGCTTTTTGGGAGACGTTTGCTATAGTGTCGAAAAAAGGTTTGTTACACATTTTTCGGTCCCATCCGCTCAGAACGTGTAACGCGCGATAAGAAAACAAAAAAGGAAACAACAAACAAAATTTCTGCAGAAAGTGCACCATACGAAACAAAAATAGAACACACGTAGGGAAGCAACGATTTCATAATATTTGAAGAGTGGTCTTCATAATATTTTATGCATGAATAAACCTCGCCATATACTTATATTGTGTCCACTGCCTCTTTCTGTATTATTTTTATTTTCTATTATATTGTAATGTATTGGACCAGGTTTGTAAAAAGAAACGGTAAACGATGTCGTGCTTTTGGAAATAAATATGTTTTCTTTCTTCTTTATTATCTACTAGACATCGTCCGCGTAGTGGTCGACATCAGACATCGTAGAAGATACAATGAATCAAGATATGTACCTAAATAAAGACAAAGTAAACATTAAATAGCATACCTTTCTGTAAATAAGACTGCACATTCCAACCCTCATCTTCATCCCCATGTGCATGACGGCCATCATAAAAGGGTGCTGTACCATGACGTTGACGCTGCTGCAGAAGATTATACCGAACGCAAAGAAAATAGCTTCTCCCCAAGACACGTCTCCGGCCATGTCGTAGTAGGAGAACAGGCGGTTTATATATGTACTGTTTGCTCTGATGAAAACAAAAGTTTGAAGAATTAGACAGGCCTGTTGGTCTAGTGGTCAGTGTGTTCGGTTCCCACCAAGGACGTATAATTTTGTGATAAGAACGATCATTTGTTTGATTGTTAGAAATATAGTATAAGTTTGTTTATCAGCAGTCTGGTTACCATAACACAGACTCTATCTATTTTGGGATCACACGGCCGTGTGTGAGATATTATTATTAATTTTATTGTTTTTATACACATTACTGTAATTCGTTACATTGAAAATAACCCCGATTTTAAAACAAAATAATTTTGCTCTCAAATTTGGGTGTTTCCCAAGTTTGGGGTTTTGTGCCCTTAGTGCTTTCCTGTTAATTAGGGTGTATGTTTATTTGCTTTTTTTTTCTTTCGCTTTGCTATTGATCGAAGTTACGAAATCTCCTTGTCTTCTATGGCGTTTTCAACTCATTGGTTAAGAACGGCTCAGAAGATGAAGACAAGATTGAGAGTGACTATCGCATTTTTACCTACTCATTGCGCAATTTTTTTTATTGCGACACAATTATTTCATTATAATTGCGTAAACTTCTAGACATATTATTGTGACATACATAGTTTGTGAAACTGCTATTGAACCTACTTACGCCGTATTTTCTTGGGCTGGACTAAAATATCGTAACAACATTCCAAGAAATAGTGGTTGCTGCAATCTGTTTAAAGAAAAATAATATTGAATTATGTTCAAGTATAATGTAAATTTAGTATTAAACTAACCGTTCCCCTCAGTTTTACCGGCATTTATGGTTATAACATGATGTTGCGCTAACATTCCTCCGAGCCTTTTTCCCAAACTAAGTTGGGATCGCCTTTAAGTCTACTACGATACGGCTGAACTTTGAATTCCGCTTACATTATCCCTCAATAAATACAGTATTCAATCCAAAAATAATAATTTCAATATTGCCAGGGATTATCCCGTTACAAACAAATCAAAAAATCTTGAGCTATATTATCTTAGTTCAGAACATCGTTAAGTTCGTACTATTAATAGTATTTGTGCTACCTATTGGAAGAAATCTTACTTGAAAAGCCCAACGTTAACATAACATTAATAACACTTAATATATGTATGTTTAAATATCATTCCTAATAACGAGAGAAGCTATTAACTATATGGAGCTGATTCGCAACAACCTCTAGTAGACGCTATGTACGCTTTTCGAACGCTCTTTTGTTATGAAAAGTGTTCTCGCTCGTATTATGTACTTTAAAGGCCAGCTCTAGCATGCGTAATCTAACCCACAGGATAAGCACGCACGTCTATGTCCTTTTGTATCGACAGATAACGCACGTCGTTAACATGTTCATTGTTTATCCAACGGTCAATTGTTGCCCCTACTCTTTCAACAACAATCTCTAATTATTATAGCGTATGACCATGGTTTGGTGAAAGTACCTAGGTAGATGACCTACAATGTTGTCTTCTTCTTTCCCAACCGGGGATGGGTTATAGAGCTGAGCTTATTTAAAAGTGTAACAAACTTGTGCAAAGGGGTTTTACGAATTGTAGTAGTATATATGCAAACTGAAAATATCTAGAACTATCCACTTACAATTAAAAAAGCAAATTATTTGTTTTATATTATGTAGTCTAAACCTAAAGGCAACCTTATGGACACACGTTTTATAATACCTGAATTGTCGGTGAATGCGTTTCACAAAGTTATTAAAGAAGCTTCTAAGAAAGACGGACGAATCTAAAAATGTATACATTTTGTAATTGTATAGGTTCTTTGAAAAATTGTAAATGTAACATAATTCGACATCTTCGTTTTACTTATGTGGTCTCCAGTGGCGGCCTTAGCCATTGCGAGGCACTGGGCAGGTAGACCATCGCGAGGCCCTTGTCTTTGTGGAGTTAGTATTAATGATGATACTTGGAACAAAAAATTCAACGCAATATATACTGCTGCTCAAACATAAAAGCATTTAAGCCGACGACAGTTGACACTGGAAGCTAGAATGAATGAAACACGGACAATCCCCGAACGTAAATCGAGTGCGATCGAATCGAGTGTGTAATGCGAGATTCAAATAACCATACAACAACAAATATCTACTTGGGTTGCGGCGCGAGTGCGCAAGGCCCCGGGCGGTTGCCCTGCTCGCCACCCGCATAAGCCGCCTCTGGTGGTCTTATTTATAAGAATCTAAAAACTTTTAATGTGACCTAAATGACGCAATGTTATGTAGGTACTTAGTTTAAAACTACCTTTCATTCTTTGCTTCACCTGATTAAGAACTCCATGGCCGCAAGAATAAGGCCATACAACATAAGCTCCGTGCCGAATACCTTGAAAAGAACTTGCCATAAGCTGGGCTTATAATTTCCGCCCCGTTCTCGAGAACGCTGCGCTATCTTCATTTCTTCATCCCACGCTTTTTGTACTGCATCACCTTTACAAAAATAACAATGCCATTGTAGAAACAAATACGGATCCCTCTTAGACTTTAATATCATCATTCATGTTACGATACCAACAGTATGAATAGGGGTGGTGATACTCTGAATTCTTGACGTTCATGACGTTGGTATTATTTAGTTTTACCAAATATGGAGCGTGGCCGGAAACACTGTCGCCGTATATATATACAGGGTTACTAGGGAAGTCGACCTAAATACTTTAAGGTTTTGTAGATACCATCATTTCTGATAGCTTTCACTATGAAATACCATATCCCAAACCAAACAATTTTCAAGCTATTCGATTTTTAGGATTTTTATAAAAACTGCAAAGATTTTGCTTATCCTTCTTTTTTCCTTTTTTTACCGTTTTTGTATAGTTAATACCTTGTTTTATAATTTCCATTACAAAACTTCTACAACATTACACCTCCACCTACATACACGCTCATATTTACACACACACTTTTATTTTTTTTTACCTTTTAGGATTTCTTATTTTTTACACATAGGTACATACAACATAATGTGTAAGTTAACAGATCATTTTTCATGCTATCCATTGGATGAGGACCTAGCGAAATCGCCTGCGAGAAAATGCCAGTCATTTTTTTCGCCTATCTACTACTATCTTCTTTTTTATTTACGTATGGAAACCCCTTCGGGCCGTATCTACTACTATTTACACCAGCTTCTCACATATAGTAAACTTGTACAATTTTAAGAAAATAAATTTAAAAAAAGTAACTACGAAGTAACTTTTTTTTCTTCTTTCTTTTCTGTCATAGTGCTGTTAGTTTACATCTCACCTAGGATATCTGAGCGATGTTCTGGCAAAGGTGCGTAAAGATCGCCATCTGTTATATCTCGACTGTAGCCTAGTTTGAATGTTTCCAATGTCCATCTGAAGACCATAAATAATAATCAACATCAATGATTTCAATGTTATTTTGAAGTGCTATAACACGAATCAAAATTGTGAAAATTTCGAAATGGAAATTCATGACTTTCTATTTCTAATTTTAATTACAGCATTGTTTGCTTAGGAATTGTCTTGCAGTTACTTCATAATCTGTCCTTCAATGTCTGTCGGGAGTGGCAAGAGAATGCAATTGCGATTCTCGCTTCCCCGGCCATTGGCTAGCAGAAATATCACCGGAGGTGGTTTTTAATTGGTAAGAGTTCGACAAACCCCTTCCTTTTACTTTCCTTTTCCTTTTTTGGAGTTAATCACCAGCCTCAACAGCCAGCCGAGGGGCAAAAGTTATTGGGTAAAAGATAGTTTATAAGTGTTCTTATACCATTTATTGTTATGTCTTAATCACGGAATATACCGAATATTATATACTTGTGAGTTTTTTAAGTTATTTATCTCAAACACTCGAGAGAGGGGGCGCTATTTTTAAGTTTCTACCCCAGTTCGAAAAAATCGTAGATCCGTTGCTGTTAATTTCATTCATTCACAGCAAGCGCGAGAACTTTCAAATTACCTCATATTGAAGATATTATAGATTGAACGGAATGGATTTTATAATATAAGTATGAGGATATTAGATCCTTATTTGTGGAACACTACTGCAAGCCACCTACGTTTATCAAATCTACGATTTTTGTTGTCATAAGCCTAAGCCCACGTTAATTCTTTCGTTGAGATAAGTATTTGAAATTTAATTGTGACGTACCCAAATGTGAGAATGGAGAATAAGTTGGCTGTATACCGCGGATTTGCCCTTCTTCTCAATTTTGGACCCGTATCCATTTTAAGAGTAAGAACTAAAATTTCCTAGATACGTTTCAATTGTAATAAACACATTAAATTAATACTAAATCTACATGGTCATGAACAATCCGTTGAGTCATTTGCTATTACTTAATAACATAAATATAATCAAAGTATTATGAATATGTCTAATACTTAGTTTCTTTATTTTACGTGCAAGTAGGCGTACTGTGTAACTATTTTACCTAAGCACTTGTGTAATGTAGGGCAATGCCAATATCACCATTCCTGACGACATATACAAATTACCTGAAAAGCAATTCTACCTGAGGCAGAGGTAATACTTTTATTTTATTATTGATCCATGTGGTATTATTGAACTTTAGAGACCGTTATGATGACGTATGCACGCCTATCGTTTTCAACACCCAACCATTGCTCGCCAATGCTCGCCAATGTTTAGGCGGACCAATGATTCGGGGCCACCAAGTCGTACATTTTTATATGCTCCTTGCCCTACACTTAAAGTGGGGATAATGTTTTTTTTCCTCGTCAATCTCATAACGATAGGTATCGTAAAACTTACCTATTCAAATAGCTAAGGTGAGTAAGAAAACTGCTTTTCTATTGAGTACTCCATTTGCATAAAATTAAACTTAAAAATGTTAGCTTTCTTAGTCTGATTTTACAGTTTAGGTTTAAGGTGGGGAGGATCCCGCCTCGCTGCCTAAAAACTAAACAGTTGGCTTGAACATATCTGAAAAAATCATGATGTTAGCGTAGTAACGAATTTAGAAGAAAAATTATCCCGTCTTAGTAAGCTCTTTTAGTTGCAGAGCAATAGTCGCCCAACTTACGATAAAGAAATATAAATTAAAGTTGCTACTTATTGAAAACGGGTGTATCTACTACCCCTTAAACTAAAGAACCTTATACTACCCGTATAAGGTTCTGTAGTTCAAATGTTAGATTGGACAGTCTGGCACTTATAAAAAAAACACCAATAACTATCACCATTATTTATTATAAATCTCTACACAACTTTTGGTAACTTAACACAGACACAAATTTACACAACACCACTTAACACGGATTATACGTGTTGTCAGAATAGACCCGGAGTATATGTACTATTGCTCTAGAGTTCCTGCTGAAAACCAACCAAGGATGGGGAGTGGTTAGAGACCACAATTATTTCAGCATCTCTCACTACTTTAGCTTTACTACTATCTAAGTAAATTACGCATTTTCGTTTTAGGTCAAAATATACTGAAATACCGAATTATTAACTATAAATTAGTAATTATATTTATTTATACGATTATATCTATAGCTTCTAAAAGTCTATCCATCTTTCCATATCAGATACTCCACTTCACGAATAGGCAGAAAAATTCGTGGTTTAAAAAAAAAAACACCTGGTGGCTGTTATCTTATGAGCAAATAAACATTTGAAACTAAATTATCAATTATGTACTTTTTGTTAAGTCCAAAACTATTGCGGACAGACAGTAAATTTGTCACGTCCATAATCCGTCCTTTGACACAATATACGTGACCATAAGTTTACTTATTATTTAATTAGCATATAATAGTGATAGGATATAACGAAATGTAGGTTTTCTCATAAACGTTTCGTAATAACTGAGAATGATCTATATAAGCTCTTGTTCCTTGTGAGTTTTTAATTGTGAACCATGCCTTACATACGGACTGTTTGGTTCGTGGTCGCCGCTTTCTTATTAGCGGTAAGTTTAATGTTTATCTACAATATGTAAATAAGGCTTTGTTAAAATTACTCATTTAATAAAGGTTAAGATGATTTGACACATCTACTAGCTAATCCAAGGTAAAGGTTTTCAAAATGTAACTTATGTAACAAAGGGGGATGGAGGGGCTACTATGCCACGTCTTCAACATCTCGTCAGCTTTTAAATTTTTGAAATAAAAATTAAATAAATAAGTCATTTTGAATTTTGCAACCAAGTATTGTTTTTAAATGTAATTATTTTTAAATTTAGCCAGTAGCTTTGGTAAACGATTATTAAGAATTCCATTTTACTCTGTCCCCCATAAAATCGATGAAGGAATCGATTAACTCAATTCGTACATAGTTTAAATTGCTTGCCTGCAAAACATAAGATTTCTAACAGATAATTATTAAAAACTCGACATGTATACCTTAAGGAACTTGGTGTTTATATACACCCTAATGATGTTCTTCTACACGTTGGTATCTGTGTATATTAACATAAGTATGTACTCGTATGTATAAAAATTTACTTTCCAAATCTGAAATAAATTACGATTCTGCAAATTGTTTACAGGTATCTCAGGCACAATGGGTTCGACGCACCCAATGCGCCGTATGTCCTGCAAATACAAACATTCGCTACGACTCATGCGCTTCAGCACTTGAAGACTTGAGCATTTTATTACAATTAATTAAAACAATTGATGACAAAGAGCCATGTCAGCAGAATAGTGGAATAAGTGATGAGATAATCATGAAATTAGTCAACGCTTTAGTGTACACAGCTACACAGAACTGTGGTGCAGGCCATAATCATCACGGCGGTGGAAGCGGTTATATAGAGGGTGGTATATCAGGAGGCATAGTAGGAGGTATAGGCGGTGGGTTAGGTGGTGGCCTAGGAGGAGGTTTAGGTGGCGGTCTAGGAGGAGGTTTAGGTGGCGGTCTAGGAGGAGGTTTAGGTGGTGTTGTAGATGGAGGAGTAGGTGGTGGGGCAGGGGGAGGTTTAGGTGGTGGCCTAGGAGGCGGATTAGGTGGTGGTGTAGCGGGAGCATTAGGTGGAAATCTAGATGGTGCATTAGGTGTTGGGCTAGGAGGAGGATTAGGTGGTGGCTTAGGTGCAGGGTTGGCTGGTGGTTTAGGGGGTGGGTTAGGAGTTGCATTAGGTGGCGGAGCAGGAGGTGGTGCTGGTGGTGGAGCAGGAGGTGGTGCTGGTGGAGGAGTAGGTGGTGGGGCAGGGGGAGGTTTAGGAGGTGGTCTAGGAGCAGGGTTAGGAGGTGGTGTAGCAGGAGGGCTAGGAGGTGGTCTAGCAGGATCCTTAGGAGGTGTTGTAGGAGGAGGTTTAGGGGGTGGATTAGGAGGAGGTTTAGGGGGTGATATAGCGGGAGCTTTAGGCGGTGCAGTTGCAGGAGGTTTAGGTGGTGGTGCAGGAGGCGGTGTGGGTGGGGCAATAGCAAGTGGTGAAAGCATAATTGGAAGTTTAGCTAATGAGGGCTTAGAAGAAGCTGGTATAAGGAGCGCTCGTAATTCGAATAATAGTTTAAGTCATTCTCAAGCAACTTCAACGAGTACCGAAGCACAAGCTATTACAACCAAATCCCAAACTTCAGTTACTTCTATCGGTAATATAGATGATATTTCTGTAAGTAAAGAAAATTTACCCCTACCTGAACAGGTAATGAAATCGTTAGATTCTACTGGCAATACAACAAATGTCACTAACATTAGTGGCACTGACGATATGCCGGAGGAAGACCCTCAGAAATAGTGTAATATCATTTTTTTTTTCATTTTCATTTTCTATCAATTGTAGTTTTTTTTTAAATAAAAGCTATTAAACAACGAGTATTTTATTAATACCCGAACTGAACGTATTATTAATAAAGTTAGGTAGTACCTATATTTAAGTAATAGATCCTATAGGTACGTACCATAACTCCTGTTTTTACATGACTAATTTAAAATAAACACATATTTGTACTTTTATCTATTTATTTCTCCTCACAAAAAAAGAAGAACCATATTTTAGATCTTTATTAACGTAAAGTGAAACAATAGCTTGTAATTTCCTTTCTACACGCTACATTCTTTTTTAAATTAATTTATTTTTACGTTAATCACTATTATACATAAAAGAATAAAAAAAGAAATATTAATAAAAGAATAATTGTCCGTGTGGTGACGGATTAAGAATACAGAATGTCACCACCCCTATTCATCCCGCGGGTGTCGTAAGAGCCGACTAAAAGAGCTAAACTACGCAGGACAACAGCACTATAAACAGAAGGAAAGCTTGACACAAACCCTATACCGACACGTCTGGCCAGCGATAGTAGGTCAAAACCTCCTTTCTAAGGAGAGGGCTATGTCCAGCAGTGGACTATTGAAGGCTGTTGATGTGATGGTGATGAATAACACTGTATACCTGAAAAGCACTGTATACCTACTTGAAATCGATCTCATTCTCTCGCAAGCAAAATCCTTTTTAAGAATATGTAAGTCTCTTTCTATTGTCGCTTTTTCGTTTCATCGAATTTCCAAATCACAACGGTGCTAAAGAAGTTTCACTTCAACAATAATGAATGCTGAATTGCCGATTCATTTCAAGGTTAATAGTTTAAAGAGATAAAAATAGCTTAATTTTCCCTTACCGTCACTTTTTAAATATTCAATTCCGTATAAACTTTTATTACGAAAATTGGCCTTCTGGTGTCAGCACTCTAACAGCAAGTGGGAATGAAGATAAAATAATCCCCAATCTCAACAAGCTATCGATACTTTTGACGTGCCCAGGCCTACTTCTTTTATTCGATTCGGAACGTCATAGCTGTCATCAAATACGTTAGTTGACGTTTATTTGATTTTGAATTAAGGTTATTGTTTTTATTGCCTTCAATTTGTTGTTTTATTTAAGTTAAGTTTAAACATGAAATGCATAGAATAATGTAATTTAAAACCTTATCTACTTTCAAGACAACTGTCAAGATGACTTCTGAAGTAGAAGCCTTGAAAACAAATGAGTTTCTTCGACGTCGAAAGCTAAGACTTCAGCAGGTTTGGGTTTTGATTGTTGTTATTTTGAAAATGTATATATCCAATAAAAATTATTAAAGTTGTTAGAGATTTACAAGTTTGAAGTGGTTCTAGGTACGAGAGCAATCAAAAGATATCGCGAAGAAAATTCGTCAACGCGCTAAAGTCGAAACTATCCGGCAAGTTGTTGATTTAGATGCTAAGAAGCAAAAGGAATATTTTGACCGTCAAGAAAAACTAGTCAAACGTTTAGAGGTGTTGTATGCGAGAGGGGTAAATAATGTTGGTGCTAGCCATCAGAGCGCTTCTGAGTTGACACAAGGTAACAGTCACTGTTGTACATTAAAATATAACCTGGTTAAGTTCATAGCAATACATGATTTATACAAAATAATATTTCGATGGCCTATGTTATTTTATCTTGGCCTTTTGTTATAAAAATGAGCATAAAATGTTTGTTGTAAACTTTTATTTAGTGCAGTTATAACTTACCATCATCATAATTATGTTTAACATAGTTGTCAGTGCAATTTATAAAATTTTAGATGCTATAATAAAAACAGATTTATCTAAATTGAGAGGCAGAGAGGCAGCTGCTGAACTCAGAAAGAAAAGACAAGAAAAACTAGATGAACAAAAGAAACTTCTTGATAGAAAGATTCAAGCCAGGTGATTTGTTTGTCTATTATCAGAATTATATTGTGTCTCTAACTCTTTAGATATCTAAATATCCTGGCAGACATTTCACTGGAATTTTTGTACTAGCTGATAATTGCAAGATATACAACTTTTAATTAAAAAATCAATTAGTGCTCTAGCCTTAATATGAGAGCTGAATGATTTTCATTTTAAACTTTTTACTAGATTACACTCAAATCTCTACATTTGGGTGGTTTTAGTAACTGACCGTCAGGTGAGCTGTCTGCTAGTTTGATGAATGAAAATAATAATAATTACTTTACACATCTCACACAATACAGTCTGATCCCAAACTAGTTAGAGCCTGTACTATGATAACCGGACTGCTGATAAACATACGTATATATTTTTTTAATTATCATAGATAAATTACACCCAGACACTGGGCCAATGACCATGCCAACACAATGTTTGTTCCGGGTGGGAATCAAACCCATGACTTCTCGACCAACAGGCCTGTCTATGATGTTGTACAGATGTTTATTCTGCTCTCAGATATTACAGAATTTAACCAGAAACAGCTTCCTGACTACTATAGGCTATTTCTAATTTTTATAGGATTGAACAACAATCTACATACTATAATTACTTTTACAGAGAAAATGCTAATATAATAAGTCGTGAGAAATCTGCTGTTGTAGCAAATAAACTGACAAAACCTACAACATCTAAATCTGAAGACGCAACCCAAAAACCTCCCGAAGCATTTGAAATTCTTAACGCCTCTATAACTAATGTTAATAAAGATGAATCTCAAACTGTGACAAGAAATGACATGGCAACACAATGGGAGGCTGAGAGAACACCCAATGAATGGGAAGCTGTGGTGCCAACCTTAGAACTCCCTAAAGACGACCAAGGCAGCTCAAATCAGGATGACCAAGTTTCTAAATCTGACAAGAGTAAGAAAGTTGATCTGTTTGCAGTCAGTAAAGAAATGCCTACAGACTTAGGTGGCCAACATGTACATATTTCTAATAAGAGAAATATGACAAGGCCTTCTTTGACCTTAGTGTCTGAATATCTGCAAACCAGAAAGCTTCGATTACGGGAGCCAGAACCTGCTAATATACATAAGAAGAGTGATGATATTTCAAGCTTAAAGCAAACCATTCTACGAACACGGACTGCTAAGGCTGAAGGTAGATGTTATGATATGTGTTGTGTGTGTGATGACCAAGTTATTCCAGTGCCATCATGGCATGCGGCGAGATCATGTGAATTCTGTGCAAACCAAACCTGTCACAATAAGAGTTTAGCCTACTCTAAACAATTCACTTCTGTAACTAACTCTCAAATTAATAAAATCTTTAGTTCTATAAGGCCATTGAAAGAATCTCGTGTTGGACCAAGCCCTGTCTTGAGGTCAACAAGTCCGTTTAGAAGAAATAAAGTGTCTCAAAAATTTTGTAAGCAATACATAAAAAAATATATCATGCTTTACCAGCTTCATAGTCTACTACATGTGGTGTTATTGAGATTGTCATACCATTAGGTATCATCAACTTTGACTAAGTTATAATTATTATTAAAATTCATGTCATGTATATTATTCACAAGTCGCATAGTCATTTAATATACACTGTTCATTCTTTTAACAAATTTTTGCTATTTTACAAAACATTAGGTAATTTTTCACTACATTTACTAACTCTCCAATAATGTATTTCCAGGCAAAGGCAACACTTGTTCAGACAATATCAAACCAAATATTGTGCTTAATAAAAAGAGTTCTATAACTATGTACAATCATAATACAAGAGATGTTAGAGACCTGCCCTGTAGTGACGAACTTGTAGTGAGAGATGAACATACTGAAGAGGATGCTTATTCCCTGGCTCAGAAAGAGTCTCAAATCCATATTAAAAACAATCAGCATGAAAAAAAAGTTCAGGATATAAGGAACAAAGTAGCAGTGACCAAACAAACTGTTGAGAAGGAGTATAAGGATACCATAAACTTTTTGAATTCCTTACCAAAAGATAATGGCAATAGGGTTCCTGTAAGTATTGAAATCTGGACCTATTTCTTAGCGTTCCATATATTCACCGTGAGGGGGGGGCAAAACATGCGAAATCGGCATAGTCTGGGAATTGCGACCCAGGAGTAGGTTTAGGGAGTACTCCTTGCGACGCGTCAGCAACACACCTCCACTGTCTGCTGTGTGTTACCCCGTCTACCTAACCATGTCTGATTTGAGCCGCGTAGCAATGCCGCTTTAGATATTCGTTCAAGAAAAGAGCTTACTTCGTTTAATGTTCGTTTCCCATGGCACCGTGATTTCTATTAGTACTAAACGTTTAATTGACATTGTATTATGAAATATGTCTGTTCTGGACGCCGAGGCACAGATTTTCATACGTGTCCACTAATAATGTCCAGTCACTGGCGGTATTTATAATGATGCACGGCTTTTGTTAAGTCTTTTTTGTTGAACCTTCCTTTACAAACTCGATGTTAGTTCTTATGTTTGTTGTTATTACTTTTTATGCTCTCGCCAATGATCAACTTATAGCTTAGCGTATGATTTGTAATACCCTATGATGGCGACGTGAAAAATGACCCCGTCTAATAGCGTCTTACAACCAAGAAGTGCCTGGCTGTACCTATTTCCGCACTGCACATCGTACAAGCCTTTCTGTAGCTTTTCCCCACCTTACTAGGTTGATCTTTTGATCGGGGAGAGTTAATTGCAAGGCGTTGAGGTAAATTTTTCATAATCAATCGTATTAAAGTGTGCGCCATTTCAAAGCTGGTGGGATACGAAATTCTCCTAGAGTTAACCATTCATTCTGCATTTCTAGGTTTATTGCGTGCACCTTGTAGGTCTCGTTTTCACCTATATTTCATAACGTTTTCAAAGTCACAACCAATCGTTTGTACATGTGCCATAATTCTAGCAGAGTGCTATATTCAGCAACGCTAACTTTTAAACTTTTGCATTAAAATTATTTATGTCATACCAATAGGGAATATGCACGTGACACCAAATTGGACAAAATATTTTTATTTGTAATTTTTATTGCTAAAAAAAGATACCCATACAATTATTTTTGAAATTTATTATAATTTAATAGTGAAATTTAATCATCAAAAATTGGCTTTTTTAAGATTCCCTCGCAAATTTCTAAAACGCAACGCTATTGGTTGAATAAAATGTGACGTCAACCTACGCTGTCAAGAGTGTCAACAAGTTGTGTGTATTTGTAATATTTGGTTTCTGGTGATTATTTGTTTCATTTTAAGTTAATAACTAATACGTTTTCAGTGTTAAATTATTAAATTCCCGCGTAGAAAGACTCAACACAATGACTGAATATACTTTGTCAGGTGCAGTTTTGATATTATTTGGGCACAAAGGAACGGCACAATATTTATAATAAGTTTTTATTGGCTTTTCCATGGTAATAAGTTAATTTTTATTACTCACTTTTTAACTTTCACAAACTTTGTGAACTTCACTCCGTTGTTGCCATCGAATTCGTCTGAAAGTGTAATATGACATCACAAAAAAAGCGCGCCAAAATGGACGTGTTCAAATTGCCCCAAAATGATAGTGATTTTAATAAAATTTTTTTTGCTTAACGGTTTATATTTCGGATGTGTTATATTTATTTTTGGTAATGTAATAACTAGTAGAATCGTTTAAAAAAATAAAAAAAATACATGCATATTCCCTATTATGTACTTGCATTAATACCCGTGTACATAACTATCAAGTAGAGTAATCGTAATTTTTTAAAATGTATTTGCCATAACTATTTCAGAAAACTGCATACATGGATGAGCGCCGCCAAAAAATGCAAAATGAAAATCGACAACATAAGATGCAACAGGAATACAGGAAGATTGAAAAAGAATGTCGAAGACACCATTCATGTATGGTAAATGTACATACATATTATAAATTGCATAATAAACTAGGGTCGTTTCCAAACGTGTTGATGTCGTCATACCTGTATTTATTGAGCGCTTTCTAATTGCTGCGCCGGGGGTTGGGGGACAAGTCGTGTTACGGCCTAACAATAAATTAACTTAATGTATGTTACACTTTAACTTAAACTTTTGTCTACACTTTAATTTAACTATATCGAAATTGTGATAATTTCCAGTACAGCTTCTAAATACATTATTGTCACATTTCAGAAAAAAGGTCGTAAATCCGTATCTCCTTCAAAGCAAGATGTAGATGACGATTTTGAAGTTAACGACTTTCAATACTCTTGGATGCCAGTGCCAGAGGGCGATGGAAACCTAGCCATCCACACAATACCGAACTCTGTTAAAGAGGGGAAGTCTGGAAATACTGTTAAATTTAGCAAAGTTGACAGTTATCATGAATACAGGTCTCGGCATAAACATACACCACCTACAAAAGACACAGCCCATGTGGAAAAAGTTCCATATGAGAACAACCTAGAGCCTGTAGTCAATGACAGAACTGCCAGTCAATCTACAGATGATTCATCTACCACATCAGACACTAGTTCTGTTGAAAATTTGAGACTTTACAAGAAAGAAAACAAAAAGAGATACAACACAAAGACAGACCAAGATGCATCAGATGCTGAAAGGATTATTATTTACAAGATACTTGATACTAGAAATGATAAACAGTCAAAGAAGAAAAACAAGTTATTAAGTGATATAGCCAAATCTTTAACATCTATTGAGAAGGTGCAGAAATCCGTAATTGAAGACAATCAAGGAGAATCTATTGTGAGGCAAAAAAGGAAACCAGTCAATGACAAACCTGATGATGCAGCCAATTTTGAACATATTCATGAAGGTATCATGTTTATATATCATAACAATAATTTAACTTTATTATTGTAGAGCCAAATATTTTTTATATAAGACAATACAATACCGTTTTTGTTAATATATATTGATTGGATTGCGGTTTAGGGTCGTGATATTTCTGTGCTTACTGATGCAATTGTATTAAAAAAAAAATTTCGTTTTGTCAGTGGCTAGTATAACTGACATTTTATACATTTGTATACTATGACAGGTCAACATTATTGTTTTTAAAATTAGCTTATATACATAATCTTCAAGTATTCTGAATATCACAAACTTTTCTATTGAAATTTAAAGAATTCTAAAATATATATTTAAATTGAATCCATACCGAGTTGGCCTGGCGATTCTAACCAATTCGCTTACTTTTTCAAATGCAAGGACATCACGCTTTTATGTGTGTTTAGCTTTATTTCTCTGTATCTCCGCTTTTAATCATGGTGCAAAGTTCGTTTGGGTTAAAGAATGAGCTAAGTTGGAGGGAAGCTAAATATGAACATTCAACTCAATGTTAATACTGTGCCAACTTAATGTTAATGCAGCGCGTTTTTCTTGTATATTATTTAAACACATTTTTTTTTGCTTTCAGGTGTATACAAACTTGCTGAGGAACAAAAGTAAGTTCTCAATCGAACTATAAATGACTATCTCATCCTGTGTATCAGTCTGTTCTCATTAACTCGTGTGTTGTCCTCTCATAGGGGCGCCTACAATATGATCAGTTATCTCTCTACTAATTTTCAATATTGGCAGACGTCAACCAGAAGCAAACCCTGGTGGTAATAATTAACAGTACATTGAGTATAGTGTAGGCATTTGTTTAATAGGTTCATATTACTACTACTACCATGTATTGGTTTGCTAATTTGTTTCATGGGACAGAAATTAAAAATTCATTAATGTAAGAATCATAGTTATAGTTAATTAGACTGTAGTATACTCATATATATACTCATTAGTGTGCTCATAAATTAATGTTCTCAATAATTCGCATCCTAAATACAGAATATAGGGATACTTCTAAGCGTTATTTACTGAGCTATGTTCTTAGTCATTTTATTTTATTCCTTATTAAAAGGGACAACATGGCTTCTACGTTCTTATCTAACGACGATCAAGAAAGCGCTCTTACGGCTGCAGAAAATAGACAAGATCTGTGTAAGAAGCTGAGTAAAGATAAGCATATAGGTAAGGAAACAAAATTGTTTGTTTTTGTAGTGAAGATAATTGTATATATTTCTCAAAAAAAAGTTTAATCTACATATTTTTGCTTAGTTTTAGATTGCCGATAGTCAGGTCAAATTTGGTTTTAATGTCACATTAGATTTTTAAACTTTTGTGAACAATTTTCTGTTTTTTAGCTTAAGTGTTTAATTTTTGATTGTTAGCATAAAAGTGAAGTGCAAACATAAAGAAATCTCGTGTATTTCACTGTAAATATCTAGTTTGAAATAAAATCATTTTTGATAATACTTAAAGCTTAAATAATTTACAAATACTAATTTAAGGGCGTGTACACTACAAATAAATAATAAAATTAAAGAACTGTTACCTTAAATAATGTTTCTAATAATAACACATTTCAGGGCTTTGCCAATTATTATAACTTTATTTAGAAGTATTTTTTTAGACTTTTAAATTTAAAATATTGAGTACTTACTTGAAGAGTTAAAAGTACAGTAGAGAGAGTATAGAATAAAGTAAAGAATTACAGTAGATATGAAAAATGAAAATAAGATTGAAAATACATCCAAATTCACGAGATAAGAAATTCTGGCATCTTTGGTGAGACCATGCCTAGCACGCGGAGCTAGGGAAGACGTTTAAGACGTTACAATATTAATTTTACATACTTCTGAATTGTTTTAGGGACTGTTCCAGAATGGGAGAGTGGCTACGTTCGTCACACAGAGCGGTAATTAATATAATGTATTTTTATGTTAACTTCTTCCTCCGAGTAAAAAGAAGAACACTAATATGAAAATATTATTTACAGGACACCCAAAACCTGTCAATCATCTAACACTTGCAAACAAAATATTAATTCTACTGTGGACACCAATATAGCATCTACGTCAGCGAAACATCCTCAAACTTGTTCATCAGTGTCCTCCTTTAAATCTGCTAGTAACGATCAAACAAAAAGTGCATCCCTCAATACTGACTATATCAAAGTAGTGAACGAAGCAGGCCTTGAAGCTGGTAAGTTTTTCTTAGGTAGTACAGATTTGTTAAAGAACAACGCTTACGAAGTTGTCATACAACTTCGAAAAAAAGATAGTTCAAAGGACGAGAAAGAACCAGAACAAAGTAAACCATCTTCTGCTACAGAAAGTAAGCTCCACAAAAAAAGTGAAACAGTGGAGTCAATTCATTTAGTAACGTCCGAGTCTGAGAGTAATTTACCTCAGAATTTTGAAGCTGATAATGTTATGTTAAATTTTCCTGGACACAATTCTGGACAAACTTCACCTATAAATTCTGCACAAATAAAAGATCCTGTTACAAGTACACAGTTAGAAGTAGAAAGTGAGACATTTGACAATTATAAAGACCAAACTGTTCTAAGTAACACGAAGGATACATGCCATAAAAAGACATTTGAAGAAAGAAAGAAGTTTTCTGATAAAGGTACTACTACAACTGTACAAAATGATTCCCCTATACAAATGTCTAAATTTGAGCCACAACCTAGACCAGGTACAACCGCATATACCCAAACAACGAGCTCTCCAATCCATAGACCTGTATATATTCACATGAGCTCTTCAACCTCGACAGCTTATATGAGCCCACCAGATATGATTCTACCTAATTTCTTGAGAAACGATTCTCGCTTAACGGATTATGAAACATGTGAAATAAAAAACGTGCGTAAATCTGTAAACAGTAACAAAACACAAAATAACAAAAACTGTAGGCATGCTAGGAAGGCAGTCGGTAAAGACAATATGAAAACTACGTATTGTAGAAAAAATAAACACCATAGTACTCTACCAAATTCTGTAAGCAGCCTATATAAAAATGCTGATAATATGTCTTCTAAAAATTTTAATCAAGACAAATGCAAATGCCATAAATGTTCTGATCAAGTTAATGAACGTTGCTCCAAAAGCAAACAAAGTGCTCTTGAAGGTTTTCGACTGTCTCAGAATTTTAATCTTCTAACTAGTATGAAGGGTTCCGCAAGAACTAAAAACCTAACTTCCAGACCCGACAAGAATAGAGGATATCTAAATCCAACTGTAAAAAGTTACATCAATAAGTTACTGGCTTTGAACAAAGAAAGCCTAAAAGCAATAGAAATCGCGGATCAAGAATGTAGTTCAGTAGCTACACCTAGTAGCTCAATTATCAATGTCCCTTACAATGTTGATGAAAGGAAACCTTCAATAGGAAACAAAATATCCTTAGAACACATTAAACAAACTTTCATGCAACAGATTATAGATGAGCATATAAATAATTACTTAAATGAACCAAAGATTCCACCTATGTTTGCTGGATCTAGTAAGAAACATTTGCTACGTAAATCACGTAGAAAGGTCCATAAAGTAAAATCGTTAAATGTATCAAAGCATTTACTGAAGAAACACAAATTTGAAGAACCTAAGTCAACGAACCACGTGTCCATTTCCACAACAACGGACGACTGCAATAAAAGCTTCGCGAGTTCAAATCCGAACCGGTCGCGCCCTCGTAGTTCGCCATCATCTAGACAAGAACCATCGCTGAGAATGTTTCCCACATTTAAAGAAAGTAATAAGACAGAGTTAACTTCTAAGAATAAAATAAAGAAAACAGAAACACAACGTAATAAAAAGAAAGAGGAGACTCCTCATCTTAGAACGCAGTACATGACACAAAGGTCTGCAGTAACAGAATCATCACAAGAATCTGAGACAATAAAAGAGTCACATAATTACTGTAATAAAACTGACGTTTCTGTTAGTATGTCTACGCAAACGAACCAAAACATTGACAATGACTTTATGAAGTTGGCCGAAGATAAACTTCATAATATGGAAAAAATTGCCGACCTGACTGAAAAATGTACAAAACGTTTGTCAAATCTTGCCAAAGTTCTAGAAGAAGTTAGAAAAAATAAGTCTTTAGTTTATAGTCAAATTTCCAGTTCTGATTCAATAGATTCCCATTCTGATCACAAGTCTGATAAATTTGTAAAAACCCCTGTGCCTATAGATTTAGGCGAAGTACCGAAATATTTTGAAATCAAATCTCCAGATCCCATTGCAGAAAAGGAATGCATTCCAGTATCTGAGAAAGAAAAATCACTTCCAGAATTTATCTCAATTTTAACAGACATTCCCAAACCAGCGGCATGTCAAATCTCAGAATTTAATTTAATAAACCCATTGCCAACTGACGTGATACGTCCGATACCTGTGACACCTACAACACATCAGCACAACCCAAATACAATCATATCTGAATCAATTAAATATAGACAGAAACCACCACCTGCGTTATCACGAATTCATTTGAAACATGGCCAGGAAGACATAGTGCCTCATGAACTTTCTACAGTCATAGAAGTGGATTCTCCAATGAGCATAAAAAATAAAACCCAATCTTCTCGACGTAATGATCCCAACTTTTCCAATAGATCTTCCAACGAAGATAAGGAGCCAACTAAGAACAATAAAGCTAATGAAACGTCAAAGGATAAAGAAATCGTAAACCCAGACTTACTCGAAAGTAATCTAAAAATATCTAAACCGCACAAATTATCGTCAGCCGAATCCTCTGATGATTCCAAATTTCATATGATAGATTTAAAACATTTTAACAAGATAATGTTACAACCTTTTATAAGTATTCACGAATATGCAAAACAATATAACATAGATGCTCCAGAGGAAATGTCTAATGTTGAAGAGCTACAGAGAGATGATCCTGTAAATGATGATATGAGTTCGTTGCATTCCGACGGCAGCTTACCTGATGTGATTGCAGAATTACTCAAAAGAAATATTATTACAGAACCATTCAAATTCGACACTGGATCGAATGTTAACTCTACTACTATTTCATCAGAGTCTACATTATCCATGTTAGCTTTGTCCAAAGCGCGAAAAGCTAAAAAGAGAGCTAATGTAGTATTCCAGAATAAAGAAAATATTGGCGAGACATCTGACACGTTAAGCATTTCTTCAAATCCCGACTTAGAAAATGCATTTAAGAAGCTAGGCATGGGGTGGGCGTCGTCTACTTTAAAAAAGACAAAGGAGCGTTTAGCTTTGTCGTCATCATCTAACACTTCCAGCTCTAGCATTTCACATTTAAAAATTAAAAGTTTTCATCACGACATACCAGCACTTGTTACTGATTCAGTTTCTTCTGTACTCTTGTCTAAAAAAGATATTGAGGCTCAAAATTTAGTTGATAATGCAAAAGATGCGAAACATCAAACAAGTTTTCCTAATTCTATGACGGTAAATGAATTTCTAGCTAATGAGTTGGCTAATAAAATAACTTTTACTACGAATAAAACTGGTATAAACGAAACAGAAGAATTTGTTTCTCTATTTGAAACAAAGATGCCAGAGGGTATGAACCAACAGACACTTATGAATAGCGATCAACATTCTACCGATAGTGTACTAAGTGGAGTTAACCGAGCGCGAACATCAACGCCAGTACAGATATTTAAATCAATGACGTATCATTCTAGTTCTGGTTCGAATACATCCAATGGCTTGTTTAGTAATGCTGATGACCTATCGTCAGTTAAAATGACTTCAAACTCTGTTAAGAACCATTCGGCGTCTGACAGAGATGACTTAACTATACCTAATTTTAGTCTAAAAATGAAAAAAGGTATTGACAGTAGTAAAAGTGATTAATGTTACTATAAATTGTTGGTTTTTAACAATATTATATGTATATTTATGTGAGACATGTTAGTTTGAATTTAATAAATATATAAAATATATAAATGTATAATTTGTGATGTTCAGGATTTTTGTATATTATGAATAAATCAAAACAAGTTTAAATTATATCTTATCTTTTAATTATTTTTTAAACATTTTGCTAGAATAATAATTTAAGTATTAAGATCTCTTTAGATTCATATTAAAAATATTGATTTTGAGATTTTTTCACCACCATTAAACATATACTTGACAAACATATTTTATGGGATCCAAACACTGATAATACTAATAAGGGAGACTGAGTACTTTAGTATCAAACATTATACATCAAAAAGTAGATAACTATTTTCTATGAGTTTTTTTTGGAGTATTACTATTACAATAATATAGGTACACTCAAAGCTGTGGATTATTCATTATCGAATAACTAAAGACAATTAATTACATCAAAGTAAATTAATACCTGCTAAAAGATCACAGAACACAATTAGCTCCTAAACTATGCTAATATGGAAACATATACTAATATGTAATTATGTTAACAGGAATAGGCATTACATGTATAATTTAATGAATTGTCATTTGCAACCAGGTTGCACAGACTGTGTTCACAGGCTGACAGTCAACCTATTATTATGTAATCATGTTAATGCCTGCTAACATAATTATGTACATCCTCAAGTACTAAAATCTAATTGAGATAAACAATTATCTAACATTTCAGATCAGGTTATACTTTCTGCAAAATAAGTAAACATTTAACAGTACCTAACAGTCAATAAATAATGCTCCCTATTTGAACAATTAAGCTATTACTTTTTGTCATCCTTAAATAGATGTTCTTTGGCTAAAGTGTATGCAAGACCTATAGTCAGTGCTGACACCACTGTGCCCTGGGCTGCTACTCGCAGTTGCATTAGGAAAACACTGGTACTCATTTTTCCTCTATTCTTGTATTTATATGCTCCAAAACCGCAGACACCAATCAGGCCTATTATTCCTGAAATAATAATTACCGTTACCTTTACTCCATTGTTTGAACTCACCATTGTTCAAATCTTTATTAATTCATCAGTGATAGAAAGTATCAAAGGTACAAATTTCAGAAGCTCTTATGTTAGAAACAATAAATAGTTAATCAACAAAAATTGTATCTCGTTTAATATAATCGTTTTACAGATTATTATTTTTTCCTTCATGTAAATATTTCTGATGTTGTTAGTACCTTTTTACCAATAGAAGCCCATAGACATAATACCCTAACTAGTATGGATATATAGATTAGTTAAAATAATACATAATAATTTTATACACCACATGGTTGATATTCCTAATTCTTTACCTATTATCATGAAAGGCGAGTCCTTGGACTTCCTGGCTAATCTCTCTGACTGAGATTCATCATTATAATCAAATGTGGGCCTGTTTGACATTGTTACTATTTTATACCTGCAAAAGAATCAAACAAATGGTAAGCACATTACTGTTCATTTAATATTCAAAGCATGTGTAAGTAATGCACTATTTTGCTGAAAGTATTTTCACAAGGGCACGGGGAAAGATCCTCCAAATTTATAGGACTACTGTTTTATATTTTATATCAACTTAGCGTATAAAATAATTTACACTAAACTAGTATTTTACATTACTAAAATAAGTTTATTATTAAAAAACACATAGTTTCACTATAACTATAAGTAGGTTACCTGCAGACTTGATTGTTAATATATTATTTTTACTAAGTTATGTAACTAAAACATTTTATAATATTGCATCACAAATACGGACACTAACAGTACCTATGGACTTACACCGAAAATGACAGTTACTAAGAATGACAGCTCACAATCACACAAGTTGGAATTTTTTAATAACCTTTCCTAATAACTGTACGTGTCGTTTCGTCTCCACTGGTTTTCCTACTACAGACAGAGGTAACGTATCATTATCAATGTAGCAGAACTGTCGCTGAAAATGTTCCCTCTCCATCTCGCAAAGCTCAAGGTCACTGTCGTCAAAAACGTCGCTGCGATCCTAACGTCAGCAAATGACGTCACACGAGTAATTTTGTGATTAAATGATGATAGATATTTTGTTTTAATTTAACGAACATTCTAAATTCATTATGTATTTAAGATTTTACAGCAAATTGCAATTGCATTGACAATTATTTTCAATATTATTCTATAAAAAAACTTTCATTATGAGGTAAACATAGCAGTACAATTTTTACTCTTATCTGCGTCTCTGTACAAGATGCAAAGAAACTTTTTAGCTATCTAAACAAATTGTTTTTTTGGAGCATCAACATTCACAGCAGAAAAGAAAGCGCAGATAAGGTTAGGGGTGGGAACTTGCTTCGAACCTTCGAAAATAAAAACCCTAGATGTATGGCCTGCGCCGTACCACGCCTTCGGCAATTGACTGATTACGTTTTATTTTTTTGTTGCAATAACTATTGCATTTTATGAAACTCTAATGATAGTGCAGTTAGTTTCGAGTAGCGTGCAGTTTTTCCACTGTGCAAAAAGTAAGAAATTCGAAGTATTTCAAGTGATATAGACGGTGTAGCAGGTAGTATCTTTATTTATTTTTTACTCGTAAACTAACAGGGTGCTGTTTTAATAATAAATAATTTTGGAAAGTGCTATTTAAGATACGTCGATTGGTATTTTTTTTATATCTCAAATTTACAGGCTGGGGTGGGGGTTGATTATAGAACGAGGCAAAGCAATGACATAGTATTAATAGAAATTATAAATCGTTTTCATCTTTCTTAGATTAAAATACATGCACGGTACGGTTGCCAAAATAAATCTGGCTGCAAATAAGGGTTGCTAGCTGTTAAAGATGGTAAATATTTAAGCTGGAGTGAAAGAGAGTTAGCGTAACATCACTAGTCAGACGAGGATAGCGATTGCCAGCTGTACGACGCTTTAAAGCGCATACATCGAATGCTCACCATTATATATATATCCATTATCCATAATAACTAGTAGTCCATTTGGTTAAGAAAAGAAGTAGTGATACATCTATCAAACCCCGCGTATATTTTCTTAACGCGAATGGACTATAGTGTTCTTGCGATCAGGAGCAGCACAGCAGTGATGAGTAGAATAATAACTAATTTTTAAATTATAAACTTCATACAAAATTACAGCGCACTTGCTTACACAGCCGGATGACGTCATGACCCCAGAGTCTTACGGTGTCCACTTCGACCAGCATTTTTTGAATAACTAAAAAGTGCATATAAATATATGGCACGTTTTCACGTTGCCATCTGCGGCAAGGCGTTTAGAAATATAGGGTTCATTTTAAGACATATTGTAAAGATTTTAAGAATACAGTTCCCGTGAGAACATTATACTACGCACTTGTTCGGAGTCCATAATATTTTATACATACAATATATCATCGTTCGGAGTCTTATTCTAGTCAGAGATTATTTGGTATCCCCATGAGGCGAAGCCTTATGGACTTAACACATATACGCCTAACGGCGTGACGTCGCGCTAGCGTGCTATGTATGGCGCGTGCTGCGCGGTCAGCGGCACGACCCGGCTGTACTGGCGTGCCTACGGCTATGTGGCCCCAAGATGTTATTAATATTTAGTTGTTTATAATCATTTATTAATTATTATTATTAATATTGTAATTGTATCTAAATCTATACTCTATACAAATAAATAAAATTGGAGTGTCTGTTTGTAATATTAAAATAACAGCTTTTTACTAAATGCATATGTATGTTTACACGGTACATAATGCCAAATAAACATTTTTTACAATTTTTGTCTGTCTGTCTGTTTGTTCCGGGTAATCTCTGATTTCGACGGGACTTTCACTGGCAGATAGCTGATGACATAAGGAGTAACTTAGGCTACTTTTTTTAGACTAGCTTTACCCCGCGGCGTTGCCCGCGGTTATAACAACAAACGCGGGTAACACCGTGGGTCTCAGCTAGTAAATAAATAAAATAACCAAGTAGGTATAAAATATATTTTTATTATTTTGGTCCCAATAAATACCATAATAAAAAATAATAATCAATGCAACAACCTTATTTGTGTAAGTACTTAAAAGCTTACATTGCATAAATAAAAAATATTAATTAAATTAAAATAATAAAATTAAATAATAAAAATTAAATAATAAAATTCAATAAAAAAATCACATTTTTTTTAGGCATGATGAGGATGCTGTAGGTAACCTGCTTATAATGATTGTCTTTTTAAAGACAGCAAAGCTATTAACAAAAATATTAAGCAGATATTCATTAACCGAGCTATTTAAAAATATATTTTACTTTAAGTACTCCGCTTTACATCAATTTTTAAATAATAATGCTCGGGCAAGAAGAAAAGTTACTGCTATAACTTAATGCATAATTATTAGCAGTATTTTGTCATTTTTTGTTTTAGATTTTTATGACTAGGTAACAATAACATTTGCGATGTGTCATATTTACGAGACTCATATGTTATTAACTCAGTTATATAGGAACATGGGTGCATGACCACGCAATAAAGGAATATACAAGTATTTTCTTTAAGAAGTGTTATCTTTATAAAAATGAAATCGAAACTTTCATGGTTAATTATTGAAAAGCTAATACCGTCCTAATTTTCTTCGTGTTTCGGGAAAAGGTAAGGAAGTTAAAAAAAAAATAATCAAACAGGCATTATTACTTACTAGAGATGCCACGAATATTCGGTATATACTATACTATACACTGTATCTACTACTTCCAGGAGATGATAAATAAATCTAAGCAAATTCTGTTACGTTAGGATATTGTTTTGCGTTTGCTGACCATTTTACCCATTCAGGTTTAAACCCACGATACGTACTAAGTGTTGCCGTATGTTCATCTGTCGAATATTCGGCGCTTCGGCTAAGAGACTCGCCGAATATTCGTTATTCAGCCAAATCACTATTCGTGGCATCTACTACTTATTACTAATGATAATCAGGTTTCTTTTACGGTAACTTGGGTTCACTGCGGGTGAAACAGACACAGAGCTGATGAGAGACACGGGCTGGTGCCACACTATCATTTAAGTTTTAAGCCTAACAGTAAGCCATTTAAAATGATCAATTAAATAATTATTTTGAAAAGTAAATCTCAAAGTTATAAATAATACTAAATAATATAGTAAAGTAAATAATACTAAATATACTAATAATAAATAATATAGTTATAAATAATACAAAATGCGCACGTAACTAAATTTCAACTAGTAAGTAGAGTAGTAAGAACAGTAAAATTTATCTTAAAAAAAGCGAGATCTATGAGTAGTATCGCTTAACTTCACTTAATATAATTTCGTAGGACGCCTCGTCGATAAGAATAAATCTTTTTGCTCGTCTGCTGAAGTAATAAATATCACCAGTATAAATATCGAACCACAAAGCGTGGATGTGCAAATCATGCTTCTCCAACCGCTTCTTGAGCATTCCATATGACGCAATATTTTGTAATTGTTGAAGGGTGTTTACCTGAAAGAAATTATTAATTTTTGTTATTGCTTTAGCAGACCGGAAATAAGTAAGAGCATTGGCATTAAATACTATTTAAGTAAGTTTATTTTTATGTTTTTATTTTTTAAGACAACTCCCGCACTAGGAAGAAATCCTGTGTCGCGGGGGACTTTACAAACATACATGAAACGGACACAATGAACACCCAGACTCAGAACGACAATTTGTGGATCACACAAAGTGTCGTTCCGTGTGAGGACCGAACCCACAACACAGCGTAGTAGGAAGCGGCGTGGCGACCGCTTAAACCACTACGCCATCCGTGCAGTAAGTAAGTAAGAAAGTAGATAAGTATTCTGTAGATATCGGTAGTCGTTAGCCTTTGATACTGCAAACTATTATTTTTTCATACATGAAGCTTAAAAAAAAAGATGTAATATTTACCTGTGATAATTTGTCTTCTATACAGAATTTATTGTCAGGGTCTATGTAGGCAACAAATTTTCGCTGTGGTGTTTCTGCTGTAAATAGCATAGGCTTTGAAAAATCACCCTTCATGCTGAGAAATTTCTCTAAACTAGTGGTTGCGTGAGTAGCCAGCCATGATTTTAGTGGTGACAATCTTCTCTGTTCCTGTAAAATATAAAACTCTTATTAACTAAGTAACTCTTAGTAAGTAACTAAAGACAACGTGGGAAATAATGATGATGCTCATTTATAATACTTATTCAGGAAGCTTGATGTTATTATTTAGTTTTATTTTTCTTAAAAAAGTATACATAGTGTGCTTTTACGGACCCTTACCACACTTGAATGGAATTTTAACAATGATAGACAATAAACAAGTATTTATTTAGATTATCGCCACCATCAAAGCATAATTTAATTAAGCAAATTAGTTCCTTTTTCGTTCTTTATTAACTTGTTATTTGAATGAATTATGAATTCTTCCCTTATACCATGCTTGACCTATGCTTGTCAGACATGGAAGTTTAACAAAAATATTAAAAATAAAATAATAACGTGTCAACGAGGAATGGAGCGGAGTATGCTAAACATAAAAAGAATAAATAAAATAAGGCATACAAAAATACGCAACATCACAAAAGCAACAGACGGTTTAGCACAAGCTCTTGCTTTAAAATGGAAGTGGGCCGGCCACATAGCACGCCTGCAAGATCAAAGGTGGACTAAAAGAGTGACAGAATGGAGGGGGCCAGTGGGAAAAAGAAAGAAAGGGAGACCTTCCATCAGATGGGAGGATGAAATCAAACACATAGCGGGCCCGAACTGGATACAAACAGCACAATCCAGAGAAAACTGGCTCAATTTGGAGGAGGCCTTTACCTGCAGAGGGGTTCTTACAGAGTAATTTTATTAAAATAAGTTTTACTATATCTATGATAATAACATATCTAAAATTCTTTATATAAAACTGAAAATACTAACAATTAATCATTAAACTACAAAAAAAATTTTCTTGACACTAACAAAACTAATAAACTTGTAAATTAGCATTTTCTGTAAGAAATAAAAGGCTTTTTTATTTTATTTTATTTATTAACTTGTTAAGTCACATCTATACTGAGTTCGAGAATCTGGAAATTATCTGTGGATTTATTCATTTTTATTAAGTACTACCCTGCAACGCTTCGCTCTGGCATGGGTGTAATAATACTTAATACATATGGCTGTGGCTTATTGAAATTGCATTGAAGAGAAATGAGGAACAAAATTGACGCGAAAAATGGATAACAACAATCCTTGAAGTGGTTCGTATATCGTCAAAATTTAAGCTCAATCGGTGCAGAAATTTTTGGAATTTTTCAAACGTACACAAACTATCTTAATAAAACAATCTTATATAAATATAGATAGATAGATACTAACTATACTGGATTCCTTTTTGCATCTTAACGAATGTAATAGATTCATTGCTTTACAATCACTGTGTCCGCATACGATGATGTGCCTTATGTTGTTAACGATGCAACCAAGTTCAAGTGCGGCTGGCTCACAGCTGGTCATTTCATCCACGAAATATTGAGAGTGAGGTATGACGTTGCCAGCGTTTCTCACTAGTGAAATAAATAAAAAATATTATTATGTTTATTACTTTTATGTCTAGGGGCAGGGGCACGTGCCATGGAACAAAGTGAGTACTGTGTACAAGCACGTTTGCGATGTCTTAATGTACATACCTATAGATGCAGATTAATTGTGTCGTCATCAACAGCCCTTAGTAGTCCACTGCTGGACGTAGCCCTCTACTTAGAAAAGAATTTTTGGCCTACTAGACTCCGCTGGCTAGACGGGTTGGTATAGAGTTTGTTTTAAGTTTTCCTTCTCTTTGATTTGTATCATCATAATAATAAACTAAACAAATTGTATGTCGGCACCGTCGTAAAATCGCGATCGGTCGATCGTGGTTTTACTTATTAAAAATTTAACAGATATTAAATTGCCATCTTAAAATAAGTCTTTCATAAGTGAAATTTTAAATAGATGTCAGATGTCCTAAAAATATTTATGATATAAAGATGTAAAGGTATCTAAGTTAAATATTTTATACAAACCGACAAACATGTCCCCGACACTAGTCTCAGTAAACCTCGTTGGAATCATGCGACTGTCCATGCATGTATAAAAAACTGCTTTGGGCTGCAACAAAAAAAAATGAAAACTCTTTAGGCATTAACTAAAGATAAATAGTTAAATATAGACAGCTAAAGCACGCCAGGACTCAACTTTCTTTTTTCTTCAATTGAATTCAATTTCAACTCTCAATAATCATTTTACAAATTCTCCTTTAATGTTCATTAAAATTTTAGTATCAAAAAATATACTTTACAGTTTGGTATAGAAATATGCTAGTCCTTAGAGGAGGACTCAGGATACAGTCGACTTTTAGGGTTTAAAGCTGTAAAATAGGTAAGTAATAAACGTTTGTAGGGAAAAGGTTCACCCAGGTCCCAAACGAAATCTTGAGTACCAGCTAATATACAGTATATAATGATGTTTGCCTTCGGTTCGCAATTCTGTCATCATAATAATGATATTAATATTTTTCATTTGAAGAAATTTTCTTTTTTATTTACTGTAATAAAGCTAGCCAATTATCTGTTTAGCAAAAAATATTTAAATAGGTTAGTGTAGTAGTAGTAAACTTGTTTATATTGAAGATTTTTCTAGTTGCTTAACTAAAACGATGTTATTCAATAAACCACTGGGTCTTATAAAAGGACAAAGAGATTAGAATCTCCATCCTCCATCTAGAAGGAAATACTAACTATACTAACTAGTAGAGTTTAACCTTAGTATTTCCTTCTTTACATAACTAAAAACTGTTTTTACATACTAATTTTATCACAACGATCACAGAAATATGCAAATAATAATAAATATAACTTCACACCGTATGTATATTTACACCGATTAAAAATACAGAGTGTCACAACCCCTATTCATCCCGTGGGAGCCGACTAAGGGAAAAAACTACGCAGAATAACAGAACTGCAGAGAAGGAAAACTTGACACAACCCTTATACCAACCCGTCTGGCCAACGTGGTATAGTAGACCAAAACCTCCTTTCTAAGGAGAGGCTTAAGTCCAGCAGTGGACTGTTAAAGGCTGTTGATGTGATGTGATTACTTCACACATCACACACGGCCGTCTGATTCCAAACTAGGTAGAGCCTGTGCTATGTTAACCAGATTGCTGATAAACATATATTTCTAAATACATACATATCATAGATAAATTACACTCAGACACAGAACAAGTCATCGTACTCATCACACAATTATTTGTCCTGGGTGTGAATCAAACCTACGACCTCCAGCTTAGCAGTCAGGGCTACTAACCACTAGACCGACAGGCCCATCAACAAACAAAGTAAATGACTGAGTAAGCAATTTGACGGAACCTTGATACGTTATCACATAGAGGGACTGTAGCTGTGTTTGATGTCAGTTTAACTAATATATCCGAACTACCAACGTCTTTATCTGTCAATGCCATTTAGGTTAGGGACCTATGGCAGCCCTAATTTAAGTGTACAATAACCTTGTTTACGTTGGTAAGTAATAGTTATAATTAATAGAGTAACAAAAAAGAGTAACTATCTCACTAATAAATTAAGTATTGAACTGAACAGCTTAATCGATCAGCAACTCTTTCCATTCTGATCGGTATTATCTTTCTTTATTGCTGTTTTCGTCCCATTACGATATACTTATCTAAATAGTGGTCGAAATAAAATATGGGTCTTAAAATATTATATAAAGCAGAAAAGATAGCTTATATTATTAGTACGTGTTATAATTATATAATTCTATATTCGTAGTTTATCTAAAACCATAAAAATAATAAATTACTAGACTAAGTAATCTAGGCTCGGCTCATCATCAGGATTATATTCGTCTAATGACTGTTGACATCAGGGATGTTAGATTGTGGTGAGCCAAAGCTGGTACAGATGTCGCTAAAAGGCTGTAAAAGCTGGTATTGGAAAAAAAAGTTACACACAATAACTCACTATAATAATAAATAGTTTATTTTGTATGTTCTTTTAAATGAAACTGAATATTAAAGAAATTCTTGATAATTTGTAAAAAAAATCATACCTGATAAAAAATTAACAATAATTGTTATTATTAATATTATAACTAATAAGTATTATTCTCATTATTCGTTGAGGTTTTCATTATTAGATCTTATAAATGTCAATACATAATTTGAAAAAAAAAACAACCGTGAGTTACAGTGACCGAATTTTTGTATTATTTTCTGACAAAATCATGGCCGTTATCCATGGATAACTTGCTCGATTGATAAAGTTAATTTGAAGTAAGTAACTCAATGGGACAAAAATAAATATCACACAGTACAGTTATTTTTTACAACAATCAGTGTTGTAACTATGACGTACAGCAAGAACTTATACAGAGAGCTCTGTAAGTTTTCGCAAACCTTTATAAAATATACTCTGCGCTTTATTTTTAGACGATTTCCAAAATATGAACAGTAAATATGCAGTTGGTTAAAAATGGTTTTTTTTTTGTTTTCATAATTTGTAAGATGAAGAATGCAATCATAATACATTAACCTTAGGCGGCCATCAGCTGAATACGCGGCGCGGTAACATCTCACGTTGGCGTTGCCGCTTTCACTACACTCGAATCGAGCGAAATATGTTGATTATTGCGTCATCAGGATGAAGAACACGCGTTTTTAATTCGTTCATCCAGTAAGTATAGTGAGTCGGCCCTTAGCCCTTAGCCCTTAGCCACCGTGATTCACTGAGTGTTATGCTGTTCTGTGTCCTTGAAGATGCGCTCACCACGAATCATCGTAATTATAATATTGTTGTTGTTCGTGAGATATTTGTTTAGAAAAGTTTTAATTGATGTGTTAATAATTGTTTAGTCTTATTGCGTTTGTCATAATACAATTATGTTATCGTGTGTTATTGTATTTATTTTGTTCTAAATTTGCATTTCTGTATTTTCGATGGTTATAATTTTTTTTTAATTATAACCATCGTATATTGAACCGTGTTATCTGTTATTTTATGTTTTGTGATTAGCTTTAGGACAGGTTGTATATTGTAAGATAAAAGATTTTATTTTTTAATAAATGATCAATGTAGTAAGTTGGTATTATTACGTACCAACATCATATTTAGTTGGTGCATGGTACAAGATCCTGAAAAATGGTAGGTAAACCAATAAATTGGTACGTCAACATCCCTGGATGACATCTTCTGCACGCCACAAACTACAGATATATGAATAAAAGATTTTATTCAACGTCCATAAATAAACAGCGTAAACTTGAACACAAATATAATTTTATCCATCATTTTTCTGTTTTGTTAGTATGGCTATGTAAACTAAATGTTTAATATAGATTATAATGTTCATCAGGAAATATTTCTTTTTTTTAACTTACATAGACCATTTAATAGATTAATAAAAAATAATATAAAATACAATAAAAAATTGTATTCAAGTTATGTGGTTGATAATTTGAGATGTTAAAGACCGTATCTATGTCTTTGGTTGATAGACCGATAGATCCATGTTCTTTGTCCTATTCTGTCAGTTGTGAAAAAGTGATCAAATTGTCACTGAATAATACGTCAAATTGTCAGATATATTGTCAAATTTGTTGAAAATATTGGTATTCAATTTGATTTGCGTTCATATTTTGTTTAAAACTGGCAGATATATATTATCATATACCTAAGATATTTATTCAAATATCTTATTAATATAAAGATCTGACGCTACATTTATAGTATCAAAATAAGGTTAGTCGCATTAACACTCACCGTTGGGTTGTTTTTTACTTCTTGAAATTGTTTCACCATGCTTGCTCGATCTAACACCCGATATCGCATAATACCTCTCAAGATTTTTTCCATAATTGTTTATTTCACTACTCACACATTTAACTTAACACAACTCATTTATCGCAAATAAAAAAGAAGGTAAAGACTGTGTTTAAACGAAGATTGACATCTCTGACCTTCACTAACGAAGCTTATCATGTCCGCCGCGGACCCGTTTTATTGAACTAATGCAAAGTTGTTGTGGTTCAATGTCAGGTAAATTGATTTAGGTTTTAGTCTTTATCTTAAATTTTGAGATAATTACTTAAATTGATACTCAACAAATAGGGACATGTAAAAATAGGTTCTGTGACCTTTTTTTATTGTTATTAATTATACATTATTTATAGATGGCTTCATGTGTTATTGGTGATGTAAAGCATCAAGAAAGTGCTTCAAAGGCTCTTCCAATCAACCACCGGTTTTTAGAACCAGAGAAAGCAGTTAAGACTTTTACAGATATGGCTTTGTGGGAAAAATCTGAAGCATACATGGAATACACAGGCTTCATAGCTACACTGAATGAATCCATCAAAAGAAAGCCTCTGTCAGTGGACTGTAAAATATCTGATAATATCAAGAAACTGTTGACATTACTTGAGAAACTTGACAAATTGATAGATGAATATCCACCAATGGAACAGCCGCAGCGATTTGGTAATGTGGCCTTTAGAGAGTGGTTAGCAAAAGTCAAAGCTAACTCCACAATATTGTTGCAAGAAATGCTAGAGCTCAGCTTGCATGTAACCATATGCGAGATCAAAGTGTACTTAGAGGAGAGTTTTGGTAACGCTACTAGAATTGATTACGGGACAGGACATGAGATGGCTTTCGTAATGTTCCTATGTTGTTTGTATAAAATTGGTATGTTAGACACTGAAGACAATGTGGCTACAGTGTTTATTATCTTCAACAAATATATACAGATAGCAAGAAGACTGCAGAAAACATATAGAATGGAGCCGGCAGGCAGTCATGGTGTTTGGAGTTTGGATGATTATCAGTTCATACCATTCATTTGGGGCAGCTCGCAGCTTATTGATCAACCACGAATATATCCACCTGCCAAGTTTTTGGAGGATGATATTATTGAGAAGTATTGTGAGGAATATATGTTCATATCATGTATCAAGTATATAAAAGAAGTAAAAAAGGGTCCTTTTGCTGAACATTCTAATCAGTTATGGAGCATAAGTGCAGTAGGTTCTTGGACAAAAATTAACCAGGGTCTAATTAAAATGTACAAAAAAGAGGTACTGGCCAAGTTTCCAGTAGTACAGCATGTGTTATTTGGCTCTCTGCTTCCTATCAGAAGGTTCCCGTTGAATTAATATAGATGAGAGAATAAAAACGTAAAGAAGAATTAGAACACTAATAACTTTGAGTATACCTTTAGCATCATGTTAAGAATACCACAAATGTGTTTGCTAAGCAGGCCAAGATGATAAGCAAAGTGTGAAATATACTCTATTTATTTTGTAAATTATGATTTTATTTGGACCTAGTCCTAAAATAAAATTATTGTGTTATCTGTGAGCAATGTATGTTATTATTGTTTATGAACCAGTATTATAAGTTGTGTAAGTCTCACTAACGACTCTACAATGATTAAAAAATAAATGTGATATATTACCTAAGCATTATTTCCATTGCTGTGAAACTTTAATCTATATTCATAATTTTTGGACTCTTTGTAATAATTGGTAAAATATTGTTTTATCAATTGAAATTTTGGCGGCATATTGTTTTGAAATGTATTGCTGGGGACAGATTAATGTGTATGTAAATGACTTCTAAGATATATGTATATGTTTATTTTTGGCTTAGCTTTCCAATGACATCTGTGGAGTTGGGGTTAATATTTTTTACAGAAAGGTTACATTATTATAATCACACACGCAAAGATTCAACATTCGGAGACGCGTAGTTTTTGAGAAAATCAAATATTGAAAATCAGGTATTTTTGAAATATTTACGTCAATACGAACCACAGATTATATAGAATTCTCGCCGTTTCGTTTTACCTACGCTTAAGTTGTCATACGTTCGGTAACATTTTATTTTATATAAATTTACGTAAATGATTATATTTTGTTCGTATTTCAATAGTTTTCATGCATACATATATTTAACAATTTATATATATAAAATTACAGCATTATTTTCAATACGAGCTATTAAATTGTGTAGCGTTTACCGAATTTTGCCGGCAAAACGTAAAACACCATTTATGAATTATTAAGTATTTTTTTTAAGAGTAGTATTAGAGCAGAAAAATAAAATAGGTTAGGTTCAACTTATGTCAAAGAACCGAATTGATTGACTCCGACTCCACCTGGGACGAGTCTGTCCTACCCCTAGAGTATTCATCTTTGCCTCCGCAACTTGTTGGCCACCAGCCTCAGCCGTTTCGGTTCGCCTGATGCCTACGATTCGTTACAGCGGGCGGAGGGTACTCTTCCCGCAGCGCCGGAGACGTTGCAGTCTCAAAATAGATACAGAAATCCCTATGAATCAGTCTCCCTATTTTTTCTGATCAAGGGTGTGCCCCCTTCCCCTCCAAGGGGTTGTTTTTTACACTTATTATTAATTTTAATCCATAAAATGAAGAAAATTTCTTCAGAATTAATTCTTCTAATTAAAAAAAACTAAAAGGGTGGGTGACGTAACTTTTCCTTTTAAGGCGGAGGGGGTAGTATGCCTGCAACTAACCCCCCCACCCCTCTCCAATTCGCCAGACGTCAATGGGAAGTCGTACCGTATTTTTATTAAAATATAACATTCTTTAATTTAAAACTTGTAATACCCAAATACTCGTATAATGTTTCTTGTGTACATATTGTAAAGCTCGCAATTACGTTTTTTACAGAATACTAGGAACATATAGAAAAGTCCTACAATATACAATTGGGCATTACATTTCATGTACTTACCTCATATATTTAATAATATTATATCTAAATTTAGCATATAGAATTTAACTTTTACTTGGTTATATGTAGAAACAGGTATATTGCAATAAATTACATATAAATAAAATATTATGTTTTATTGATATTATTTTTGCTGTTGGCTTGCCTGGAAAAATATTTTTTTTATACCATATTCAATATAGAGCAAGACCCCAAGGCCACCAGACGACACATATTTTCTGACGAAGAAATGTGTACGATTGGGTAGTGTTAGAATATACTTACTACGATCGCATGCCTACCTGCTAGCTTGCTGAGACGGCCAATTTCCAGATATCAGGTAATCAAGGTACATAAAAACATTACTTACCTCACGTAAATTCTCCAAACTGATTTTTACGTATATTTTAGACAATATCGTTGAAAATAAGTCGTCGATACTCCCAGACACTGCGTCGGCCGTATTGCTTTGCAGACGCTTTAAAGCTCTTAAAATAATTACTGAACTTCACATAAATTCACGTTAAGCTACTTGCTTAGATCTCTTAAACTAAGGCATGGATTTTAATGCGGTTTTCGCAAATAGAGATAATAGTAGGAGACATCCGAGAATTTCAAAGATTTGTGAAAAAAAATGTTTTTGTGCGCTTACATTGCAAACGCGGGCTAAGCCTTACGAAGTAGACCAAAGTAATGTACTATGGCATTGTATATCTTAAAACGATCTACAAAAAAGTCCGCGATGGTATATGTCTATCTCCTAAGGATAAACCACAGTAAACACTTTTTATATGCATATTTAAAGGCCCGATCCGATCCTGCCTGCCGCTGCCACCGTGTGCGTTACCCCAGCAAAATAATGTCGAAAATGGTCATTTTAACGTTATAGATAATTAGTTGCTCCCCTTCTGTAATTGTTAGGCACATTTTTAAATTTGTTTCACTTAAACTTTTTTAGTTATTTCAAAAAAAAACATTTCCTGCTGGGGTAACGTTTGAAACGTTACCGCAGCCAGACATTTTCTTTTTTAATTGGAATATTGAAGTAAATATTAGCTAAATAATTAGTTATCTGGACTAGGTAAATGTTACAACTTATTTGGTATTTGTATTTTCTTCGGCTGCGAAGTTATTCGAGATCCTGCTGGAGTAACGTTTGTGGGTTTGCTGGATCTCTGATACGGGTAAGTGGCTTGTAACCATCTTTTGTACATAACTTCTTAAGGATTAGTTTTAATTTGTTCAACAATAAAATAACAAAAAAAATGAACCGTTTAAAAATTATTTAGGTAAGTATGAAAACACTTCAATACGTCCTAACACTTTGAATAAGACATCTAAAGACTTACTTCAAACGTTATTCTATTGCTTGTAACTACCTTCAAATGTATACGAATTTTCGTAAGAATACTGTAAGTGACTAAAAAGTTATGATGAAATTTAGCTTCCACGTTCACGATCACAATGTGTGAGGCCTTTTTTGGCCACCGATAAACCTGTGTGTGGATATATAAACTGAATGTTATGCCAATAATTAGTTGTTTAGTTCAGTTGTCTACCTGTAAAATTCGGCGTCGTACATATAATAATTTACGAGATAATTAAATAAAAGTCATTAGAAGGTGCAAGACCGTGGTAACCCGACCATGTTTAGGTGGTTACAAAAAAGCGATCACCCAGTACATTGTGCTGGCTTTTAAAATGTTTAGTGTAATACACCTTACGATTTCGGTACAGTTGCGTACAGTGTTAAATACATTCAATATTTATTCATTATTATTACCTATTATTTATTTTGTTTTTTTTCCTAATTGATCTTAAGCACTAGTTTCTTTACTTAAAATTTCTTTAGTCTTTTTAACTACCGGAGCTACAATCAACAGAAAATCTGCACTGGCCCGCTAAAATTATAAATATGTAGATACATGTATGAACGATTTACCTGACTGCAATAATTCGAAAATTTAAACCAATAAGAAATCGTTTCATTTCTTTGATTTTTTTTGTAAAGAAATAACACTGAAGTAATTGTATTTTATTTTGAGGTGTATAGAGCTTAGACTTGAATGCATCAAAATATTTAAAGCAACAAGTCATCTACAATAAGTTAAAATAGACCATAATAGTAGAAGAATACAGTTGTAAATTAGAATGCATCAACATTGCATCGCCCAACAGTCGTATACCTCGTAAGAGTAGGTAATATTGTTCTGTGGTCTATACCGAGAACCGAGAATTATGTATACCTATGTACCTACCGCTAAGCGTTGAGCCGGTGACTGTTGATTTCTGTTAAAAACGAACAGTTGTTGAATGATATGTTGATATAATAACGGTAATTTATCGAGTGAAAGTGATACATTTTTATAGATAAAATTATTGGTCAGATAATATTTGTTAATCAAGAATCGCCGATAATACATCCTTAGCTAGAACGCGGGAGAGGTGGGGCGAAGGGATACTTAATTGTTTGCAATTTGCATCTAGTGCACTAAACTTGACCCTTAGGCAGATAATATACGTCTCGTAAAGTGCGTGTGCGCTTCCTCTTTCTATTTTTGCAAATATTTATCGTATTCTTGAGAGTTCTTCAATATGTGTGTACCTAATTACTAGTAATGGGCATTAATGCTAATTAGATTCAATTTAAGTAATTGCGAATTTTTGTCTTAGGATGTTAATTACTAATGCTAATATTGAAATTTCGTTCGGGGTGAACAAATTAAAAACGATCATAACTTGTAGGTAGGTATATCACTTATTACAAATTTTACATAAATAATTTATTTTATTATAATTTAACTCACCGCGATTTTGTGATCAAATATTTTATTTTCTCCAACATTATTACAGAAATAATGCAATACAGAGTTTGTTCGCGATATGCTAGCCTAAGTCGATTCATCACTTAAAAAAAACCCAATCTATTCACAAAATACCTATTTACAAAGCATACGTTACACTTTTCAAAACTTAAATTACCTATACGTACTCTAAAATTAAACTTCAATTAACAAATACTACACAGGTACCAATTCTATGAACAACTATAAACAATTCACCTAAACATTACGAGAAAACAAAAGCATTCCAAACAATACCTAATCTCCCGGCTGATTACTAATTATGCAATAAACAATCCTAAATAAAAATTATTTAAAAAACATGTAGTTTTTTGTAACACTTGTGTACATATCCGTAGTAAACTTGCAAATAATATCCTACATATTTCAAAAGCCAGCACAATGTACTGGGTGATCGCTTTTTTGTAACCACCTAAACATGGTCGGGTTACCACGGTCTTGCACCTTCTAATGACTTTTATTAAATTATCTCGTAAATTATTATATGTACGACGCCGAAATTTTACAGATAGACAACTGAACTAAACAACTAATTATTGGCATAACATTCAGTTT